AACCGGAATGGATCGAAAACGCCCCAAAGCCCAGCCCACAATAGAAAAACACCCAGCTTCGACCGTCGAAGCATGGGACGGAGGGGGATAAAGTCGTGACGTGAGAACATGGCAAAGATGAGACGAAAAAAAAAAACAAAACAAAACACAGAAAGAATGCTCCAAGGTTGAACAGGTTGAACACCGGGTGACAAAAGAAAAACACAAACATAAAGCATTAAACACCCTCCGTATGCACAATAATAAAAGGGATATTAAATTACACATCGATCATTTCGGCATCTTCGGCCAAGATCTCGTCAGCGGGGCCCCAGTTACCCTCGAAGACGGTGGCGCCAGCGCGGCGTCGTTGGTTAATAAATTGCACTCCATAAGTCTCCAGGATCTGATCGGCCGTGGGACGGTTTTGAGGTTCGGGGAGATCATCCATCGAACAATGCCGTCCAATGCCTGTGGGTGGTGGGCATCGACCATGAAGCTGGGTGGATCAACCAGCTCCCCGCTTCGTGCGAGTCGCTGTGGTTTAGGGTTACTCAGCTGACGACTTGTCAGGAAATCATCGCCGAATTCGTTGTCGCCCAGATCGGATGTACAGAGGTCCTCGAAAGATGATTCTTCCGAGATAGGGTTTCCAGTTGCATCGCGGAAGATGCTTGTCTCTGAGCTCCAGGTAAGACTGGGCACATCGCTCATATCGCCGTTGCGGAGCTTCTGCCAAGATACTCCATTGTCAGGCAGTTCCACATTGCCAGCAATCTCAAAGATGATAAGACCAAGTGAGAAAATATCGGCGGGCTTGTCGAATCGGCCCATCAGAATCTCCGGTCCAATGTATTCGCGGTCACCTTCGCCCTCAATACCATCCTCTGCAGGCCAGCGTGTCGCCATGCCAAAGTCCCCAATCTTCAAAGTACCCTCAAAGGTGACCAGAATATTGGCAGGCTTCAAGTCAAGATGGATGAATCCCTCGTCATGGATCTGCTTCAGTCCCAGAGACATCTCGAGTAAGATCTTCCAGATACGGAAATCATCAAGTCGGGCCTTGAGTCCGGCTTGGGCTAAAAAGCCATCCAAGCTACCTTCTTCGCAGAATTCCGTTTGAATGTAGAGATGGCCATTGTGCTCCCAGCTGTCCATGAAGGAAATAACATGGTCACAGTTGGTCAAAGTTTTGAGAACTTCGACTTCACGAATACGACGCTCGCGATCCTTCAACCCCAGATAGGGCTGCTTGCTTTTCTTGACAGCCCACACCTGATGGGGGAGGGATGTCGGCGATCTTGGCTCGCTGGAGGAAAGAGAGAACATAGATGGGAAGGACGCGTCATGAGGTTGCGCGACACGGAAGACCTGAGAGAACTCGCCAGTTCCAATGAGCTCAACGTTGTCAAAGCGGGATGTCAAAGTGGAGTCGACGTCCGGCACATGGTAGCCGCTAATTTGGAGGCTGGGCCGTCTGAATGACGACCAAGAGTCGCGCGGTCCAGTTGGAGTGGCTGGAAGATCATGCTCCTGCACATGCTGATGATCACTTGGCACAGAAATCGATAAGCCACTTGGATCGGGAGGGAAGTACTGGTCGCGGGGAGTGTGAGGCGATGCCTGCAGAAACTTCTCATGCAGCGGACTCGCTGTGTCGGAAAGTCGTTCTAGAGACGGGATTTGAGAAGTGGTCGGAGGGTAGGTGCGAGAGGGGAGGAAAGGCTGCTTGGTCGGCGTGGGAGGAAAATCATCATTGAGAGGCTGGCTGTCATGTCGGGAAGAGGGCGATTGGGCGAGAATCAGCTCATCCCCATCGATGCTAGCGAAACTTCCACGCCGCGAGGTCTCGGGACGATTGAAGCTGCTACCAAAGATCCCCATGCCCCGAGCAAAGGGACTTGGCTTGGGACGCGAGGTGGTAGGTGGGTTGAATGGAGATGCGGAAGCAGCATCTGATGGATGACCTATACGTGACTTGTCAAACAATCGATCCGTGGGGTTTGACCCGGTGGTGAAAAGATTGACAGGTCGCTTGCACGGTGTATCGGGCATGCTCTTGTTGAACCCGGGATTCTCCTCCGCATTGCGGTTTTTCTTGGAGATTAGTCCAGTGGACATGAATGCGGCAGGCAAAGGCTTCACTAGCCTGTAGTTATCGGGAGTGGCAAACGTTTCTGTTGTATCTTCTCGTGCGATCTGGCGCACGGGGCCAGGGCGAGTAGCCCCGGCGGGAAGAGATTTGGAGAAGTTGAACATTGTGCGTCGACCTTGGGGCTTGTGAACTGGTTCATGAGTGGGAGAGTCCTCAAGACTAGATCCAGAAGATGATTGGGTGATGGTACGAGAGAGAGGATGAGCAGCGGGCCGAGGAGGTTGAGTGGTGTTGACGGGAGGGTTGGCGGGGGAGTTGGAGAAAAGAGGGTTGGTTGGCGGCCTCGGAGAGAAAATGTTTTCGCTGCCTGGCTGGAATAGGCTGCTATCAAAAGACATTCGGGGTCGAACAGACAATGGTGTATCAGGTGGTGATGCCTCGGGTGAATCACCTATGGCTCTGGGTCGCCCAAAGAGAGGTCGATCGCCACGCTGCTGTAGGGTCGAACGTCGCAGAGAAGATGATCGCTTAGGAATTGTCGCAAATGGACTGTGGGGTTGGACAGGCGTGGGGAAAGAGGGGATTTCGTTACGTGTTGGGGACCCTTCTGGAGTCGTGTTCTCAATTTCGTTGTCGAAAATGCTAAATTCGGCAGCAACATTGGGGGTGTGGACACTCCGTCGCTTTGCGGAAGGACTGCCTCGCGATGCTTGATCCAGATTCATAATGCCGTCGCTGCGCTTCAATGGGCTGCCAGTCGCCAAGCTACCAAAGGTGCCACTACGTCGTTTTTCCACACGCGACAATGTCGATCGCGCAAAAGTCGATTCACTCAAAGGAGCAGAAGGAGGATTGAGAAAACAAGGGCTCTCGGGGGTGGTACTTTGACCTGGCGCGAGGTCGTCGAGGGTCAAGTCATTTTCTTCACCGCAGGGTAAAGAGATAGGCTGGGTTGGAGTCGCATTACCGCTGTCAGTTGAAACACTCAAAACGCGCTTGGCCGGACTGCGGGGTGATGTGCGTCGACGCATGATCGGCCTACTGATTTTCGCGCTGGGAGGGTAAGGAACAGCGAGAGGAGACTGTTGCGACTGATGCGATGGGAAGAGAACAAAATTGTTCTGCGAGGCGCGTCGTGAGGGCGACAAAGGAGAAGAGATGTATGCGGATTTGGAGGGAGAATGAGTACGTGGATTGAGGAAGAAGTTGGAACTCTTGGAGGGAGAGCGCGAAAGTGAGCGCCTCAGTTGACGAATAGCAGAGCTGGCGTCAACGTGATGGATCCCCGAGTGCGATGGCAGATGAAGTGTGCCACCGGAGTCCCGGTGCGGCGAAAAGGTTGCAACCATGATCGGGAGAATGTGTCAATGTGAAGTGAAAGGAAAGGGAAAAGAGCGCGTCACTCAAATGCGCTGGATCTAGAGATTTGAGTAGAGGGGTTTCTTTCCAAAGACGCGTCAAATCAACAACGCGTCCAAAAGAGGAAAAAGAGGCCAAGGACCAAAGGAAGGCACAGGAATGGAATGTTCCAAAGGGCAGGTGTGGCAGGTTTTTGAGTCACACCACTTCCATCGCGGGGAGTCCAAGGATATCAACTTTTCCTATATGCGCCCTATCTAGGACACGCCGTTTCTCTCTTTTTCTTTTCTTTTTCTTTTTTTTTCACTTGGAAGATCCCAGATATGCGATAAGTACTTCGTATATGATGGGAATCTTTCACTTTTTGGACCTCTCTTTTTTGGGGGTTGGAATCTTTCCCAAAGGTTTGCAAGGGGGTCCCAATACAAAATGTGAGGTCAGCCCACGAGGGCGAAATCGAGGAGGGGTTGGGTATTTTTGGTATGTGAGCCCGTGTCCAAGGATCGAAATGGATTTTGAGGGACCACTTGGACGGGGGGGGGATAGTATATGGTCACAAAATGATTAAAATCAAAATGATTCCGTATATGTTCGAAAGGTGAGGTTATAGAAAGGTCCAAACCGATTAACGCGCAGTCGCGTTGTTGTGGATTAGACGCGTGATTGTGACAACAATTAGGTAAGCAAACAATATAATTCTCTATCACATTGAAAGGGAAATCCTTTATAACATATTACTCCGTATATATAGTATGTATATATCTATATGCTACATATATACTACGCGACTGTGCACTTCAAGAATCCCAAGGATCTCTCTACTACTCTCCTTTTTGTGACCATTTTCCCTCTATATCAAAGGTATACCAAGGTATTAATTGATAATAATTTTGAGATATTTTATAACATCAAAATAGGAAAAGAAAAACAAAAAGAAAAAAAGACAAAAAAAGACAAAAATCCCGTTCAAAATGATAGGCCACGCGAAAATCTCCCCCTTACGTCAAGTGCCACTCTGTTGCACTGCCTCTTCCACATCTGATTCATCCTATTCTCGGAGGAATGGGAGAAAGCTATGGCACCAAAGGGGGGAAATATTACACCTGGGAGAGTCCATGTGTTTATACATATATGGTCACTTCTTCTATACATTCCTATACATATCTATACCTATGTCACATAGTACCTGATATCGTTCTCTCTCTAAATATATACATCAATCCTACCCTTCTCCGTAAAGAAAAACAAAATACCCCAAAAGATCCCCGGACCCGTCCCGTCAGTGGGTCCCGCCGTCACTGGTCAAATCAGATGGCTTTCTACACAAATTCGAGGGGGGAAAAAAAAGCAAACTGTACACATCCAACGTCTCATATGCATCAAGTATGATGAGCCATAAAATATACTAAGAGGAAGAAAAGAGAAAATAGCAAAAAGAATATCCTTTAAAATGAAAATGAAAGAAAGAAAAAAAAAAAAAACTCTGAATATCATACTCCCGTACTCCGTAGTATCACCCCGGGATACTCTTCTCCCCTCTCTTCTATCCCTAGCATCGCTAGAAATTCTATATTGATTCCAAACCTGTCACCAATGCAGACATCTCCCGTCGCATAGCGCCGATCACGGTCTCCGCTGTATCTCGGTCAAGACGGGACTCCGGTGCGAAGAGCCCAAAATCTAACTGACCATTGCGGATGGCGGCTTCCACGTCGATCGTAGGCTGTCGAAATGTAAGCAATTGCATAAGGCTCAATTGCCGTTAGATGCAGAAGTGATGTGCATTCGTCAACTTACCTGAAAAATGGGCTGAGTAGCCGCCGTCGAGGCGCTTGGATGCTGGAGGCCCGGGCTCGTTTCGGCTGCACCCGGTGGCGTTAAATCATTGCCATTAATCTCGATTGGGTCGTTTTTCAAAAATGGGGCCCCGCTAAGATCCTCAAACTCCTCGCGTTGAATTGCTGTGAGAGAAAACTCTGCTTCGCCGTTGCCGGGTGCTTTCGATTCTGGCTCAGGAAGTCGCAGGAAATTGATGCAAGTGTCGATTCGGACTCCCGTCCATTCGGCAATTTCCACGAGAGACACACCCGAGTATTCTGGTCGGCTGATCTCGTTGATTTCAGTTTGGATTCTGCGGGCGGCTTCAAGGAGGGTGTCGTTGGAGTCGCTGATTTTGTCATCCAGTCGTAGTGGAACAATGTTAACAGTGGGAATCACAGATTCGGCTAGACCCTCAATGGAATAAGATCGGTTGGCAAGGTACAGTCCAACATTTAGCCGCCTGTGAGACCCTGCATCCTCGGTTTCAACGGCACCAAATTCTTGCAGATGCACTCGAGCATAGACTGCCAAAAAGACGGTCTGAATGCTAAGGCCCTGGCGCTTAGCGAACCTTTCCACGCTGGCCATATTTGAAACCAGCCCCGGTCGGTAGTGATGTTGTACAGAGCCGAAGCCATCCCCTCGTTTTACCGCTGTTGGCATTTGGCCTAGATACTTTTGCCAGAATTGCCGCCGGACATCGACGGGCGAATGGACATGCTGGAATGCCACGAGCTGTGATATATCAAGATTGGAGTTTCGCTTGGCAACTTGCTCTTGACTGCATTGTGCAACAAGTCTGTCTATGATATGGGGTAGACTGACAGCATCGTACAGTGCATGGTGGATTTGCAGAATAAGCGCTGTCCCCTTGTTCGTTTGACAGGCATGCAGTGCGACCGGCACTGCCCCGAATTCTTGCTTGAGACTTGTTGAAACAAGATGCCGATCAAACTTGGAATGCCAGACCACAGGAATTTGCACAGCCTCAAACTCGATCTGCACGTAGGGCAATAGCCGAGAATCGGCAGTGGGAACGAATGCCGTTCGAAGCATTGGGGTTTGGTCTATGACCCAAGCCCAAGCCCGATCGAGTATCGCAGGGCTCAATTGTTGGGATGCCACATAGTAGAACTCAGGATAGAATACCTCAGGGTTCAGGATGTGCATTGAAAGGAAATAGATCTGCCCTGCAGTTGCGGGGAAAATCTTCTGCACTCGTTGCGAATCAATACCACGCGACTGTAGCAGTTCCATCACATCGATGCCATGGAGTGACTCGTGCAGAATGCTCGAGATGTTTGTGAGCGAGAGCTCCATCTCGTTGCTGTTGGCTGCTTTGGCCATGTTTTCGATGGTACCAGCCCGAAGCATGTCACTGACTGCGAGCTTGATGGACTGTTTCTTTAGGAGTGCAGCCACCTTAATGGCGTTGATACTGTCCAGGCCAAGCTCAAAAATTGTGGAGCTCTTGTCAATAGAGCTTTCAGACACCCCGGATGTAATAGAAAGAACCTTGCGGATCTTTGACTCAATGGGCAACCATTGTGCGTGATTGAGTCTCCGGGGCACTGCATTAGTCTCAATGTCTTGTCCAGGCTCATCATGAAAAGCCGGGTTTCCACAAATCTTAACTCCTTTGCTGGTGAACTCAACAGTTCGTTCTGATGGACCGTCAATGATACAAGACAGGATATTGCCCATCTGCCCTAACAGCGCAAGAGTATCTTGATCCCCAACAACATTTCCACGACACGCAACCCGCCCAACCAGATTCTCCCCAACACCTTCAACTTCAGTGCAAACAGGGTACTCAACATCAGCTGTTCCACCAGTAGATTTATACAAAACCTGTCCGGGCCCAGTCTGGACATTTTCCAACGGTCTCTTCTGATACATAAAAAGCGTATCAAACAACGCCTGCGATCCTATATCTGGTCTTGCGCGCCGAAGCGGGAAATTCTGATGCTCCGACATTGCCAGGAGAGCCTCTTGCACATACTTCACCAATTCTACGCGTGTCCCATGAAGAATAACTCGCATGGCGACAGTGTTCATGGTCGGAAACATCACATGCTCAGAGTCAGCCACATTCCGCCCAGAAAGGACCAGCCCAAATACCACATCTAGCTTCTTGACATGCGTGGCAAGGACAAGAGACCAGCAGGCGACAAGAAGCGCCTGGATAGTAACACCGTGTCGCTTACAAAAAGTTTCTGCCTTGGACAGTGGGACGGTTAACGATTGTTCTGCTCTGTGAACGACGGCCGAGCTATTGTCAGCGTGCTCCATGGGCGAGAATGAGGCTGGAGTGAAGTTGGATAGCGTCGCTCGCCAGAACCTGAGTGCTTCATCGCTAGACGAGGCAATAATTTGCTCAAGAATGTCATCAGCTGGCGGGCGGGAACAATCTGCACCGGCATAGGATTTGGCAACATCTTCATGCAGCAGATTGATTGACCAGCCATCATAGAGAGCATGCGCAATCGACAAAACAAGGTGCCGCCTAGCTCCGTCCACCGCAATAGTGAGAGAGAGTAAGGGGCAGCCTGCCAGCTCATTATGGACCCTTGAGCGCTGAGTCTCTATAATGGATTCCAAAGAAGCTCCGTGCAGATGGACAGTCTGAATGTCAATTTGATCCTCGTTGTGAATTACTTGAGCGTATGAAACAGGGATCTGTGGATCCCAGATTTCAACAAATGAAGTACGGAGGATAGGGTGAGCTCTAATGACAGCTCTCCATGCCTGTTCAATCTTTTCACTGTCCACATCTGGCTCAAGCTCGAGAATTTCATGATTGTAATAATGTTTGTATCCAGAGGCAGACATTTCTGCTACCATAGCTTCTTGAATGGGTGTCGCTGGCAGTATGCGAGTCGCGGTCGTAGGGAGAAGACCTTCCGCTCCGAGAAACTTGACCAACGATTTCTCTAGCTGGTTGAGCAATGGAAATGTCCCATCTTTGATATGGTCGTTTGTTATTGAGAGTTGCTCACTCATGGCCTTCACTGTACGATGGCGCATGATGGAGCTCACGGGAAGCTTGAAGCCGATTTTGCTCAACCGCGAAGATATTTTGATTGCATCGATGCTATCAAGTCCAACTTCAAAAATGGAGGTGTTCTCACTGATTGATTGAGGCTCCACTCCCGCAAGTGTTTCAATCACGTCGCGGATTGTGCGAGATTTGAATGTCCATTCAAACAAAGAGCCATTGGTATGTTCCCCATTGCTCTTTATTGGGGGATTAGGAGACTCATTGTGTCGCTTTATCTCACCATTCGTCATAGCTTGTGTAATAGAGCTCCCGTTTATCCTGGGCAACTGTCTGTTGGGGTCTTGCGCAAAGTCAGAAAGGATTTTCTCGAAATTACATAACATCTGCTGAGCGTCGTCCGACGATACCACATGGCTCTTTGCGGCAATAGTAGCTGTCAGGGACTGGTTGTTATTGCGCACAATCTCAAATGCCAGAGGGTACTCATGTTCGGCCTCCGAGTCGAGTGTACACCAAAGATCTTTCGTGGATGATTCCGCGTTACTAGGTTCCCTCTGAAAAACAAACAAAGAGTTGAAGAGTCGCTCGTCGGGGTTTTTCCCGAGCCATTTAATAATGTCCCGCAAGGCGGTATATTGGAATGGAATCATGGACACGTGGTAGTCGTGGCAGCGCCGAGCGATATCAGACCAATAATCCAAATCATGCAGCTGAATGTTGCTGGGGACCGTATTGAACAACGGCCCGATAACTTTGGAAATGCCTGGTACATCGATTGTTCTCCCCGAGGCAATGATACCAAGTGCTGGCACGAATGAGTATTGCTGGTAAAGAGTGAGAAGCCAGCAGGCATGGAGAACAGCTTGCTCTGTAACATTGAGAGACCGGCGAAGATGGTCGAGCTGCTCCGTCGAATCCATTTGAACCGTAAGCAGAATTGACGCGCTGTCTTCTTGACCATTCTCGGTGAAAGGTCGGTCACAGCAACCGGCAAGATGCTCTTTCCAGAATGATTCTGCAGCAGGGTCTTTGCACAGGGGTCCCAAGTGCAAAACATCAAGGAACTCAGGGATTGACTGCGAGCTCGTGCCATGGCCGAGATAATTTCGGGCAACAGACTCAAGGAGCAGGACCAGGCTGTTTCCATCATAGAGAGCATGGAATATGTTCAGGCACATAACCGATTTCTCGGGGGAACATATGACTCCGACTTCCCATAACTTGGATGAAAGATCATCGAGCTGGGTGGCCCAGTAATCATGTCGTTGTTTGCGCAAGTCATCAATATCCTCCTTGGTCCCGGCTGTAGTCAGGAACCAAGGCAGAGTATTCTTTTTCATGATAACTTGGGCGTAGCCGTCCGAAGATGGCAAAAGTCTGGCACGCAGCATTTGAACTTCTCTTTGGGTCTGATCCCAAGCTGTGCATAGATTCTCGAGGTTGACGGAAGGGTCAAGTTCGAAAGTAAATGATGAGCAGTATAACGGCGTGCTGCTCGACAGGTAGTGATATATGATACCTTCCTGGAGCGGAGTGCAAGGCGCAATCTTTTCAATGTCATCATCGATGGCATCAATACGCCCGATGATAGCGTGGGAGTTCTTGTGAGCGAAAGCCTCGATGCCTTGCTTGGCATTTCGTTGGATGGCTTCCGCGGACACAGAAGATGAGATGGGCACCAGTAGAGCAGAAGCCAGCCCAGAAACTGTAGGATCTGTGGATTCTTAGTAAATTGTCTTTAACCAACATCTAAAACGTCAGACTTACACTTCATGATGACTGATGGCTGAGCCTGAGAAAACCCAGCCTCCCGGAGACTTCTCGAGAAAGCAATAACAGATATAGAATCCAACCCAAGCTCGTAGATACTAGAGTACGACGAGATCTGCCCTTCTGAAACTCCAATAAACCTCGCCAGCACAGATATGATCTTCTGCTCCTGGACACTGCCAGTAGGCTGACCAACACTCATTGAGCTCAACTTCTGAATATCTTCTAAAGAAAGCTCCTGATAGATACCCATCAAGACTTTCATGTCAGCTTTGTTATTAGCGGAGAGTGGGAAGCGGGTCATCGGAATGATATGTGTAGGCACCATATACCCGGGTAGGTGGGTGCGGCAAGCGCCCTTGATCATCGACAGCAGAGTGCGATCATCTTCTGAAGATCGGACTCCAACTTTGACAGCACGAGCCTTCTTATCTGCAGTGACAGTCGTGAAGAAAGAGACAAGTTGTTCCTTAGACTGTTTGGGGTGCGTGATCACTAGGGTAGCGACTTCGTTCAATTCAGGCGTAGCTTGTTTGATGACCTCGTTAATTTCTCCAATCTCAAGTCGCTGTCCGCGGAGCTTGACCTGATCATCGATCCGACCAAGAAACTGGAAACTTTCATCGTGCAAAATCCTCACAAGATCGCCTGTGCGATAGATGCGATCGCCGAACTCGGGGAGTTCTTGGAATCGTTCTTTCGTGAGCTCCGCCCGATTTAGATAGCCCTTTCCAACGAGAGGCCCGGAGACGCAGAGTTCGCCTATTCCACCACGTAGGACGGGTGTTGTGGTGCCGGGACTAAAGACATACGATCCCACATTATCGAACTGGGGCCCGATGTTTGAGGCTTTGTCGTTGGCAGACATCCGTGGGAGCATTGTACATCCAATAGTGACTTCAGTGGGCCCATATCCATTGTAGATAACACCGTGTTTGCCCCAGGCATCGAGAATTTCTTGTTTCAACGCCTCTCCGCCGGTGATGAAGACTCCCTGACACAGGGACGGAACTTCATCAGGATGGACCAGCCTTGCCAAACTGGGCGTCAGGTCGATATGCGTAATTTGAAGCTTTTGTATCGTTCCAGTTAGATCCTCAAATAGAAGATCTCGCGGACAGGAAGTGACGCAAATTCCAACACTCCAGCTCCAGTACTGTTCCAAAACACTGACGTCAAAATGGAAGGAGGCAAATTGCAACCACCTCGACTCTTCATCCCAGTGCCCTGCAAACAATCGTTGGAATGCAAGCATTGCTTGTACAGCATTATCGTGCGTGATTTCGCAGCCCTTCGGTGTTCCGGTTGTACCAGATGTGTACAGACAATAGCAAGTATCATCTGGCTGGATCGGACGGATGAGGGGGACATCACCTGTTGAAATCCCATTCAGCAGCCCGGGTTGATCAAGGGCCTGGACTTCAGTAGCCGGTAGACCCTCCAGTTCCGCCATTTTGGATTGATTGCACAGCAGGATCTTGGTACCGGAATCCTTCAACATAAATTGCTTGCGAGAGATAGGAGCGCCGGGGTCAATAGCCAAATATGCGCACCCAGCTTTCATGATACCTAGAATCGCGATAGAGGCTTCAGGACACTTGTCAAAGCATATTGCCACAATCCCACCAGGAACAGCCCCCTTCGTCTGCAGAAAACGCGCAATCTGATTGCCGCATTCGTTGAACTCACGATAAGTCCAAGTCTTCTTCTTTAGGCTGTCCGCAGTGTCACCAAAGGCAAATTCGAAGGCAATCTTGTCGGGGATCTTGAGCGCGTTCCGTTCGACAAATTGATGCAACAAAGACACCGTGGTAGGTATCGGTGCTTCTTTGGCAGGAGTAACAGAAAGCAGGCTGCTACCCACAGACTCATGGCTGCTGGAGTTGGCATCTGGACGGAAGACAGTATCCTGCAAGAACTTGTCATATTGTTTCAAAAGGATCGTTGCTTGCTCCGAAGGAACAATATCGCCCCGGTAGCTCAATGAAATCTGAAGATCTGTCGAGTGCGGGATCAACTCAACAGAGACGGGATACTGAAGAATGTTAGTCCCCAAACCTGACCAAAATTTGAAGTAGCTTGTCTGTTTATTTTACTTACATCAATCTTCGTCTCCTCGTTAATGATATCCCACCCATAAGTACCCACTGCATCCGATCTAAGCTTTTGATAGACAAAGAGTGTGTCGAAGAGTGGCTCATCACTACCCAGCCAACGCTGGACATGCGGCAGAGGAGCGAACTGATTTTTCATCAACAAAGCATTCTGCTTCAGCGTGCGGTCCAAAAGCTGTCTATTGGAGCCTTCAATACGCAAAGGTGTTGGCACTGTGACTAGGCATGGAAATACCGCATGTTCGGCAGCGGTAGATAAGTTCCTACCCGACAGCACGGTTCCAAATGTGATATTGGATTCGCCTGTGTATGCAGACAATAAGCGAGCCCATGCAGCTTGCCCCGCTGCTTGTAGTGTCACACCAATATCCCGACAGGCATCTTCGAGAGCCTTGCGAGACTGCGCACAGTAGATAGAGGTGGTGAGTAATGTATACTCACCTGTGCGGATGGGATGCAAGTCGGGAAATTTGGAAGGTTGCACTTCTGAAGCTATTTTTTTCCAGAACGATTGTGCGGATTCACTCTGGCTGCTGCTTTCGAGAAGGATCGGACCAAGAGTTGCGGTGACTGGTGCCGGCGTAGCTAGGACCTTTCCGTCATATGCTATTCTGACATCTGCAAATATGGTAGCCAAAGACTGTGCATCGTAAATAGCGTGCAATGCAGAGAAACGCATGATGCTGGTGCTGTCACCTTCCTCGACTTCAATACTCCATGGGGGCTGGTGGAGATTTTCCAAAGCGTGCTTTTCTTGAACACCAGGAGTGTCTTCCATGGAACACGAGGTCTCAAGCCATGGTAATTTGATATTTTCATGGTAAGTTATCATAGCAAAAGGATGCTCCTGATCGCGCAGTTGAACAAAGCCTGTTCGAAGCATTTCATGCTGAGCCATAACCTTGAGCCATGCTTGTTTCAAAATGTTCTTGTCTAAAGGTGCTGGGAATCTCAAAGTCATTCGATTGAAGTACGTGGAACCATGAGAGTGTGTAAACATCGCCAGCATGCCATTTTGAACTGGCGTACAAGGGCGAAGAGACTGTATCATTTCTGAAGAAATGTCAAGTCGTTCGCAAACAGATTGCAAATGATGGGTTTGGAAAAGTCCAAAGTCAAATTCGATTTCCTCAGGAACGATCGTGCTGGAAGTGAGGCGAGAAGCAATTTGATCAATGGAGGCAGCCTGATTCAAGTCAGTAAGTAGGGGATAGATTCATGATAAACAATTTAACCCCAGAAACATGACATACCTCGAGAATATCACTGGATGAAATCTTATACCCCAGCCCTCGCAGCTTTGCCGATACCTGCACAGCATTGATACTATCCAGGCCAAGTTGGAAGATCGTCGTCTTATGGGACACATTTTCCGAGCTGAAATCGGAGAATTCGCAAAGGATTCTGCGGACAATCTCCTCCTGATAGGATAATTGGCGGTTTGGGCCAGATCTGGTCGAGAAATGAACAGCGTTTGTCGTTTTCGATACCTTCTGCCTGAAAACTTGAGGAATATCGTTCCCCAAAAGCCGCTTATCGGATGCTTGACCAGATGGATATTGAATGATGTGTCTAACAATGGCCACAACATCTCGCGCAATAGTCTCAGCCACGGCTTGGGAGATGTGTGATACTTGGAAGTGGAGGCAGACCCGGATGTTGTCTGCAGACTCGTCGGGGACAATCTCACAGATCAAAGGAAATCCCATGTTTCCTTCGTCCTGAAGAAGTTCCCAGACACTGCAGTCAAGTTCTGTATTTCTGTTCTGGAAAATGACCAGCGTGTCGAAGAGGCGAGAGCCATCGCCAAGAACACGCTGTTGAATTCGCCGTAGAGGGCTGAGTTGGTGAGGCAAAATGTCGTTGTTGCTCTGTTGGGACAATTTCATGATGTCATTATTCGTGGCAGTTGAGGAGGGCTTGATTCGAACTGGGAGTGTGTTGAAGCAGGGCCCAACTATCCGATCTGCGCCATTCAAGGGAACGGTTCTGCAGCTGAAGACATTACCAAAGCACACATCGGAGGAATCGGTGTATAGAGAGAGCAGTCTAGCCCACGCAGCGTGAAAAACGTTCAAAGGAGTCACAGAGAGGTCTTTGCATTCTTGTTTGAACGATGTGAAAGAACCTTTCAGGAACCTATGGATCTGCTGTGATGCCGAATCATCTCCTTTGGCTGCGGGCCTGGGCGTGGGAAGGAGGGTCGGTGAAACGCCGGATAAGTACTGGTCCCAGTATTCATCTGACGAGCCATGATCAAGAGAGGTCATGTAATCGATAAAATTGCGGAATGGAACGTTGGCTGGCAGTTCTTGGCTTGAGAGTAATAACTCGAGCTCGTGCAATAACTGGGAGATACCTTCTCCGTCATACAGTGCATGGTGAATGGACAATAGAAGGTGTGTCTTCTGCGCATTGGAATCAGATATCAAAGTCAGCGAGTAGGGCAACTGGCCATTGACAGGAGCAAGACCCTCAAACTTGGACTTGGTCTGTTTGATGACATTTCCAATCTCAGAAGAGGAAGTTTCAATATGAGACCATGGTAAGACCGATGTATCCAGTACAACTTGAGCATATGCAAATCGCTTGTCATTGGTTTGCGAGAAACATGTTCTAAGGATATCTTGTCTTTGCATCATCTTAGCCCATGCCGCTCTCATGGCCTCTGGATCGGCGTGCACAAGAAACAAGAGGTGGTTGAAATACGCCGAATTACCACCAGATTCAGCTGCAAGCATAGCCTCCTGGAGTGGAGTGCAAGGGTAAATGTTCCGGACAGTCTTGGCTGCAGCTTTGAAGTCCTCTTTTACTTGACGAGTGAAAATTTCATCGAAAGCCGCTGGTGGCGCAGGCACCACAGTCTGTTCGGACTGATACTCGTCGCTGGTGGCAGAAATGACAGCTGCAAGTTGAGAAATAGAGCTGTGGCGCAGAATCGTAGACACAGAAAGCTTTCCACATCCAGAATCATGTAGCTTTCGCGAGAAGTAAATGGCAGAAAGAGAGTCCAGACCCAGTCTGTAGAAAGATGTGTGTTTCTGGATATTGCTTTGGTCGGTGCCAGTAACTGCCGATAGTGTGATCGATATAGTCTTCTCGAGCTCGGTGAAACTGTCACCAGCATTATCGCCATTTAACTTTGGTGAAAACACCGCAAGTTCTTTTGTTGTCAGCTGTTCTAATCGTTGCCTCAGCAGAAATTTGTCAGTCTTGTAAGACATGGTGAGTTCTATCACGTCCACAAGAACGAGAAGCGATGGAAGGCTAGCAGAAGGAAGTTTCTTCGTGATCTCATTGAACAGATCATTCGTGGCTTCCTCAATTTGCACAGAATTTGAGTACTTCGTTGAAGAAACCCAAAATACTGCCAGTGGTCCCTGCTGACCCAGTTTTGGCTCATCCAAAACCATGCTCACTGATTCTTCGACCATCTCCAAAGACCCAAGAGCACAATCAACTTCATCGAGATCAATAGGAGAATACGACTGTACAAAATCAGAACTTCGGGAGAGAATGAGTGTACCATCAGGAAGCAACCTTCCAAGATCGCCCGTTCTATAGATACGACCGAATTCAGGATGATCAACAAATCGTCCAGTCACTGAGGCCTCGGTGCCGGGTAGGCAACGCCCAACTTGATCTCCACCAAAGCATAACTCCCCAATGGCGCCGTGGGGAAGAATAGCGACTGGATCTCCCTCTGCCAAAATCATCGCAGATGTGTTCTTCAGGGGTCTACCAATGTTTCGAACATACGTCGATGTTTGCATATTGGGATAGATAGTACATACGTGAGCCAGTGCATGGTTGCTGTATGCTTGATGAAGACCTTTGCCGGCCCAATTGCGATGGAGCTTGGGGGTCATTCCTTCGCCTGAAGAGAGGAGGTATTGCACACGGGGAACGGCTTGTGGATCAATGCGGGAGGCCAGCATGGGAGGCAAGTGAAGGTGTGTTATTTCCATGTCCTGGCAGGCTTCCTCGATACGAGTCATCATGATTATGTCTGCAGCTGAGCACAATGTCATGCCAGTATTCCAAGCGAAGAATGTCTGGCAAATAGATGCTTTGCTCTTGTCAGTAAGATATTCTAGATGTCAAATTTTTATGGGAAGCTTACCACCTGATCCTTGTACGCATGATAGCATTTTCGACCCGGTTGGCGTTGGATATAAAGCCGAAAGAGCATTGATATTGCTCTGTAAGTTTTGGTGCGAAATGACAACGCTTTCCGTCAAGTCGTTTTCAATTACCGTCACTTCGGCATAAACAACATCAGACCCTTCACTAGTACAGGGAATATTGAAATCATGATACATATCCAGCGAATGAGACATGTGAATCAGCTGAACGGACTTTAAAAAATCCAAGCGAAGGTTGTGCTCCGTCGAGGTGTCGACGATATAGAACTTGGCATTTGCCATGGACAGAATAGAATGAATCGTCTCTGAAGAGGCTTGGGGAAGTAGGAGGAGACCAGCACCGGCCTTGGTAGCTCCAAGCACGGCAACGTAAAAGTCAAGGGACGTTGTCGGGTGGATGGCTATTAGATCGGCTTTTGTCACTCCAACATGGAGCAAAAGATGTGCAAAGCCATTGGCTCGGGAGTTGAGTTGACTGTAGGTCATGCTTTTGACTAGGGGTGCAGGAGGTTCCAGCTTCCAGAGCATCAGCTCAACTGCTACCCTGTCGGGGTCTGCAGAGGCAACTATCTCGACGCCGGATGCCAAGCTTGGCAGATCGACTTGCTCGGGCGATTCTGCACGTTGAATGGACAACGTTGACGAGGGAAGATAAGATGGGATCTTTTGAATCGGAAGATCAACCTTATCAATCAAGATCGAAGCTACGGAATCGATTTGCTCGAGGAGTATCATGGCTTGCTCGAATGGGAGCACCGACTTTTGATAAGTCGCCCGGGCAAAGATGTCTTCTTCTCGCGGCTCAAACTCTAGCAAAAGCGTAAACTCTAGGAACTCTCCCGCTCCAACTTCCTGGAACACCGAGCTCTGGTCATCATCTGACCAAATGCTTTCCTGCCATACGAGTGCGGTGTCAAAGAGATTGCGATCCAAGTCGATACCAGAAGCCTTCTTTATATCCTGAAGAGAAACAATACCATGCTCGAGCGACTTGCGGTTCATGTTCTGGATGGCCAAGAGAAGATCGGCCACGTCTTCCATTTTTTCAAGGTTTATGCGCGTAGGTAAAGTTCTGATACAGGGCCCGAGAACAGTTTCAATGCTCTTCAAGGGCAGAGTTCGGCCTGAAAAGACAGTTCCAAAGGTCACATCTCCGGTCCCGATGTAGGAGGAGAGAATATAGCAGAACGCGGCTTGGAAAATAGTTTGCCGGCTGATGCGAAGGTGCTGGGATACTTCGTTGAGTTTTGATACGGATATGTCCAGCACGCGAGTAGCCTTGTCGGTGGCATGTGTAATATCTGAATGTCCATAGAAGGTAGGGAAATTTGCAGGAGAAAGACCCTGTAGTTGATCATGCCAGTAGGCTGAGGACTCTGTGGCCGATTTATCCAGTTTTTGTTCAATGAAGAATTTTGCGACGACATTATATGAAGGTTTAGAAGTGAGCTCCTCTCCGGACAAGATACTTCTGAGATCTTTCAACAATAGTTGCCAAGACCATCCATCGTAGAGTGCATGGTGCATATGAACCAGCACGCGGAGATGATCCTCCTCTTCCTTGATCTGGACTCGGAAGGGGTTCAAGACATCGTGACCTGCACTCAACCCCAAATTGTAGTCAAGCTCCCGTTGCACGGAAATATGCTCTTCGAGGTTATTCCAAGTGAATCGACCATATGAGTGATCTTTGAGGCCGATTTCCACAAATCCAGACCGCAGGATTTCGTTGTGGTTCATCAGTTGGCTGAATGCGTTTTTCACCGAAGTTGAACTGACCGAGGGCTTGAATTCCAGCTCAATCCAATTGCAGTATGCCTTATTGTCTCGGATTGTCTCTAAGATCATAGCCTGTTGGATGTGGCTACAAGGTACGATGTCCGAAACCTGATCGCTCAAGCCCAGAGAGTCAAGCCTTGCTGACCCTGCATCCGAAACAAGCTGCAGGATAGCTCCTAGCGCTGCTTGAGCGTCGTCAGTTGGGCTCGCACCTTCGAGGCTGGTGGCAAGCTGCCAGATCTCGTCCACTGAGTCGGCCTCCAACAGGGTAGCCACACCTAAGCGAATCCCTGCATCCAAGAGATGGGACGCGAGACGGATTGCTGCTAGCGAATCAAGACCTGCGGCTGCTAGGCTCTCTGCTGAGGAGAGTCGTCGGCCCAGCACATCAGCCACGCTTGAGACGATAGACTCTTCCTTTTTATCCCGGAATGGTTGGCCGTCAAAGGCCTGGGTGGAGCTTCGGTGGCGAATGAAATCGGCCTCTAGTGTTTTACGATCGATCTTGCCAGAGGGAAGTTGGGGGAACTGGTCGACAAGCACGAATTCTCCGGGAATCATGAATCGAGGCAACAGCTGACGGCAGACGTCTCGGAGACTGCTGTCTGTCGTTCCCTTGTCGGTAACCAGAACAAAGGCAATCAAATTTCCGTCGATTACTATAGTTACAGCACTGCGGACGCCAGAGGCTCTGGTGATAACATGCTCGATCTCGCCCAGCTCTATCCGCTGGCCACGCAGTTTCACCTGGCCGCTGGAAATTCGGCCAAAACACTCAATCTCTCCGGTGGGGAGTATGCGGGCTTTGTCTCCCGTGCGATAGAGTCGGCCATATACCGGACTGTCTATGAAAGCCTTGGCATTTTCTTCGGACCGATTGATATACCCGTCTGCCAATTGAGGACCACCCACCACAAGCTCTCCAATCTGACCTATTGAAAGGGGGTGAAGCTCCGCGGAGGATGGCCCGTCGGAGGTTAGTGACATGATGTATGCGGAAACGGTTTTGAAGGGCTTTCCAATCATATTGACACGATCCTTGGCTTGGAAATGGGTGGCAGCAGTACAGTGAATTGCTGCTTCGGTGGGCCCGTACATGCCATGGAGAATGCCATTTCTGCCCTCGGTCTGGCCAAACTCGTCTACCACATGCCTGGTGAGCATCTCGCCAATTGTGAGGAGCACCCGGAGAGATGGAGCCGCGGCTCGTGTGCGCAACAACTCTCCTGCTACCGTTGGGGTCAACTCAGCGGCATCTACTTCCATCGTAGTCATCACATGGGAAATATCGAGAAGCATATGCTCTCTCTCCGAGCCAATGAGGGTTGACCCTCGCATCATCGGAAAAAACACCTCAAACACGGAAACATCAAAGGTAGGAGATGCAAATTGTAAAAAGCGCTGGAAAGGGGGTATCAAATCATCATGAGCAAGGAGTGACTGAGTGGCAGCAAGATGGGACACCCCGACGCCTTTGGGGCGGCCCGTAGAGCCGGATGTATACATGACATATGCCAGATCAGTGGAAATGCTGCTTTCTAGGCATGGCTCTGTGATATCGGTATCTGTTTGGAGATTGTCTACTGTAAGAATCGCAATCTGCTCTCTCGGTGGTATCCTCATGGCAAGAATATCATTTGTGACCACTACGGATGCAGCCACATCTTGGAGGATAAATTCGATGCGATCTGTTGGTGCATCTGTGTTCAAGGGGCAGAAAGCTGCGCCAGCCTTGAGAATGGCCAGCCATGAGATATACAATTCCACAGACTGGGGAAGAAGTACTGGCACAACCCTCTGTCTGCCCTGGGAAGGTATCGAAGCACGAGCTATTTTTCTCCCCAGATCTGAGGAAATCCGGTCCAAGTCATGGTACGATAAGCAACGAACGTTTCCATCCGCAGCGAGAAATTCAATGGCATGGTTTGAATGGTTGAGCTCACGCAGAGCAAGCTCGTGTAGAAGTTGAGGCCCTGGCAGTGTGGCAGGGTTGGCATTTATTATGGCCAAATCAGGAACCTCGGTGGCGGACAATGTCATCTGTATACCATTCTGAGCAGCCTGCTGCTGCACGATCTGCTTCAGCTGGTTGCCCAACTGGTACAGGAAATCGGCATCCATACCTCCGGTCGCACGCAAAGCTCCCAACTGCGTGGCGGGGTCCAGGGTCCACTGTAATGCCGGATGATTCCCATCATCACTCAAGACAGGGTCTCCCAACACTAAGGCTGTGTGTTTGACTGAGAGGTCTGATACAGCCAGATCTGCTGGCTGAACCGTTTGGGCGGATATATTTGCTTTGACCGGCACACCATTCAATACAAAAACCGGGTTCTCCTCCGTTGTAAATGCGCGTAGCAAGAGTGCCCATGACAAAGCAAGTATATCGGAGGGGAGTTGGGCATCCACCTGCCAGGGCATGATATGAACATCATTATCGTCATTGACGGCAGGGAACTGAGTGAATCGGTCCATGACCTGTGGGAGTAGTTTTTTTTTTTTTTCCTTTCTCTCACACACTCCTACATATTCAAGGTCCAGTACAAGGTTAAGTATATATCTCGATGGCTCTGCTTAGTCGATCTAATTAGGCGCAACCTGAGTGGCTGAAGAAGATATGCAACGGAAAAAAAAAACAGTCCCACATACAGGTTTTTATTTTTTTTTCGTTTCGTTTTTCAAAACCAAATGGAGGGGCTCGGAGTTAAAAAAATCAATGGAGGGGCATAGCCATGGGGAATTTGTAGGATCTTCAGCGAGCCAAGCGCGGAAAAGATGGGAAATTTGTATAGGATATTTTCCAAAGGACTTTTATTACCTTTGGAGTTACTATAACCAGCTTACTTTCTTCGGTAGATCTCGAATAGATAAATTTATACCTAGCTAGGTATATATATACGGAGTATCTTTCTCGAGATCAGACCATATCTCTCGGAATTAACTGAAACAAGTGTCCTGTTATGGATGACGTATAGTTTATAAGATACCTAGGTATGATCAGGTATATCTTATGTTTTTGTTAGGTATATATACATGTATGTACTAGTAATCATAATAGCCTCATATAATGTCATTGTCATCTCCTCAAATGCCCCCCCAAAAAATTCAAAAAGCACATTCATCTTTCCTGTCTCCACTGTAAACGAGTCCAATGCGTTGCCAAGAGAAGTCACAACGTGCATGTATGTTATACCTAAGATACCATACAGGCTCCGATCCCCAATTTTTCCCGACATCGGCTGTAAGACCGGGTGTTTAGGATTTTCAATGTTCTCGGACTGCATGAAGCATGGAACCTTCTTCTTTGATCTTCTTGCATATGGAGTATGTAGTGAGGTACTATAGATGCATACTATATGTTGGATGGTAATCTAATGAGAAGAAAATAGACAAGTGCAAATATACCATACCCTGGTCCGTACACTTTTCCAAAAAAAAAAAAAAACCATCAGTGGAGACTGATTGATAAAAATTGAAAAAAAACCCCAGGGAAATTACGGAACTTGGCAAAGATCAAGCGAGGGCTTCAAGAGAGACCTTCAGGATCCACTTGGTCAACTTATCTGATCCGCTCAGATTTCCGGAGAGACAAAGCATATAAAGCCTTTTTCCTTCCCCTGCTTTTTTAGTCTTTTTCTTTTCGGCTTTGAGAAGCTTCGAAGCTCTGAAGCTCTTGGATTTCCTCTTTCGGCTGTGATATATACACCTCTCTTTTTTTTAACCTTTTGCTTGAATCATGGAATCTGTTACCCGCAAGGAGCTCTCCTTCCTCGACATGGTGCCACGCACTCAACCTCAGTCAGCTCGGTCGCTGCTGCGATCAACTGACGCGGACGAAATGCATGATCTGCTCTGTGTTGGATTCGGCCCGGCTTCCCTTGCTGTCGGCATTGCCCTGAATGACGCTATGGACCCCGCTCTCGGTGCCTCCAAGGACCCCAACTTTAAGCCCAAGGTTTGCTTCCTGGAGAAGCAGAACCAGTTCGCCTGGCACTCCGGTATGCTGGTGCCGGGCTCGCGTATGCAGATCTCCTTTATGAAGGATCTCGCTACGATGCGCGATCCCCGCAGCAGCTTCACTTTCCTCAACTACCTGCACCACAAGAACCGCCTCGTCCACTTTACCAACTTGGGTACATTCTTGCCTGCCCGTGTGGAATTTGAGGACTACATGCGCTGGTGTGCCCAACGCTTTGCCAACGTTGTCAACTACGGCGAGGAGGTTGTCGAGGTCGTCCCCGGTCCTACCAATGCCCGTGGTGTCGTCGACTTCTTTACCGTCGTCTCGCGTAACACTACCACTGGCGAGATCTCCTCCCGCAACTCCCGCAAGGTCGTCATTGCCCTCGGTGGCAAGGCTAAGATGCCTCCCGGTTTCCCCCAGGATCCCCGCATTATGCACTCCTCCAAGTACTGCACTCACCTGCCCCAGATGTTGAACGATGATATGGCCCCTTATAACATTGCCGTCGTTGGCAGTGGTCAAAGTGCTGCCGAGATCTATCACGATCTCCACCGTCGCTACCCCAATTCGCGAACCACCCTCATCCTCCGTGATACCGCTTTGCGTCCCAGTGATGACTCTCCCTTGTACGCTTGGCCCCCAAATATACAACCCCAAGGAATCATGAAACTAACCTCTCCTTTGTTTCTCTCAGTGTGAATGAAATCTTCAACCCCGAGCGCGTTGACAAGTTCTACGAGATGAGTGCGGAGGAGCGCAAGAAGCGTATCGCTATCGAAAAAGCCACCAACTACAGTGTGGTCCGCCTGGAGTTGATCGAGTCCATCTATAACGATATGTACCTGCAGCGGGTGGAGAACCCGGACGAGTCACAATGGCAGCAACGCATCCTCCCCGAGACCAAGGTGGCCCGGATCGAGCACCACAACGCATCAAATCGCATGCGTATCCACCTTAAGTCGGTCAACGAGAGCGAGAGAAAGGAAGTGTTGGATGTTGACGCCCTGATGGTCGCGACGGGCTACCTCCGCGACGCGCACGAGGAACTTCTCGAGAACGTGCGCAGCTTGCGGCCCGCCGGTGCGTCGGGCTGGAACCCCGGCCGTGATTACCGTGTTTCGCTCGATGATGCCAAGGTCAGTGCCCAGGCTGGTATCTGGCTGCAGGGTTGCAACGAGAGGACCCATGGTCTGAGTGATTCTTTGCTGTCAGTGCTGGCCGTGCGGGGCGGCGAGATTGTCAGCTCTGTTTTTGCGGACCAATTGGCTGGCACTCCCTTGGTGCAGGACACCCGGGTGCGCGCTATGCTATGAAAAAAGGTGTGAAACAAAAGGTGACATAATCGTCGTTTTGTGTCTCGAGTTTGCTATCAGGAAGTGGGCCGAGATATGTTTTTAAAAATGTGTCCAGCGAGACAGCTCTCGATGATTCCCCTCTTCGCTGTTTTGGGTGAAACATTTAGACATCCTGTGTATTTAGAGGTGCTTTCTTTTTCCTTCTTTTGTACTTTGCGTTAATGATGAGCTTTTTCAATGATTTTCTTCCACTTCTTCTATCCTAGCCTACCCACAATATTAACCTTGGGACCTATCGGTCTTATCACCCCATCAGATCTTCAGGCGCTTGGGATCATCCCGGTATACTCCTAGGCAGGTAACAAGTACCGAAGCGTGTCCCGACCTGTAAGTGGATTGAAATTGACGTACTCCATACGCAGCACACACCGGAAGTTGTACGGTAAAATCAGCTTTTAATCAAAAAAAAAAAAAAAAAAAAAAAAAACGGACATCCTTTCCTTGGCAAGTGTGGTACACAATGAAGTTCCAAAAACAAAAAAGAAAAAAGATAACTCAAGCGCTGGTCGGTGCCGATCTCGATGGCAGGTATCCAGGTACGGAGTATAGTATATGTCTAGACTTTTATTTATTTCATAAATTCCAACCTTCCGAGGTTGGAACCTTTTGGGAAATCTCAAAGGTCAAACAATCACAAATCAGATAAAACTAAGTGGGGTCCTGCATGGATCAGATAACTTGAAAGTTTTATCTGATCGGACTTGGCGTTGTTTTCTTCCTTTTTTTTCCTTTCTTATTTTTTGAAAGAAAAAAAATAAAAAGGAAGAAACTCCTATAGGACCGTATATCGTTTTCCTTAGAATAGAAAAAATACAATTCGGGAGAGTTCCCAATTCTGCCCTATGTAAAACTGGCTGAGAGCGTCACCTGCCTAGTTGAGTGGTTAGCGAGATGGAGCCTGCATACGCACTGTTATGACTTGGTATTTTGTAAAATTTTCAATTTCCCGATTTTAATTTGTAAATTTGCAAATCTGTTTTGAAATTATATTTCTTCCTGTTTCTTTATATTTCCGGAAACCACACTTCCAGGCATGTATGCATCGTACGATCTACCCAGTCTTTGTATCATTCTCCCTGATTATATCATAACATTTCCGAACGTATTCGCCCCATGCCTTGTCTCCATAGGTCCATAGACCAGGCCGGTACCCGAGAGATTAGATCTTCCCAAATTTCCCATTCGAGTTTCGGCTGTTTCTTCGGCGATATCGGATGTGTTCAGAGTGGGAATATCTGATTTCTCTTGGCTCATGTCGTTCGTCCCCCTACCGAGGTAGGTTTCACATTGGGCTGTGACTCGGATTTGTTTCGGGCTCCAATGTTCAAAGCTATTAAATGGGCCCTTTCTCATATAGTAGAATTGTATCTATCGCCTATTCTGTATGTGTCGAGGTGAGATTTTGAGGAGCTAGCACGTTACCTTGTGTAATTCGTCAAGAAAGGCTAGAACCTATTGTCATCGTTGACCGCTAGATAGAACTACCGAGAAATATCAGCCCATACTGGAGTCTCGGCCGTCAAACATTTCTCTCGGGTCCCGGTCCCTGAAAAAGGAAAAAAAAAAAAAAAAAAAAACAAAAAAAAAAAAAAAATGCAGCCCTGCAGTTGGCTGCAGATACGGAGTCACTACTGCCGCTATCCGCTTGGTAGGATCTCAAGCTACAGAAGTACCTAGTGTGCGCTGGCATATGCACCCTTAGAGCTTCCATGCAGGTACGTTTTATGCTCTTGCGATGCGTACTGTAAAGCATAAGCCTGTCATGTGCAGCGTGCTACCTATGTACCTGGACCCAATCGGACGCACCAATCGGCCCCGTTCGGACGGGAGAGGACCGACCTTCCGAGGTAGGTATCATTCCAGAAAGGTCGAAGGGTCCAAGACTCGGTCTTGATGCAGTGTATTGGTGATTGGCTGCAGGAGCCAAGGGAAACAATCTATCTTATCTGATGGTAAGGTGAGACTGTGGGGTGTTGAGGACCTTGGATGCTAAGTGGGTGCCGTATATAGCCCGATAATGAATACTGGTTCCTGTTGCTGCCCAAGAGCCAAATCATCTCCCATGATAGAATAATAAAAGAAACCTTGGAGTCATTAATGTCTAACGTTAACTGTACAGGATCCTTTCTAAATCCAAAATGCAAACATTTGGTCGTGCCACATACCCCAACATTGCAACACCACGCTGCTTTGCATAATAAAACACAGGGTAAAAGGATATCAATGCAAACAACGCTCAGATCTCGGATCATCTTACACCATCCGTTCGGGGTCCTCGCCAGCAACGCTGCGGTAGCCAGATCCCTCGCCGGTCCGGTTACCAGTGTGCATGCGCATCGGGGTTTCGTACATATCGTGATAGTTGATCACCTCGCCGCCAAGCATCGCCGCCCCGGTCTGGCGCTTGCCAAAGAGCGGAGCCGGGTCACACCAAAAGTCGCGGCAGTTGGTGACAACCCCGCGGGAGAAGGGGTTGCGGGGACGAGCCGCCTGGGGTCCGTCGCGGAGACCGTCCTTGGCAGTTGTCCAAAAAGCGTCGATTCCGAGAAGAGATGACCACTGCTGGATGCAGCCATGTTTCCGTCGGGGTTCGGGTGGGCCACGGAGGGCCGGGTTGGGTCCTTGCCCAGAAGCCGAAAGACCAGCAGCTTCCATTGACGTAGTTCCGGCGGTCATGGCCGATGCAAAAGCTTGGGAGCTTGGGTAAGACCGGTCGATTTGATGGCCTCGCATGTTCTCGTAGGTTGTCTGGTTGCGAGAGATCTGGACGAGCTGGACGGCGCAAAGCATCGTGACCCAGACCAGCTGGAGGGTGATCCACACATTCAGCACTAAAGTGAAGGGGTCGCGAGAGGTGTAGTCACACAAGGTGTCGTTGATCACATTGCAAGTAGCATTGGTGGGAGCGGGTAGAGAATTGATATCTGCCATCATGTTAGTTGACTGCTTGAGGGCAAAAAGACCTATAGTACTCACAGGCAATAGTCAGCTGCACAAATAGAATGATACCAACTTCAAGGGAAACTATATAAAGAACAAAATGGCGGAGATTGTTTACTCCAACACAGTTATCAATCCACGGGCAATGGCTATTGAAAAATTAGGGGTCAGATCAATAGAAATTTCTGGAGACACATACTGATCATGCTTTGCAACGCACCGCCCGCAACGCCGACAGTGCCTGCTCCGGAGTGGCTTTCTTGCCATACAGGGGATGCAGAAGTTCTCTTCATCAAACTTCCATTGCTCGAACAGTTCCTTAACAATCTCTCTCTGTTGATTCCTGCTGCTCACTTTCGGAACATAACCAGGGTCCTGGACCATGGCAAAAATATAGAAATAAGCAGTCAAGCAGAAGAAAACCGCAAACAAGATGTTCAGAATCGGAGAGGACGAATAGGTTGCTGGTAGCACCTTAAAAACATAGCGGAAGCCAACCCAGAACAACGTGCCAGCAAAGACGCCAGCAAGATACGGTGTCTTGTGTAGAACGCGATATTCCAAGGGCCCCTTATTCGCAAATTGCTGTGCAACGTACTGCATCCCGAAGACTGTCACCAACACGAGGGGCACAGCAACGAAAATCGACAGGTTACTGAGCATCCAGATAGCAATCAGAATAATCAAGAAAGGCCAAAGGAAGAAGAACTTGGCCATGATGCTCTTGTTGCGTACGAAGTTTGAAAGGCCTAGAGGCACCACTTTTTGGGTGCCGTCCGGTTCAAAGCCGCGCTCGTTGAGCGAGCGGTACCAAACCCGCAGAGTGTTCATTTCCTGAGCCACAGTCGCAGGTGATTTTCCATCTCGGGTCTTTGCGAAGCGGTCGGTGCCGTATTCAAGCAACTTCAAGACACAAGGCATCGAGCCCTTGACTAGCGCCCAATGAAGCGGCGTTAAGCCACCTTCGTCCACGGCATTTGCGTTGGCGCCCCATCGCAGGAACAAGTCCACACACGCAGGATACCCCTTGTATGCAGCCCACATCAGTCCAGTATGCCCTTGTTGGTCAACAACGTCCACGGGGATCTCCTGATGTAAAAGCAGCACGAGTAGAAAAGCATTGCCATCGATGGTTGCGAGGTGTAGAATGTTGTATCCTTGAACGTCCGTTAGAAGAGGATCACCTCCATTCTGAAGCAGTAAGTTCACAATATAATAATGACATCGTTGTGCCGCCCACATGGCTGGTGTGGCCACCGATTCCCCTCCTTTGGCGTTGACGTCGGCTCCGGAGTCGATCAGGAATTTACACATCGCATATTGATTGTTGATTGCTGCCCACTAGAAAAAGAGAATGCAGTCAGTGAGCAGATCCCTGTTATACATTGTGCCGGGTTGTCACGAACATGTAGTGGTGTGATCCCCTCTTCATCGCGGTGGTTTGCGGTGAATTTTTTGGACGTGAACAACTTCTGCATGGTGCCAATCTCGCCCATTCGAGCCAACTGCATCACATCCTCCCCAAGAGGAATTGAGCCTTTGGGGGGGATCAGGGCGCAAGCTCTTCATCTCTACATCGTTTGGAGTGGGTGTCTCCTTGCCATTCGAGGCGGAGGTGGAAGCGGAGGTCTGGCCCGGGCTAGGGTCTCGGAGTTCTGGAGAGGTTTTGGCAGACATTTTGTGTTGTCTATTGTTGAATACGTATTGAATATGAATCGGATGCCACTCGGGGGCTGGGAAAGGAGACTCGATTCGAGGACTGGACTGTTTTGGGACGGTATTCTAAAAGAACATTGCGGTTCCGTCGCCAGCGCATCCACTCTGGAATTTTTGACGATATGCTCGGTGTGAAAGGTAGAGGCAAGTGGTAAATGGTAAATGGTAAATGGTTAGTGGTAAACAGATTGAGAGTCGAAAGGGCGGAGGGATTTGCGGAGACGCTAATCGAGCTAATTGAGAGACACGTCGCAGCCCTGCACTTCCTGTTATATGATATTCTGTACGGAGTAGTATGTGATGAAATTGTAACAGATTTGATATATCCTTTACTCTTCTAAATTTCGATTTCTGTTCTTAACATGTTCCTTTTTGAAGGAGGATCTTGATTACTCAGCCACAGGCAGCCGCATTTTGGCTCTCGGCCTTCCTTTCTCTCGAGTCAATCCTTATATATGCCCATGGTGCAAGGCTGGAACATTTAGAAATCAAAAGAATTACCGGCCTTCACACACGGGCGTGCAATAGGGACCACGTTCCGAAGTGCGACTCATGCGAGTCCACAAGTCAAAGAGAAGTGCAGCTCTACCGTCATCCGGTCCCTGGGACTGAAGCTGCCATCTACGATCTTCGTCCTTGGCCAAGCAATCGAACCCTAGCGCATACTGATCCTTTTCACGACGATTGTCAAGAGTGAGTCGTCCTACCTGCATAGCCAGCATATTAAACATCTTCAGAACTGTCAAAGGAAGCTGCCCGTCATTGATAGTGACCAGCTCAGCGACTTCTACAATAATATCTGAGAGGTTGCAGCACTGGTTCGAAAAGCAACTGCAAGTTGACTCGTTAGAATCGTTTTGGAGCTGCTTCCACCCAGAGAGTGTGTGGGCTATACGACGAAGCTCAATCTGGATTGCAGGGACATCCTGACATGAGATATCACCGACAGACAGTTGTTCAAGATATACGACGAACTCATTTCGCGAGTCGGCGAAGAACTCTCGCATGGCCTTGAGAGTACTTGCATCCATGATGGTTGATGCAGGGTGTTCTTACTGATTTCAGGGTTGAGATCTTTGAATAGAAGTGTTTCAGCTAAATCGCTCGAGTCGGTGGTGATGTATATTCAAACCCCTGGGGATGAACCTTTTATCCTCGAGTATTCAACCTTCAATCTTTGTTGAGTTTGAAACTGTTCTTGGTCATCAAGACAAAGGCATAGGATAAATAGGACTATCGGATGAATAAAGAACCCAAAGAGGGCCTTTCAAGTCTGTGTCGATCTAGTATATCTCTCTTTAGTTGATATCCTGACTTGATTCAAAGATATACTTGCACAATGTATTTCCATTGCTTCTCCTTTGTTCATAAACAAGACATTATATATATATAAAGATCACATACAATAATCATTGTCGATTCCTCAAATCGAAACTGTTATACTGGTAGAGTGTTGCAATCAACAAAAGAGAAGTCGCAACTCCACTTTCGGAGCTCCCTGTTTACCGCATCACCAACCTCTCAAAAACAACAATGGAAGACACCGTGACCAACAAGCTCATATCAATTCTCAACGACCGAGGTATCTCCACTAAGCAGGAGGCGGTGGTGTCGGCATTTAAGGATGACAGGAATACACACTGGGCGTCCAAGTACCTCCGCCCTGACACCCTACTATCAAAAGACGAGCTCGCGTTGTACGTCTCAGTTGTATTCCATCTACCATCACATGGCTAATTGGAGGCAGGTACCTCAAGCTCGAGAACTCGGATGCTCTTCAACCTATTCTTCGCAACCCAGGCCTCGGCGCGACGCGGCCTATCCTCGAAGACGAACTCCGCAACGCGATCGAGTCCCTCGAAGCCTCAACGGCAACAATTCAAAAACAGACCGAGACTCTCAAGTTTCAATGGGAAAGTCTCAGCCAGCAATTAGGCCTAGAAAACAAAGTGAAGCAGCAGCGGAGCCGCGATATCGCTCGGCTGCAAAATAAACATGAAGCGGGGAGACAAAGTACTACAATGGCGGTAAGGGCATGTCCATCGCAAACCGTCGCGTGTTGCTGACCCCGGTTCTTTGTAGGCAGCTGAGCTTGCCGATGAGCTGGAGGCTAATTTAAGAACTGCATCGGACAAGTCGGGCGCGGAAAGCAAGAGAATTCTCGCTTCTCTGTCTACCCGGTTAAAGCAGGACGACAAGGTTCTGGCGAGGTTGGAAACACTCATTTCCAGTATCAAATATCGTGGGAATGATGCATCTACAGTCAAGCGCGCGAATCATCTCAGCGCGACGCTGTCAGACTACGTGGCAGAGGAAATACACTACCGTCTCGATCGACTGTATCTGGAAACAATACACGCAGGGAGCTCGGATCCCGACGCCAAAGATGAGCCAACGAGCATTGCCCTCGAGGAAGAACTTGAGTCTCTTTATCCAGAGATCGAAATTTTGGCAGAAATGTCGACCAGGCAGCAGTTCCACGAGCCTATCCTCCGTGAACTCCAGAACGAGCATGATCAGCTTCGGGTGGCGTCGCAGGAGAAACTCGAACAGGTATGAGGCTCTACCTTGGCAGTACTATTGACCAGAAATGAACTAAATCATACCAGGCACTCGACATGTTGATCGAGATGACTTTGTCAAAGCAAGATCTTACGAACCAACTCGGGGTCCGGGAGTCGTCTTCTGAACTATTAGAACAGCTAGCCGCATTATACCAACTCGAAGCAGGCAGCGACCTCGTCACACAGGCATCATCCCGACGAGAGTCTCTGCGACGCCGATCGTTACAGCCTGGCCTCCTTGCCCGCACGTCCAGTGCCCCTGTAGTTGCCCAACCGTCACTTGAAAGACTTCTGAGGCGTGTTGGTGTACCACCAGAACCATTAATCCACCCGCGCGAGAATGGAGGGGTTAGTGACCTCCACGAGAAGCGTTATCACATTTCCGAAACACTTCACAGTCTCAATATAGCTGTGGGCGCTCCTCTCGTGGCTCATTTAACACCGTTGGACAACGCGTCTCAGCTTCTTCACTGCTCATTGCACGCCAACTCTCACTATGAAACATCACTGCGTGACTCTTCAGAGCATTCGGCGCTCTCGGGCCTCGAGAAAGGACTCGCAAGTCTTCAAAATTGGGCTCAGAAGCTCAATCTGGATGTTCTCCACCAGCGTGATAGCAATCAAGAGAGATTAATCGAGCGGTGGACATAGGAACCGTGGCGCAGCTTCACTGCCCAAGGCTGTTTTTTTTTTTTCTCTTCACATGATTGTATTGTTTCTAAGGATCTATGCATCCATGCATGAAATTGTGTCTGATCTTGTAGTCGAGGATGTCAATGGTTGGCTCTTAATCGCCGTTGGTTGTTTTAGCGCCAGAGTGGCATGGCCTCTGATTTGACAACTGGTGTGTGGCTGAAGGAAATCCTTCACCAGGATGTTAGGATGACTTAATACTCCTGAATAATGTTTGCGCAGTGAATATTTTAGGCAGTGATCACAGTGATTGTAAAGATCATTGGATCTTATTCTCCGAAAAAGTTGTGTTCATTGTGCTATGGTCAATAAGAGGTGTTCGGTTGTATCTTGAACGCTCTCTGTGTGCTCTACAAGCCACGCCTCACTCAGGAGTACCCTGCTAATCACACTATATCACTACTTGAATATACCTTCTTTTTGGAGATGCAACTCTAACATCACATTTCTGGTGTGATAGAACGAGGTTGAACATGGGATTTTGTCAGATTCTGTCAGATTCTCTCAGGCAACTGGTCTCCAAAGACGTTGACTCGTTGAAATGTGCCCTGATGACCGCAGGTTTGTATCAGCCATTCTCTTGTTGTGAGTGAGAGGGAAGGTTGACTACAAAAAAATAATAGCTTCGTTATAGGTTTCCTCTCTTGGGGGAGATATCTTCCAACCCCCCGGTTCATCGTCGGATGGTCGAATATAAAATCAAGTCGATATCTCGCCATCAAGCTCTTTGTTTTCAGTCTATACCAGATCACCTTGCTTTGTCAATCCTGCGTTGATTCGAGTTGAATATAGAAACAATTCTCTATCTTTACTATCGTTGCCCTTTTGAAAGGAGTCGGCTGCTTTGAAACCATTGTCGACATGTCTTCTTACACACACTATGCCCGGCAATTCGGCCATGCTGCTGCAAACAACGAAGTTCGTCAAGTTCCATTCTTTATTTCTTTATGTTCACTCAACAACTCCCTTGTTCGGAATGTATCTTGTGCTTCCAGATGCATTGTTCAAGAGTCATTTATTATCACTTCATTGCCCTCCAACTATCCTTGGACTCCATCGAGTATCGAGGACAAGAGATTAACGCATAAGATAGAGACGCCATCACATATATATTGAGCGTGCAACACGTCAATCCTCGAGAAACGCATATTTGAGATTTCTTTACATCGAGAGAGGTGATCCGGGGTATACATACCCCCCAGGCACCACAGCGCGTCTTTACTCGACAGGTATGAGGTCCCGGCCTCCCAGTTCGGTTTACAGGTCTGAACCTGTTCGCAACTCCAGTTCCCGGTATGTACCAGCAACCCATGAGCCGCTTCCCAAAATTTGGGTGGATCCCCTGGATTATGAAATGGCATCTAATTGTGCCAGGCAAAGACATGACTCGTGTGCAAGGCCAATGAGAATGGAGGAGCGAGCACCGAGAAACGTTCGATTCGTGGATTTTCCGGATCAAACATGGGCACGAACAACTCAGGTTCAAAATACACGCGAAGCAACTGTGGATTACCAAACGAGAGTGCCCGACGTGATCTCACACGGATCCCGTGAACTATCGAACTCGGCTCAACGAGTCCTCGGGCGATATTGGTTCTAGAGCAGCATTTTGGTCGGGGCCTGTTACATCTCTAGCTTTACCGATCTATAAGCTGAACAAAGAGGTCAGGGCTCTATACCTATCGAGTATGGACGCGCTGTGGTGCCTGGGGTATGTATACCCCAGATCACCTCTCTCGTGTAAAAGAATGTCAAATATGAGCTTTGGGGGAGTTTTTTTTTTTTTTTTTATAGAAGTTGGAGATGAGAAGGTTTTGTTGGGTGGTGATATTTCATGTACACAATTTAAGGTCACATGTGGCAACGTTTTCTTATCTTCCCTGATTTGATTCAATTCGATTTTCAATTCGCACATGACCTACGAAGTACGGAGTACTGTGTCAATCTTGGAATCCTTTGGGGAATTAATTAGCTTATTTTCATATGAAGCTGCCAACCGACATAATAACATAAGGAACCTCTTATCTTTCCTCCCCCCCTCCCCAAATCGAACCCCAAGATCCGCCACAGAGGGTGCCCCAAGTCCCAACAGAGGCCAGAAACTACTTGTTGGAAAATGAGATATCCAGCTGGGCAGCCACCATCTACCTCAAGGTCCAGGTGCGCACTACTCGCAACCCCCTACCAAGCCCGCGCCTGCGCGTGGCAGTGAAAACCATTCACACACAACCATGGCCACTTCCGTGACACAAACTACAACCATGTCCATGTCCCAAGACACAGATCCCAACCCCAACTCAAACTCTGTGTCAACGATGTTGAAACTCGGCTCGCCGCTGGATAATATTGATCGTCACCAACCCGACCATCCTGATTCGTCGCCGACCCCCGCCGTGTTTGATATTTCGCCCGAGGCTGCATTACACTTGCTTTGTTTGAATATTGAGCGGCTAGGCGCTTACTTCGCTCAAGAATCTGCCGGCACTGATGAGCTGCATGCGCATGGGTCCAAACCTCGGGACCATCACGACACCCCTGCTGAGGATGAGCTCAAGGTGAAATCTGTCGGGTTGCATGTTAAGAACTCGAGTGGTTCGGTTGATCCTGCGAGGGCGACAGAAGAGGCCATTCAAATGGCGATCTTGGCGAAGAAATTTTTATCGAAGAAAGTGCCGCCAATTCCGTTGAACGAGTATCTGCTCCGTTTGCATAGATATTGTCCCATGTCCACAGCGGTCTATCTCGCAGCTAGCGTGTATATATCGAAGATGACGCTAGTCGAGAACGTGTTGAGAGTTTTGCCGAAGAATATGCATAGGCTTGTGCTTGCTGGTGTTTGGGTTGCTTCGAAGGCTCTGGAGGACTTGAGCTATCCGCATAGTCGGGTTGCGAAGGTCGGTGGAGTCAGCGAGCAGGAACTGTCAAAACTCGAAATCAGCTTTTGTTTCTTGGCCGACTTTGAGCTACGTGTGGATGCCCAAATGTTGATGAACGAAGCCTTGCGCCCTCAGAATAACCTGGGATAAGAACCAGTCAACCCATATTGTGTTCTGTCTCATATGAGGTCATATTACATTATGTGGCCTTATCTGACTAGCTAGGCGCTGTTCCTGACAGTTAATTATTTACTCTAACCATCTATGGAGATTCAATTGACCCATCAAACCCGTCCAAACACCAACCATGATATACAGTATGGAATATATTCGCGGACCAAACACGCTTAAAGACTACTCAACATTCAAGACTGATTCGTCGAGGCAATGTGCACAGGGGGATAGTACCAAGTGCAAACAGCGATGATGAAGTAAACCAGCACACAAAGAGCACCCTCAAGGTAATTGGACTTGCCATCGCGCAAGAAATTCCCAACGACCAGAATCGAGAGCACAAGGAGGACAACCATGAAGATCTCAAAGTTCAAACTCATATCCTTGCCCATGCCCCAACCAACAATGACAGTGAGCGGTGCATTCAGCAGTGCTGTTTGGATCGAAGGGGCCAGGCAGTGGAAGAGTGCGAAATTGATCTGGTTATCCCAGGCTTCGTCGATGGCCGTGAGGTGTTCGGCAGCCTTTTCCACCAGAGGGACGAGAATCAAACCGAGAAAATTGTCCGAGACACCGCGCTCCACGATGTGCTCGATTTCTTGGACTAGGAAGACGGCGGACATGCAGACGCAGGTCAGGGCAATGGCGATGGCCACAAAGCATTCTATCATTGTGAGCTTTGCTCTCGCAGCTTCTTCGTGTCGGTCTTCGTCATGGTGTTCGTCTTTCTCTAGGATATCATCGAAAATGGTGTTGTGGCTGTGTAAGTTGAAAATAAGATATCTATCAGAGTGTTAGTAGGGATTATCGGAGCACGAGCTTGGGGCCACTCACGTCAAAAATGCCACGAGAAGGATCACCGCACTGGCACGGCTGATTGTCAAGGCATATTCATTCAACTCCACCAGAGTAAAATGATCGTTGACGCTTCCACGCAGCGCTGAGTAGAACGCGCTTGGAATCAACAGACCGAAGCCCGCGACTAGGAGTAAACCGGTCCCAACTTCACTGATGGCTTCGTGGAAGCTCTGCTCATGACGCTTGATACCGCCGACAAAGAAACACATGCCCAAGCAAAGTAGGAGATTTGCCAGGATGGAGCCTAGAATAGCGGCCTGGATGACAGGGATCAGATCCGAATGTTCGGTCCGGCCATGATTATGCAACAAAACCATGAACAGCACGAGTTCGACCACAGAGCTCAAGGTTGTCTCCACCACGATGCCTATCATCTTTGGTAGCTTTTTGGCTAGCTCTCCACCCGCAAAGCCGAGTAGGTTTGCCGAGGGCACCATGGCGATGTAATTGAGACTGAAGATCCAGACATGAAGATCAGGTCGCGCGAAATGGACGACAATTGCGGCGGGGATAAAAGGCCAGAGGATATTTACAACCATCGAAAGCGTACAAACACTCCTAAAGCATACCTTGATGAGATGCCATGGGTGAATGCCGGTTCGACCGCTCTCTCCGGCCGTGTCCACGCGAAATAAGGCCCATCCTCGCTTGGAAGTGGTGGAATTGGTGGGCAAGATCGAATTTTGCGAGCGCTTTTCCGGGACCGTCTGCTGGTCGCCACTCCCACGGAGACGGAGATCGGCGTTCTGTGAATGTGTTGATCTGATTGAGCCCATTTTTAACCGATCACTACCTCGTATAGATCAGAGGGTTCGGCGAAGGACACGCGAATTACCAGACCGTGACGTGACGGGGAAAACAGAATAACAGGGGTGATCTCGAAGCTAGAATAATGTAAATAGACCAGGGTATTAACGCGCTAAAAGAAAAGACAAAAGGGAGTTTGTGGTGGGGGGGGAGGAGAAAGACTATAGAGTACGGAGTACTCCGTACAGAGTACAATATAAAGGAGGCAATTAAAAAACAAGGTATGCGCTGGCACTTAATAGAGCCAATCAGCCAAGTATTTGATATGAAGGAGCTGAGTCCAGGAGGTCTTGGCATATCCCATGATGCTTTTGTCGTGATCTATATCCTATATTCTCTCGTCTTTGTCACTTCTTCGGCTTGAAAGAAAAGAAAAAGAAACATAAAGGGGTTAGGCTTGATTTCATAGTCAAATCTCAGACCTCAACGTATGTGAAGTATGGTAAGTATACAGCATACTAGTCAGGGATGAAACGCCAATTATGTGTGGGCCATGTCTGCACAGCCACGGCCTTTTATAGAGTGAAGGACTTACAACATACGGAGTACTCCGTATATATATATATACAAGCGTAGACGGCCGCTTCTGCGGCCTTATGATCTCTTTCTTACAGGGTTTTTTAGTGGTCTTTTTAGTGGTCTTTTCAGCAGTCTTCCAATAGCCTTCACAGTGGGCTTCTCATTTTTTCTTAGATATCTATAAAATAGGTTTCCCCTTTCCAGTCTATTCAAGGCGGCAGAAAAAGGCGGAAAGAGCATACTCTGTGCAAGCGACTTTTCTATGTATAACTTCTGATATATATATACCAGTGTAGACGGCCGCTTCTGCGGCCTTACGATGTCTTTCTTACAGGGCTTTTTAGTGGTCTTTTTACTGTAGTGGTCTTTTCAGCAGTCTTTTCCAATAGCTTTCTCAGTGGGCTCCCCATTTTTTCTTAGATATCTTTAAAATAGTCTTTCCCTTTCCAGTCTATTCAAGACGGCAGAAAAAGGCGGGAAAAGCATACTCTGTGCAAGCGACTTTTCTATGTATAACTTCTGACTTCTGATGACTGACTGATATAAGGCACGTTTTATACCCTTGGGAATATTCCTTCCTAATCTCTACAAGTTCTATATTCTGAATTTTGTTAATATCAAAGACACAAATGTTTTGAACATTAACATAATTAATATATCGAGATCTATATTATTTATCCATAACAAAAGTCCATACATCAATCTATACATAGTATATATAAATCATGGGGCCAGAAAAAAAAAAGCCGGTTATCATCGGGCGGGGCGTAAAAGGCGAAATCTTCGAAATTCGAACTTCCCTCTTGAAACTACTCACACAATCTCATCATGGCCTCTATCACAACCCCCGGCAATGCGCCGGTCACTTTGGATACTATTACCCAGCAGATCGGTAACACACCACTTGTGCGATTGAACCGTCTGCCCCGCACCTTGGGAATCGATGCTACCGTCTACGCCAAATTGGAATACTTCAATGCCGGTGGCAGTGTGAAGGATCGCATTGCCCTTCGCATGATTGAAGAGGCTGAGCGATCCGGTCGCATCAAGCCTGGTGATACTCTCATTGAGCCCACCAGTGGCAACACGTAGGTTCCTTTCTTTTCTCCTAGGTCATGGGCTCGGTTGCTAATTGAGATTCACCCAGTGGCATTGGTCTGGCACTGGTTGGTGCTGTTAAGGGTATGTTTGAATTGTCCAACACTTGTTTTATACGTCCTAATTTTTGTCTATTCTTCTCTACTCAGGCTACAAGACCATCATCACTCTCCCCGAGAAGATGTCCGCCGAGAAAGTCGCCGTTCTGCGTGCCTTGAATGCAACTATCATTCGAACTCCCAATGAAGCTGCGTTTGACTCGCCCGAGTCGCACATCGGCGTGGCCAGACGTCTCGAGAAGGAATTGCCCAACGCCCATATCTTGGATCAATACGAGAACCCCAACAACCCATTGGCACACGAGCTTGGCACTGCCGAGGAGATCTGGACCCAGACCAATGGTAAGATCAGTGCTATTGTCGCTGGTGCTGGAACCGGTGGTACGATCACTGGACTTGCCCGTGGCCTGCGGAAGCACAACCCCAATGTCAACGTGATCGCCGCCGATCCCTTTGGTTCTATTCTCGCCCTGCCTCCCTCCCTCAATGAAGCTCGTGCCAATGAGCCTTACAAGGTCGAGGGTATTGGATATGATTTCATTCCTGAGGTTTTGGACCAGGATGCCGTGACCCAGTGGATCAAGACCGAAGATAAGGAGTCTTTCGAGTACTCCCGCCGTCTGATCGCCGAGGAGGGTCTGTTGGTCGGTGGTAGCAGTGGCAGTGCCATTGCGGCTCTGGTCAAGGCTAATAAGGCCAAGAAGTTCTCCGAGGACGATGTCGTCGTTGTGATTCTTCCCGACAGCATCAGAAGTTACCTCTCCAAGGTAGGATTTGACCTTTTATTGACTTTGCCTTCAAACTAACGAATTTTCAAGTTCGCCGATGATGACTGGCTTGCAGCTAACGATCTGCTCCCATCGCTTCCCGACGTGACATCGACCACTCAAAACCAGGAAGCTGAGTCTAACCCTCTGGCCAATGCCAAGGTCAGCGCTTTGCGCTTGAAGCCCATCACAACCGTGACAGCCAACTCCCCCTGCGAGACTGCGATCGAGGTGATGCGCGACCGAGGTTTCGACCAGCTTCCCGTCCTTGCTCCCTCTGGGCGCAAGCTTGTCGGTCTCGTTACGCTCGGCAACGTTCTCAGCCGACTGACGCATGGCCGAGCCTCGGGTCAGAGTCCCGTTTCCGATGTCATGTTTGATTTCTCCAAAATCTCCGAGGTGGTCACCGACCCCCGTGATCTCTCCAAGGGAATGGACTCCCTCAAACCTCAGACCCGGAGTCGGGGCTTCATTGAGATCACCATGGATACCCCTCTCAGTGTCCTGAACCGCTTTTTCGAGTGGAACAGCGCTGCGGTTGTAACCGAGAAGGACGCAAGTGGTGCGATGAAGCCATTGGCCATCGCTACCAAGGTCGATTTGCTCACTTGGATGTTGCACCAGTCCAAAGCGAACAAGGCCTAAAATGTTTTCTTTTTCTTTCCTGAAATACATTCGTATGAGACATTGCTTGTTGGGTAGGGGTTCAACATTCCTGAACATTCTTTGATACTTTGGGACAGGCGTTCTCTCTTGCGTTGGCATGAAGGTTTCTTCGATGGAATTCAACACGTTGTGGAAATGAAATACCTAGATCATGCAGCGCGAAGGCGTTGAATGTGATACATACTTAATACATACCATAGAAAAAAAAATAATACATCTATATACATACATCTTTCTATATACATAGTACTTTTTCAGATCTGTTTGGGGGGAGGTGGCAATGACGTGACCGTCAGATATCAACTTCATCTGGGAATCCTTTCGACGTTGTTTCAACCCGCGATGACAGGAATCTTCACATATCGGAACTTCTCGCTGGAAAATATACCAGCGTTAAATGGACAAGTGGCTGTGGTGACAGTGAGTTCTTTCAGTATATTTCGACCCAGCAACTAATTTTCTTAGGGTGGACAAGCAGGTATTGGCAAAGGCAAGCATGAGCCCCTGATCTCAATTCAATTGAATAACCGGCCGAGTATAATAATCAATACAGAAATCACCGCCCAGCTTCTCTTACATGGCATCGAAAAAGTAATCATCGTGGCCAGAAGTGAAGACAGATACACCACTGCTCACGAGGAATGGAGACACCGCGAAGGCATTTCACTCGAGAATGACACTCGAGCTGAATTTGTCAAATGCGATTTGGGGGATATTCTGGAGGTCAAGGCCGCAGTTGAGGAGATCAAACAACTCACAGACCGGATTCATATACTAGTTTGCAATGCAGGTGAGCTCTATTTCTCAATATGAGCTAGAATTGGTACATATTGACCTACCTCCCTAAACCAAAGCCATCAGCGTTCAAAATGAATGTAAATGCTCACCCCAGAATATCGAGCGTGTATTCGCGACAAACTGCGCTGGGCACCAAGTCCTAGCCACATCGCTCCTACCTCTGTTGAAGAATGGCGTGGCGTCTAGCAGCGACGTACGAATTGTCGTTACCAGCTCATCATTCCATTTTTGGTGCCAACAGCTTGATCTGGATCTTCTGTTTTCATCGTCGCGCGTCAAGTGGCCCGCGTTGTACGATGGGGTATGGCGCTATGGTCGGTCAAAGCTGGGTAACATCCTCTTTGCCAAAGAGCTCAGTCGGCGGCTTCTGGACAATCAAGATCCAGCGAGCAAGCAGATTTATGTCAATGCATTCTTTCCGGGCAACATTGTTACTGATCAATGGCGTGGGTGGGATTCTTACTTCGGGGGCTTCTTAGGTTGGCTTATAAGAACGGTAGGATCGTGGTTGGGCCAGAGTCTGGAGGATGGAGCTGCTACAGCTTTATTTCTTGCTACTAGTTCCGAAGTGCGGGAGCGGAATCATCGTGGTCAGTATTTTATACCTATCGCTACGCTGTGTGAGTCCAGTGCGGTATCTGGAGATATGAAGCTTGCTCGAGATCTGTGGGTGAGTACTTTTGTTCTCTTTCACACCCACGATGATTCTATCATTGCTGATCATGCAGGATTGGATTGATGCACAAGCTACAGGAACACTGGGGTTGGATTGGCAATATCAATAGAAAACCACGTTGTAGTCTCTTGAAAACCTCGGCGAGGCTTTTGTTTTTTCTTTTGGGATAACATATACAAGCAAACCACGATAGGGCCACTTATTTACTATATTGGACCATCGAGCCAAGAGAGCAAACCCTCATAGCGCTTACAAGCACATACCAACCCACTCCTCCCAACGGCGCACTCCAGAGCCGAACTCTTCTAGCAGGTCACCCTTGACAGCACCTCCAACCACATCAACCTTGATACCGACCTCGTGCTCTAGGAGCTTGAAGCTGAAAGTCTCGTGTTCGTCATTACCCAGAATTTCCTCTTCGTCTTCCAACCCGGTATCCGCACTTGCATCTAAAAGACCCTTGGTCTTCGACTTGCGGATGCGATCAATCTCTGCCTCCAGCTTCTCTCTCACCGCGCCTGGTGGCAGTGCAGTGAAGAGATCCTGCTTGTTCGCGGCGATTAATACAGGGATATCAGTGGTCCGCTTGCTCGATGACCCGTTCTTTGCGCGCTTTTGGAGAAGGAGAAGAACATCGTGTAGATAGGTCGCGGTGTCACGGAGCGTCGCTTCATCAACTAGAGCAGCGGTATCAACCATGAACACCACACCACGTAGCCTTGTCTTGATGTCCTTTGACTGGGACATGGTCTGGAGTTCGGAGATGCCTTGCGAGAGGCGGAGCTTGCCATGGCCAGGGGTATCCCTTACGCGGTACTTGATTGGATTCCGGATGGCCTCCTTCAAGGAGGGATCATTGTCCGATCGGTAGCGGTTGGACCCGGTTGGGACAGTGGGTGGTAAGGTCACGGTTACAAAGGTTGATTGTTGGGAGGTGTGGGTATCGTGCGACTTATTCGAAGCGAGTGAGGACTTGGCCTCGAGCTATAGATTGGTTAGCAAGAGATCGACCACTCTGAGGTCCTGAAGAGCCTACCAAGGTTGTAAAAGCAGTTTTGCCAGCTCCACTGGGGCCTAGGAGTAGGAAATTACTCGAGGGCGGAGAGGCTACAGCCTGGAAGAAGAAGATGTGCAGTGCGATCGGGACACCAAAGGTGAAGAGAATGGCAATAGCAATGGCAACAAGATTGCCATCAAACAGCAGTGTGGCAATGCCTGTCAATGAGTTCCAATTTGCTTGAGACGACATGGTTGGGAGTTGAAAAGTGGTGGGCCGACACTTTGACAGGAGACCCGAAGGATAGCACGGGCCACTCCCCTTATCTTAGTGCACATCACACGTTCTATAGAAACCCGTCAAGGGCTTCTCCCAAGGGCTTCCCAAGGGCTTAGGAATGATGCAAATCATGCACATACCACGCCTTATGAAGGGATGTTTTCCAACACTCTTAATAGATCACTCTCTGCTTTCTAGCAGCCCGTGTTCTTCAATCATATCAGTATGCGAGTCCAATTGCTCCAGGTCGCCATGTTATTTGCGGCTGCCTATGGCCAGATCAGTCCTCAGGTCACAACATATGCTCTAAGTTTTGATGGTGCAGCTGTCGTGAGTCTGCTTTGGGGCCTAGACAGTGAGCCAGCTTCAACTTATGATTTTTATCTTTGTGCTGGTGACGAGACGACAGGTTCATATGTATGTTTCGCTCTGTGCTGCAATGGAAACATAAGACTTAACCACATGTTTAGGACACTCTATCACAAGTCATCAACAATGGCGCCTATGCTTCTGGTGACGTGGTGTCATTTCAAGTCGACCAAAGTATCGGTGGAAATGAACCGAATGCATAGTAAGACTAATTCCTCCTAGCATCTGCGGCTTCATAAATTTGACTTGGTGTGACTGACCAAATATCCCTGGTTTCAAATCAGCTTCCTCAAGATAGTTCTATCTGGCCCTCATAATCCCTGGTCCGGTTTCACTTCCCATTTCACTTTGACCAATATGAAAGGTACCTTCTCGACCAAAGTAACAGATGCGATCAAGACAATGCAGCCGGTTGCTGCCGTCGCTATTCCTTGGCCTACAGTCGAAGACGATGAGGACCTCCTCGAGGCCGCCGAAATCACCTCAACTTCCAACATATCGAGTCTCATCAAGAATTTCTCAACCGAAACGGTCTTGCAGTTCTCAATCCCAACCGTCAAAGGCGAAGCCGAGCACAAGGAGTTGCGTAAAAGACAGGCGGCTGCTGTCGGTGAGGTTGAGGTCGGCATCGTTGCTGCAGTTAACCAGCATACTGTCCCGTATGGCGAGCAAACTGGCTCGATCAAATACGCTCCAATGCCGAAGAGCGCTGGGACTACTATCGCAACCAGATCGGCCACCCCGCAATATCCACCTTTCCCGTTCTCCATCGCCACTACCTACCTTGGTGTGCCAACCGTCCAGTATACTGATACGGCTTTTGCAACGTGGACGGCGAACAGCATTGAGAACACAGTGAGTTGGATGGTCAAGGCATGATGTCGGTTGATGTCAAAAACTAATCCGTTTTCTTTGTTGTTTAGGCTGCACCCGCTCCTGCGCCCACGTTAAACAAGAGGATGCAAAACTGGTTGGATCGTTGGAACGATTGATAGGTTTTCGGACATGTCCTGTTCATTCTCTCGGATATCTTTACGTGACGCATGAGTTAGCGTGAACGCATCCAATTCCAAATGATTTCATTGACTACTTGGATGTCATACTTTTGGGAGTTTTCTGCTTTACAACTGGGAGGTCTCTTTTTCTTGGCTGTTTCATTTGTTGGCCTATAAATCGCGAGCAACTTTTATACTGAAACGATCAAGGTTTGAGTGGGATATCAACCATCCAATGCAGTCGAATCCAAGAAATTTTTCGCTTCCGTTCGTAATATGCGTATAATGGATGATGCAACACTGCCTCAAGGCGACTTCCATTCCTCCAAGGCCGGTGTTAATGTCGGTGTCACCGTGTGTTTGTGGTCCTCGTGGAAGGAGATGTTCTCTCGCATTGCCACATAGTAGCTATCTGCATAGCCAAGTAGCGTCTCAATCTGCGTACTGCGGTGGCCTTTGATGTGTGCGATTTCAATGCTTCCGTAGTTCACCAGAGCCCGACCGACCTCCTTGGGTTCCTCTCTGTGGTGGATAAAGTCGCCATTCAAGGCATTTGGCGATGGCCGATCAACAACTACTAGCCGCACGGATTCCTGCTGTCCAAAATGGCCTTCAACCCCGACCACTCCAGCCGGGAGAAGATTGGCATTATTCAAAAGTGCGTGGTAAGCTCCACGGTCGATGTACAATGTACCGTGGGGGTAAAGTCCATGGAGTAGCCAGAATGTTCGTGATTGAATGGGAGTATCTGAACGGATAAATCGGGTGTGAAGAGGGGCAATGGGTGCCTTGTTTTGGTCGCCGGTTGCTACGCCATTGAGTTGAGCCTCAAGATATTGTAGATACTTCACAATATCGTGAACATTGCCTGGCTTTGAGCTCTTGGTAATGACTGTCGTGACACCAGCACTGGTTCCAAGCTTTGCAGCCACAATCTTCGTGCTCATGCCCCCTGTGCCAAGGGAGGAGCCTGCCGACGAGACGTCAGCCTCGAGAGAGGAGATATCAGTGACTACCTCGATTGGTTTTGCGTCTGGATTAGTTCGAGGATTGGCTGTATAAAGACAATCGACATCGGTCATCAAAAACAGATAGTCAGCCTTGACCATAGCCGCTGTAATTGCAGAAAGGGTATCGTTGTCGCCAAATTTAATTTCCTGGCGATCATTGGGTTAGGGCAAAGATTCAACTTGAAAGGGAATTTCCTTACAGAAACGGCGAGGGTATCATTTTCGTTGACGATAGGAATCACTCCCATATCAAACAATTGACCAAATGTATTTTGCGCATTGACATATTGGGTTCTCTGTATTGAGGGTCAGTAGAGGAATAAATTTGAGTAGTTATGAGATTACATACATCAGCGATATCATTTCTCGTTAAAAGAATTTGGGCCACAGGGACACGAAGGTGCGAGAATAGATTATCCCAAAGACTCATCAGTCGACATTGGCCAACCGCAGCGAGTGCCTATAAACTTCGTTAGCAACTTTTCCAAAATTGCGCGGGCTTCAGTTTCTGTAGAAGGGAAGACCTACTTGTATACGCGGCAGATATGTCGGTCTCTGGTTCACATTCATCCTTCGCAGACCAACACCCACGGCACCAGATGATACAAGAACGACCCGGTGGCCATCTCTATGTAGTTTGGTCACCGTTTCCACAATCAATGTCAAGATCGAAAGAATCGGCTCGTGAGTTTTCTCATCAACAATCGAACTCGTTCCTATTACATTGAGTGGTCAGTAATCGAGTCATCGGCCAATAGATATAGATCCCCGTACCTAGCTTGATCACAATTGTGAGACCTGATGAGGCCACCATGACGCGAGTTCTAGCTCCAATAAGCCTCGTAGCAATAAGAAAATAAAATGAAGAAACAAACGAACAGAATATAGAACGGCCTGTTCACTGCCCCGCGATGAAGCGCGGAAGAGCCCTTTTTTGCCCGATTCCGGCGCGTATTCTGCCAACCACCACCGCCATTTGCGGATCTCGCTTTATCGCACGCGGTGATACATGAATCTCGACAACTCCACGATCGAAAATGACAGACTCTCAGTCGCCAGGTGCAACTGGACCTTCGAATGTGAAGCCCGACACTACGGGCTTCATTCCAGGTGATGACACCTGGACCCAGTTCCGCAATATCTATTCCATCCTCACTGGCAAGATGTCCAACGAAGGAATTGAAAAGTTCCGTATTGCGCGAGACACTCGCAATGAAGAAGCAGACTGCAAGCGCTGTGAGGACCAGCGAGATTATCTTCTTCAATATAGTGAGTCACTCCTTCAAGGGTGATCTGAGCCGGATACTGACTAGGTCAATCTATGAAGGTCCTACGATTCGATTCCTCAGTGAGAGCATTCAACAATTAGGAGGCGATCTTCACAGTCATAATATCTACTGCCGTCGCTGTACAGATAGAAAGGGCGGTGGCTTCGATCCGGAATATGGAATCTTGATCTGCGCAAATGAGATGAAGGATCAGGGACATCTCGAAGATACCATGGCCCATGAGATGGTTCATGCATTTGACCACCTCAGATTCAAAGTGAATTGGTCTGATAATTTGCGACACGCGGCGTGTACCGAGGTATGTTTCATTTTTCTCGTCTTGAAAGGTCAGTGTTCGCTAAATCCCTTTAGATTCGGGCTAGTTCGCTCAGCGGCGAGTGCAGATGGGCACGCGAATTCTTCCGAAGAGGACAGTGGAAGCTTACACAACAGCACCAAGAGTGTGTCCGACGGAGAGCCATCCTCTCTGTACGAGCGCGTCCGACTTGCAAAGATGAAGCCCATGCCACACAGGTCGTCAATGAAGTCTGGGATAGCTGTTTTAGAGACACACGCCCATTTGACGAGATCTACCGATGATACCACAACCCATGCAGCGTTGTATTATTCTCCACCCTTTTTGTATGATAGATTTTTTTTTTTTTTTTGGATGTACTATATTCATGGGTTTCACCAGCGACAGGAACATTCCCGCCCATCTACTCCGTTTCATTTAGGTAGATCTATTACGAACAAAAACCGACACGGCAATATATCATCCGATTGACGGTACTAGCGGTGAGATGAGATCAAAAATATTTAGTATATGATAGTTGATGTCACTGTTCGGACACACACAACTTACAGATCTAGTCCCGTATGATTCTCCGCCTTACGTTCTGGTTATAATGGAAAATACACCAGAGACCACACAGAGAAAGCTGTGCCTTCCAGTCAAATTGCTTGAAAGTATTATGTTGTATTGAACACGTCGGAAACGAAATAGAATTAAAATCAAAATTCGCGATATCGCGAGTACCTCTCCAGCTTGACTCCCAGGACAAACCCAACACGCCTTGAAATGCTTGCAGGCTCGGAACACCAGAACTCCGTATGAGAAAATGTCTAAATGAAACGACAACCAGAACTCCCAGAAAACCCGTAATGCAAGGGGCAAGTCATGTTCATGCTTTGCCCTCCTTGGAACAACCCGAGCTTCGCTTCACGGTTCGATCATCTTTCTCACAATGCTTGACGATCCAAGGATGGCGCTGGATCTCCTCGAGTGGGATTCTTTTAGCGGGATCAAGAACAAGGAGCTATATATTATGTGAACAAGCGGCCTTTTACATTGATAGAGAGATAGACTCACCTTCTTGATAAGGTCCTTCGCCTCCGGGCTCACGAAGGAGGGAACTGACATATCTGCTCTAGTGATTCGCCGTTGGGTCATAGCAGGGGTATCTTCGAATGGTGCCTCGCCCACCAAAAACTCATAAGTCAAGACACCTAGACTCCACAAGTCGACTTTCTCACTATAGTAATTGTCCTTGGACCCATGCTTGAGCATCTCTGGGGGTAAGTAGTCGAGAGTTCCACACATAGTTTGGCGTCGGTTGTTGGGGGCATGAACACTCCAGCCGAAATCGCTGATTTTGATCTCTCCATGAATTCCAACAAGGATGTTTTCGGGCTTAATATCACGGTGCATAACGTGCTTTTTATGCAGGTATTTCAATGCTGCAGCCATCTGCGCAATATATTGTGCGGCCTTCCATTCTGGGAACCGATGCTCCTTGCGAAGGTGCTTGTACAGCTCACCGCGGCCAGCAAACTCGAGGATCAAAAAAATTCGTTTGCTGTCATGGAAGTGACCATAGAGCCTCAAGACATTAGGGTGACGTAGGTTACTCTGAATCTCGATTTCACGCCTGACTTGCTTCTGGACACCACCCTGTTGTAACTCAGACTTGTGCAGTACCTTCAATGCACAGACGAAGCCAGAGGAACGTTCTTTGGCAAGATAAACTCGCCCGAACTTGCCCTTTCCCAGTGGTTTACCAATTTCAAACATTCCTAAGTGCAGCTCCTTGGGCACAGTTGGCTGTTCGCAGAGGGAAGAAGATGTGCGCTGGTCACCGTTTTCATCGGTGCTTCGAGTCACTAGCGCGCCATAAGATCCCCTACCCGGTGAAGCTGGGACGTTCATCGCATTTGCCTTGTTCTCATTGTTATTTTGAAGAGCCAACTTCAAGAGTTGAGCTCGATTCGAATTGCTGTTTGACTGAGCTGAAGAGACCGGGGCCTTGGTAAATCTGATCAGTAAGGTGGATTTCCAACCAGATCACATTAAGTCAAGTACCTTTTGCTTGCCATACATCCGATCATTGTTTCCATTTTCCTTCTCGTCTTTCATGGACAGATGCTCAAATCGAGCCTCGAGCGTTTTGGTCGTCGACATGATGAGAGGGCGTATGGGACTAATGGGAGGCGAAAATGGGGATAGGAAGAAAGGAGTTGTATAAAGCAGATCCGAAATGGGGTTATGTTTACTCCAGCGCAATCATGATCAATTTGCACGGATTCGGTCGTTCGATTGGAGGGTCGATTGGAGGGGGGAAATATCGCGAAGACGGAGAGAGCAACACAAGCACGGGTGTTTGGGCGATCCCATATCACCCCAGCAACGCCCCGGCTGATGTAAGATAGGTACCCTATCACGCCGCCATTTTCTCCGCTCTCGGCGCCTATATCCTCCATACCAATGATATGCTCTAAGAGAATATATCTGTGTTCCATTTACAGCTAAATATGACGAGACACTGTCTTCATCTTATACTGATAGAATGTTTTGCATCAAATGAGCACATTGAAAAGAAAATAATAAAAAAAAAAAAAGTTGGAAAGGACAGACCCGACTATTAATATATCAAATCAAACCCCCTTGAGCTTGAAAATATTCTGCCGAACAAATGTAGCAGGGTCGGACCGCCTCTTTCTCCGTCCGCGGGGTTATCGCTATCAGCTCCCATCGCAAACCCGTGGACATTTATACATACCTGTGAAGGTCCTCGGCTGGTCTTGATCTCTTGTTATTGTCAAGCTTGAACCATGGCAGCATGCGCTACGGTCTCCCCGGAGGCGAAGAAACCCAACTCGATCACTATCAACGGGTTTCGAATCTCAACACAGAAGCTGCCCATTCTTAAAGCTGACCCGATCGAAGAAATGACCCAGAAACTCGGCATTGCACCCCCGGAAATGATTTTTGGTGATAATTATGTTGCAATAGAGCACGAGAAGGGCCATTGGGGAATCAATTTCAATGCGTTTGACGCCTTGGACTTGGTTGACAAGACTGGTCAATCCATGCTCCAGGTCGCGTACTCGGGAGAATGGCAAAAGAGCAGGTATTTAATTTCAGCCTCCCAACTTGTGCTTAGTCGATCATTGCGACTAATAACCGGGTATTCAGAGAGAAAACCCATGAAGGAATTAAAGAAGTTGTGAAACCATTCGACTGGTCATATAGCACCGACTACAAAGGCACCCTCCACCCTAATGCGCGGCCGTTCGAGCCCACGACGAAAGCAATTCCGATTGAACTGTTGAAGCGCCCAGACCCTATCCTCTTCTTTGATGAGGTTGTTCTTTATGAAGACGAGCTGGCGGACAATGGGATCACCATGCTGTCTTGCAAGATCCGAGTCATGCCAGGAAGACTCCTTTTATTGACCAGATTCTTCATGAGGCTTGACCATGTCTTGATTCGACTCCGAGACACTCGAGTCTATGTAGACTTTGCTACAGGTGAAGTCATCCGGGAATATCTCTCAAAGGAGTGTGAATATGAGAAAGTTCGACAGGTATGTCTACTTATTGGACAACATGGAGATATATTTGACCTGACAATCATCCACAGATGCTAGCAGCGACTAGGCACGATATCCCGGCTTTCTTGAGAGATCCCAACCGACTCTCTGAGGTTCTCCCTCTTGTAGAAAAGCACTCCGAGCGATTAGTGCTAGGCGATTGAGAGATCTACGCTCCATATTCTAGTTATCCACGGGGAATACCCAGGCATCGAGCTTGGGTAGAATTATCAGCATGACTGGGATGGTCGTCATTTAGAAAATGATCATCTCCACAAACAAAATACACCACTTGATCATGCCGGCCATAGGTCTGAACGTTGGGAATGAAGATACCTCGAATTCGCCCACATGAGTCTTATGTTAGACTCGATTAGTCGGGTTGCAGGCCTACTGCCACAATTCATAATCAAATTCATGGGACACATTCAAACGCAGGGGAACATGAGTTGTACAGAGCTCGAGTTCAATAGCATCAAATTATCAGCCGAATGGCCATCGGGAGGTCCACATGGAAAAAATACCAAAAGACATATAATCGAGTCCAATAGAAGCTTGCAAGACACAAGTGTGTGTGCCCCCAAAGTTGCCTTCTGAGCTCACCTTCAGAACAAACAATGCAAACACATTTTATCAAGAGAAAGACCCAGATCGCCAATCACGATAGACCAATTCGCAAATTCCACATCCTCAACAATGTCATCCAGGAGGTTTTCAACACTATGGACGCGTGAGATTCGCGGGTCCCAGAATTTTCACCTGTCCAGATCTGCTATTCGCAGCCCGATAACACCGGTCTCCGCCTCTTGCGCATCTACGAAACAGCCGTTGAAATCGATCACCACTCGATCATATTCGCAAGGCAAGGTTTTTGACTTGGCCAAGAACTTTTCTCGGAGACCCGGAAATGCCGCCGAGACTTATGTCGCATATGGCATGACGCAGAAGCTATTCGAGGCCTGTTCCAGCCAAGCGGATTACAAGATCCCCCAAGCGTCGCAAAAGGGAGTGGAGGTCCCTAAAACGGAAGCCGGCGAGGATCTCGGTGTTGGAGAGGGCTGGTGGTATAAAGGTGTGACAATTCTAGCGATCTCTGGCTTAGGCTGTGATCTGGGTTTGCAGGCAGGCTAATATCTTTACTGTAGAGCTCGGCCTCTTGCCAACCTTTTCTACCTGGTCCCAGGTGACATTCCTCCACATGTACCTGTTGACGGTTCGCCTTCGTGCCCTGCCCCATCGTGAGAGTGTTACTACCTACTCCCGCCACTTGATTGACCACTTCTCGCATGAAGCGGAACACCGCATGGACGTGTATCATGATCTAGGTAGTCGCACTATTCGCAATAAATACCTGAAGGATCTGTTCATTCAATGGCGTGGAATCATTGCCGCATATGATGAGGGGTTGGCCAAAGGCGATGCGGTCCTGGGCGCTGCTGTCTGGAGAAACCTCTGGAAGGGAAATCAGACAGGACCGGATGGGAAAGAAGAAATCGACTGGGCGAAGGTTGCCCAGGTCGTGGCCTACATGCGTCGAGTCCTGTCGGAGCTATCAAAGAAGGACGAGGTGGATCTTGTTTTTGCTCTTGGGCGTGACCAGAAGAACACTGGTATCTTCGAGTACTCGGAGACGGACAAGAAACTTGTTCAAGCAAACAAATAAGGAATCATCCTTGCATAAGTGAGTGGTTTGCCTTTGAGGTATCCGTCTTGCTATGCTATCTAACACTGTTTGATCACAATAACATGTACAATATTTAATTGCCCTACTCTCTTTGTATAAGAATTTTCATCGTTCAAGATAATGAGACAAAAATCTAAAAAGTGAGCATTCACTATCTATCAACTTGAACAAAACACGACACAGAGAGAAAGACCTAGTTGTCTTTCTTGCCAAACAGATCCTTTTCCACCATACCTCGGCAGATAGGGTGATAAAATTCCTTGTTTTTCTCGAATGTTGCGAGGGCGACAGGGCGATTGATTTTCTGAAGATTGCGGAACCTAAAAGGCCAAAGGAGGTCAGGTCAGTGTCATGAACAGAACCTGGGATTAGGATGGGGGCATCTTACAAAGGCCGCACAAACTTCATCCGGCCAACGCGGCCCAGCAAATCCACTGTTGGCTCAATGATGCTGCCATCTCCTGCTTTCATGCCAACCTGGCAGTAAAGGTTCGAGACCTCGACATTCTTGCTCTTGGTAAATCCATAGACATCGTCCATCAACTTCGAGATCTTGGGGCTGAGAGGTATCTCTAGTAAAAGCATCTGCTCCAGGAAGACGACCAACTGGTTTGCAGTCAAGCCCTTGATATCGCTGATATGAGGCTGGAAAGGAGAGTCAGGAAGGGACTGCCACTTCTTGGAAAGTTCATAGACAGCATCCACCATCGATGTGTCAAAGCTTGGCTTAGGTGGTAAACCTGGCGCATAGAACCACTTGTCCCAATCCAATTCTTCCAAGAGCTTAGAAGCCTCAGCATCCGACTTGAAGAAGTCCAGAATCAGAGCTTTGAACTCATAAGAGTCGAGCGATTTGCACTTGAAGGTTGTGAAATACTGCGAGCCAAGAAAAAGGAGAAGAAGTCAATAGAAGAACCCGAACAAGAGAAGAGAGATTGCATACGTGAGGGATGAACTTGTCGAACTTTGGCTTGCCAACAAGATTTTCAAGGTGGAACAAAAAGTTGAAACCCTTCTCATAAGGGACACTTGAAAATGCGTCGTCGGGATCCTTGCCCTTCAGGTCAATGATAAGTTTAGTAAACTCATGATCCTCACCAAAATGCTCGACAGCGTCAGTCAGAGACTTCCACCCAATGATTGCCGAAAAGTGGCGATAGGGTTCGCCGTGAATGGCAGCGAGAATCCTTCTCTCAAGATAAACAGTCCAGCCTTCATTCAACCAGAAATGCTCCCATGAAGCATTGGTAACCAGGTTACCACTCCAGCTGTGAGCCAATTCGTGTGCAATGACATCAACGTTCTCACGGTCCTAGGGTCGCTATCAGTCATTTTCCATCTGACAATTGTACAGAGTAATGGATACTATGTACCTTCGAAATGATACTCGGGGTTGCGAAAGTGAAAATCGGGTTCTCCATGCCGCCATAGGGAAAACTGGGCGGCAAAATCAGAACGTTGTACTCACCCCAGGCATAGGGGTAAACGATTTTCTGTGAATAGTCAGAATGAAGTATTGATATGGATAGATCATAGGCTGCGGACCTCGATTGTTGTAATGAAGTTCTCGGTGTCAGCCTCGAGCTCCCATTTGCACTCTTCCAACTTGTCAGGGCTGGTTGCAACGACACTGCGGGGGCCGATGGGAGCCTCGGCGACATCACTGTGGAGTTCTGCGTTAATGAACAATACATTTGTAGATGGTGGAGAAATTGTTACCCGCTAGCAATAGCGAAAAGGTAGCTGGGGATCGGCACCGACTGGTGGAATCGATACAGCTGGTGGTCCACCTTTGACTCCGGGGACGACTCGCGAATTGGCAGGCCGCTGGTCATGACCGGAAGCGGAGAGGTGATGTTGAAGTCAATGGTGGCTTTGACATCCGGAGTGTCCTGGCATGGGAAGATAGACCGCGCGTGGATTGCCTGGCATTGGGAGACTAGGCAATTATGTCAGCTATTAAAAGCTCTAGGGATCGCTCATCATTCATCACATACACATATATGGATGTTTCTTGTTTGAGGTTTGCGCAGGTGTTAGCCACTGCAGCGCGGTGCACTTGTCGGTGGTTTGCACCTCGATCTATACTTGAGTGAGATAGAGCTTCATGAGAGAAACGATTGCAACACATACATCAACCTCAACGGTGCCGTTCAACTTGATAGGATTATCAAGGCTAATCTTCAATGGCACACCATAGGGCTCCAGCGGGGGTAGAAACTCCCACTTGGATGGCCGACCATCCACCTTCACGGCACCGATGTCGAGATGACTGGTATCCAGGATAATCTCCTGGGATTGACCATCTGTGATCGACTTAAATTGATGGACCACATTTCCTACCAGCTTCTTCTGGTCGAACAGAATATCGAAGTTGGCCGTGATATGAGTGGAACGCCAGTTGTTGTAGTTACTCAGGGTGTTCGGATCCCGAGGATTGATAGCCATAGTGTGAATCGAAGCGAATTTCGTAATAGAAGCACGTTTGAAATTCCAGCGAGCAAAGGAACGACCTAAGGTGGGAAACATGAGGTGGGAAGTTTTTCCCCTCCCATCTCTAAATTTTCCCGTATCTAAGCGTCAAGTTCTTGTTACTACATTTACCTCGACATATATCGATATATCGATATCGATATAGATCAAATATCTTAAAGATTTATATTTACAAGTAGGCCAGTCTTACATATCTTCTATATTTTATATATCTATGCTATAATAGCCTCCAATAGCTACATAGTTCCCTTATCCCTATATCCGTCTACGCTAGGGAGAAGTGTCCTTTCCCTTTCTCTCTACCTCTTTTCTGAGGGAATCCAACACATCCAACGATTGAGAGAATTTTCAGAATCCCGAATCACTCATATTTAATATCTAATCTCCTCTGATTACTTCGACATCGTTTCATCCCACATTGTTTTTTTCTTCCACCGCCCGGCAACCCGGGAAGCCTCCCCTGAAGGGTAAGAGACCCCTAAATCTGAAGCGAACCCTTCAGGACTCTTATTCTCCTGGGTTCATTGCACATTTTGCGTGGATCACGCAAATCTCCCTGTGAGTCTGGGTCTTCATCCCACAATGCGTATTCCGTATCCCTAATCGTTCTAGGTCAATTGAAATAATGTCTCTCAGTCTACTGTTTTGAAACCCTCGAGCCCTCCCGATTACGAAGCTATGTATTGAGACGGATAGGGGGTCTTTCAAACCAAGGATTCTCTACAAGACATACGACACCGTCTAGACTTGCGAAGAATGAACGAAGACACCCAGGACCTGGTTGCAAATACCCATTTCTCTCTCCTATTGTATTTGACTGGTCGCGCATAGTGTGAGGGTACACAATTTCAGACACACTCGATATATTACATCTGCGACATTTAAATCATTCGTTCAACTTCGACTTTGCGAAAATGATTCACCACACAGTGGATGATGATCCCACTTCATCTTATCTCAGACGTCCTTCCGGTCCCTTCGCATCGGAACCACCTTCTGGACCGCCCCCCAACCTGCCTACCTCCCGCTCGTCACGGCCTATTTCTCGGGCTCGAATCGCAAAGCCACCAGGTGCGGTCACACCCACTGGCCTCGGTGTGCTTACAGAGAATGTCGCAAACTTATCCCCAGAGGGTCTCGGAGCGGTCAGCCCTATCAAAGAAGGGCTGGGCAGTTTAAATCGCTGGTCCCAGTCAACGGCATCTAGCAAAAGTCCCTCGGAGTATATCAGTCATCATCGTCGAGGGAGCTCGAAAATGTCAATGTCAGGTCACAACCGTGGATGGGGGGCCATAGCCCCCAACGTGCGCCGGGTTCAAATGGATTGCCGATGCTCGATCTGCCGGAGCTGGAGAAGTCTACCATATTCAACAACGACACACCATCACAACAACTTGATCTCTCATTTGCAGCCTCAAGCCATCTTTTTCAGCCCTCAACACATAGCCACCAAACAGATATTCCAATTGCTCGGACCAATGGGGGGTCAATTCCCTTCAATGACGGGGAAGGAGACCCGGCGGCCATCCAACATGGACAGACTCAAAAAGTTATGCTGTCAAAAGCACTTCAGAAAGCAAACACGGCAGTGCTTCTTGACAATGCTGCCAATTTTGAGGGTGCCATGGAAGCTTATACTGACGCTTGCAACTTGTTGCAGCTTGTCATGCTCCGTAGCAATGGGGGAGACGAAGAGAAACTCAAACTTCAAGAAATTCGAGACACATATATGCTCCGGGTCACGGAACTTCATCGTATGGACTTTCCTCTTCAGGAGAGCGACGACAAAGCCCTTCCAGATCGACCCCTCAGCCAAGAGTCATATGGTGAATTGCTTCATTCGACAAATGATGGATCCCATATTCAAAGTCAGCAGGGCTCACCTCGTTCCAGCTTTGGGTTCCACCAGATCCCACTAGAAGAGGCAAGGGGATTTTCCTTAGAAGCTGTTCCCCCTCGACGACAATCCTTGAAGCCGTCTGCCTTGGAAGATCCACCCCGATCTTTAACATTGCTGGCGGGAAGTCAGGAGGACGCCAATGAATCCACTTCATGGTTGGACACAATTGATGAATCGGGTGCCTCGTCGCCCTCGTCGGCAAACTCCAAGGCGTCATCGGTGTACCTTCGTCGTAGGACAAGCCGTCGCCTCAGTAATGACACCGAGGCTGAGTTTGATGCGGCCCTTGATGCGGCCGTGGAAGCTGCATATGATGAAGGTCTGGAGTCGGTGCCGGAGCACAAAGAAGAGGAAAGCGATGCTATTGTTTCAAATGCTCGCAGGAACATACAATTAGCGAAGCAAAGAGTACGGGAGGCAGAACAGGAAGCAGAAGCAATGAACCGTGATCGTGAAACGCGCCGGATCCAAGAACAGACAGCTTTGAGGGATGACCCCTTTATTGCCCGTACTTCGGAATATTTAGATGATGAAGCAGAGGAAGAGGAGCGTTTGTTAGAAGAGATGACCAAGGGCTACGTGATGGACGACTTTGAATTCGGCATTCAATCAAAGTCGGCACTCCCTCGAGAATCGGATTCTAGCAACATCTCTGGGAGGACATGGGAAAGCTCTGCAACGTCCAATGTCGCAAGTACTGGGGGTGCGCTGTCTACGCTTGCAGAAGATGATGTGTTACCACTAGGCGATCTAAGGCCCGAACCATATGCCATGCCCTCTTCTCCTCCATCTTCGGCTTTACCGCCCCTGCCAGCGTCATCCGACTTCCCGGCTCCTTCAAAGCGGGCTTCGATATCAAACCGCGCTGGTTCTATCGGCTCGCTCGCCTCTAATACAGGCCTAGGAGTACGAGCCCGGAGACTATCCAGTCAGACTCGCGAGCTTAAAATCGAGACCAACACCCGCTCCTCTCGCGCCAATTCCAATGCATCATCGGCCCTGGAGAATTTTACAACCCCACTAGCAAACCGCCCGCCGCCGTTGCCGAAAGACGAACCTTCTACCCATGGGGCCCGCTCCACTTTACACCCGACACAACGTAACCCATCGGTGGGCTCTTTCACGGACCACACCAGTCTCTCCAAATCCCGTACCCATGAAGATAATGAGAATGAACTGCCGTCCCTGCCGCTATCAGCCCGGCCGATGGGCAAAGTACCCTCGGCTCCAGATGGATTGAACAAACTTCACTCCAATACAAAGCCTTTCCGAGCTCGGAACGCGTCTGTTCCGATTCAGATTCCTGACATGTGCCCAGAATCTCCAAGCACTCCATGGAGCGGTGCGTTCCCGGACACTCAAAGGGGCACGACTAGTGGCGTTCCTGTTTTACCTACACCGACCTTGACCAACTTCAACTTCAATCAAAACGGACTGCCAAGCGGCGGATTAAATCTCTTTGGTAGCAACATACACTCATCCACGGCTCTTGGCCGTCCAAACTCGTTGGTAGCCAATGCCCCGCTTCCTCTAGAACCATGTCCAGAGTCTTTCCTTCTCCGCCCATTTTGGCTCATGCGATGCCTCTACCAGACACTCGCACATCCTCAGGGTGGCTATCTGTCCGAGAAGCTCTTTATTCCTCGAGATGTCTGGCGCGTGAAAAATGTCAAACTGAAGGCTCTCGAAGAGAAAGTGTCCAACTGCGATCTTCTCACCGCCGCTCTGCTCAAATTGGCTCAGGTCGATACATATGATGCAGATGCGGTCCTGGAGGAGATGCAGTCGTTTGATACTGTACTCGACCAAGTTCAGGTTCTCTTGACTAAGAAATTGGGTAATGATGTTGGCGTCCAAGCATCGATGTCATTGTTCAAGCCGGCTTCCACGCCGGACGAGCCTGTTCAACCGGAAGTTGCGCCGAATAAGTCATACTTGACATGGAAAAGACTACGCGCAAAAACTTCCGGGCTTGGGACCACCACTGCGATCCCGAGTTCTCGAGACAGTAATAAGGACAACCTGGTCATCAACTCCGTTCCGATGACATCTGTACATGGAACACCTGCAAAGCGCAATGTTACCCAGCTTGAATTCTCTGGGCCTAACGCAAATTACATGGGGGCATTGGCGCGGCTTTTCGATGCTGCCCAGGTGCTAGGTAAGAATTTTCTCGTCTATATGCTCTGACACCATTCTCACTCCTTCATTAGAACAAATTGCTCAGCAGGTTGAGGATCCTGGACTCAAACATTCGTCTAAAACCCACGTTGGTCTGGAACTCAGTACACGACATGCTGCTGAATTCTTCGGCTTTTACATTTGTCGGTTCGCACTGGCCGATGTGGGCTTGATGCTCGACAAGTTCATTAAGCGAGGTAGCGAGTGGGTGTTGGTTTAGGAAGTATATGAAGCCATACGATAATTATCCCCCTCTCAGAGCCAGTGGAGGCTTGGAGTTTTCCTGCGTCTTTTGATATTCCTGATGTCCATATTTGATCTCCCCCACGTCTTTTGAGATACCATGATTTTTACCAGTGAGATTCCTTGATGATTTTAAGAACATAATTGTCACGAGATGGGATTGTACTTAACGCTGTTTGTTTCTTGCTCATATAAACTGTCGACTTTGGTGAATCTTGCCTCAGTGCGAGCCCTGATGACAAACTTTTGATGCCCATCACACATACCTTCAATCCAATTCTTTTGGTGCTTATTCTCCTTCCTATATACAAACATCTTTTATCAACGATGAGTTGAAACCTAACACAAATTCTCCCCCAGAGGTTTGCAGGTCAGAGGCACATATTGGCCGATCGAAGACAAATCTGCCGTCGTCTCTCCGCATCTCGGATAATCTCGGCGGACAGTTTCAGGCTGGGTGCTAGGTGTGCATACCTCTCTACCTCGTTGACCACTCCTGCAATGATCGCATCCATCTGTGGGACGGGAGGGAGCAGGATAGATAGTGTAGGAGACATTGTGGCACCCATTATCAGTAACGTCTGTGATACCATTGACAGGGCACCCTGCCACAGGTAGGGAAGGTGGCCTTCGCGGTGGCTGGATATATGCTCCAGTTGACGGAGTGTAGCATCCAAACATCGCCGACAACACTCTTTTACCCCGGGGTCCGCTCCAGCCTGCTCATTCTCAAAAACAGCCAGGATATATGGACGGTATATAATGGTCCGGCAGGCATTGTAGCGAAGCCTCAACACCGTTTGAACCGGATTGGAGATAGGTCTTTGGGTCAGGGGAAATTGAACGGGACGGGGAAGACTGTCATACCACTGAGACAGCTGAAAGTCAAGCTCGGAGACAATCGGACCCAATGATGCGAGAGTGTGAGTGGTGTCTTTCTGATAGATGATGTGGCTAACGCGGTTGAGGAGTCTCCGTAGCGCGATTTCTGCCAGGAAATACCAGAGTTCGTCACGCCGCACTGCCAACTGAGAGTCAACCGGGCGTGACGACCCCTGATATTTCCTGGCTGTTCGGCGTTCTTCCCCTTCATTGCGATCCCCTTCTTCCTCCTCTCCGTCATCCTCATCTTCTTCCTCAAAGCCTCCTGGCAAGTCCACGAGTTCTTCAAAATTGACAATGCCAGAATGGGGGAGATCTAATTCTGCGAGAAGATCACTTTCAAACAACAAGGCGTTCCAGTATACCCTCACACTCAGCTCTCGCCACTGAGTCGGGATTCGATTTGGACTGCCAAACAACAGCTGCAGTTTCATGCTCACGCTGGATAGCAAAGTCCAGGCTTCCAAGGGCCGCACTAGATAGAATAGGTATGCAGAGGCCATGACCATGCACTGCGCCGCAACCACAGTGTTCCGCATCATGACCGATGGTAGGAAGCTCCATGCAGCGGCAAAATAAGGAAGTCCCGGCGGTTCACGGTCTGGTGACACAAACGAGATACTGCCACTGTGGCTGGCACTTCCTAGGGCCAAGACAAGAAGAACAAGACAACTCATGGGTCCTTCCTGGAATCCCTGCGCGAGAGCTGATTGATAATATCGATTCCATGTATAAGGATTCACGCAAGCGTACCAAACATTTCCATAATTGAAAAATGCCTGGGCATACGTGGATGCATTTGTCAAATCAAACCCTGAATTTGGAGTCAACCGCAATGGCTCGCGGGCCATCTCTAATTGAAGAAGGTGCTGCGGATCATAGACCCCAGAGACCAAATCCCGAATCAGGGGCCACTGGAGGAGATGAAGGGCAGGAGTGGTGTGCATCTTGGGCATCGTAGAGATGCTTAGACTGCTAGGTGGGTTGACCCAAGAACCAAGTCCAACGGCAGACAATCTTCCATGAGCCGGCAGTCCGCTGGATGATGTTTTCGTCAATGGATCGTCGCTACCGAGGTTTGTATCGTTGCTGGTGGCCGGGGAGGTAGCGGAGAGGGCTAAATGTGACCCTTGGTTTGGTAGATTTGAATGTAGCAAACTCTCAATTCGGGCCAAATGATCTAAAATGAGCTTGTCGCCAGCATCAAGCTTGATACCGGGTTCTCGATAAACACATTCCGCATTCAAATCGGAGCAGAGTTGACACTTGGGACGAGCCCCATTGCATCGGGTCTTGCGTAGCCGGCATATCTGACACTGAATCAAAGTCAAATCTGCCTTGCTCGAATATGCCAAAGGCGCTTACAGCTATTGTTGCCCGTCTTCTGGGATATTCGGCAGCCTCTGTATTCGACCGCTTTTTCTTGCCGATGGATGTGTCGCTAACTGCATAATCCCCCACGGGGTCTAGCATCTCTTTTTCTGGGGGAAGAGTCATCATTCAAAGCTGAGATTGTGTGGAGTTGTATCTAACGTTGCTTTCCACTCCAAACCGAGGGGGTGGTCAGCATGACGGGCATCAGACCATGCTTGAGTAGGGACAAAAGAGAGGGATATCTAAGGAGACACCGGAGGTTTTGGGCGGGGGGCACGGGCATTAGTGTATAATGCAAGGCCGGCTTCTAATACAAATATATTCAAGTGTGTCCTTGTATAATAATAGTTGGCCGCCTAACTCGATACGGGGATGAGTCCGTGGCAGGTTGAGCATACAACCCGCTGTGACATTGGATTTGAAAACGTGAGACAAGAATAGCATAATGAAAGGACAAACAAACTAGGAGATTTGTCGATATATATATATATATATGTATGTATATATATTGACATATGTGGTGTGTGTGGTGTGTGGTGTATAAATGTCAATACACAGAGTATGCAGATACGTTGGATGTCACATGTGGTTCACGTGCACGCGTCCCAAACAAACGCGTCAATCTTTTGCATTTGTAGCCGCGCAATCATTTTGGCTGAGTATACCTCTGTCTTGATTCAATTCAATTGACATCATGCCTCGTCCTGCCCCCAAACGAAGTCGTACAGTGGGAAAGAGTCAGCCCAAAACCACCGCGATAGAAGACTCACAAGAAAATGACTTCAATATCGCCAAATCACCTGCGCAACCGGAGCGCGGCTCAGCCTTGGATCCGAGACAGGCACTACACAGTCAAACACCCTTGGACAAACGTCATGAACAAGCAATTGAATCTTCACCTATGGGGGACCGACCGGGCACCGGCAGTCGACCTGGAACCGGCAGTCGTCCCCCTACCAGATCGCGTGGTTATTCTTCTACACTATCATTCGCCGGACGCAAAGGCGAGACAAGCTCCCGGGTTCCTGGGACGCCTGGATTCGATAACTCGGTTTTAAGCAACTTTAGACGGCGGCCGCGACAGCAAAGCATTCTGCAGATGATGCAAGCCGACGATGGCTCTTCCGATCTAGACGATGATGACTTCCTTGGCGGACTGAGCCCCAATGATGAATCGACACCACTTAATCTCTCCCGGGCGAAATCACTACTTATTAACCCAACCGACAAGTCACCATCCCCGTCACCATCCGAATCACCGCCCTCGTCTGGCGGGTCACGCAAGCGCAGGCGCATGACCGAAGAGATCCAAGTACCACAGTCGTCTGTTGATATGGTAGAAGATAGCCCAACTGCGACACCGATTCAACGCGATGATTTTCGACATGACGATGGAGACCAACTTCCTGGAGATGAGGTTGAACCCGAAGACGAGGAACACGGAGATCAGGATTTTGAAGTTGAAAGAATCGAGGCGACGCCACAATCCCAACTATTCCCAGAAATATTCAGTCAAACGATGTTACCACCGGCCAGCAGCCCTGCTGGCTCCGCTGCACCTGGTGACTCCACACCGCGACCTGTCCAGAGAAAAAAGCCCAAAGCCCCGAGTCATCTATCGACAGCAAACCTACAAGACAAGCTTTTACCACGTCGCCGGCGCAGACTCCGCGCCACCAATGATCACAGCGACGAAAGTGATGATCAGCATGACGCCGCATCTAGTGACGAGGACGAGTTGAACTACCCATCACAAAGATCATCTGGGCGACGCGGGAAAAGCAAGCCCAAGCCATTAGCCAACGCCCGCAATCCGAAGCAAAAGACGATTACAGAGAAAAAAAGTAAGGATAAATCGTCCAAAGAACCAGCTACGTACTCACGTTCTCAAGTGAGCGTGCTCGGCAAAGAAAACGAAACGCTGTCATCACCATCCTCTTCTCCATTGTCATCCCCACCTGAGTCCGATGTCTCTGATTCCGAGTCTGAGCCAAAGAGCACTCGTTGCGTGAGTGATGAGTTGCGCGCAGCAGTCAAAAAGTTTGCAGAGGTGGATCAATGGGAAATGGAATTCGAAGATGTATCTTCAGAAAGCTAGACCTGGAGGAATTTGAAGAATCCGAATAATCTACATAACGCTGTGAGGGATGTCTTTGCGGCAGTAACCGCCCTAAGCCCCGCAATGTAACCTGTAAATATTCCGACCTTTTCTTCTCTCTCTCATTCTCTCTTTCTCTTTCTCTTTCTCTCCCCAAACTATTCACCTAACATGACTGCTATAGATACAATTCTCGCTGCCAAGTATCCGGCTAAGGCCCATGCTCGTCGTGTCGCGGAGTCTCTCAAGTCTCGGCATGGCGGGGCCGGAATCATCTACCTTGAGGCTCAAAAAACTCGATTGATCGAGGATAGCGATGAGGATATGCCATTTAGGTAATGTACCGTTTCTATAGGATTGAAATTAACACTAACTCGATCTAGGCAGCGTCGTCCTTTCTTCTATCTCACTGGATGTCTTTTGCCCAATGCCGCCGTGGTATACGACGCCGTCAAAGATGAATTGACTCTCTTCATTCCACCGATCGACCCAGAGTCAGTCATTTGGTCTGGTCTTCCTTTGTCTCCCGAAGAGGCCGTGAAGCTCTACGATGTGGACCGCGTTCTGTTCACAACCGATGTGAATTCGACTTTGGCGTCGATCGCCTCTAACCACAATGGACAAACTGCTGCCTTTGCAATGGCCGAACAGGTGTCAGAGGGCACCAGCTTCCAGGGCTTCGCTGAAACAAACATTTCCAGCCTAAAGACTGCCATCGAGGATACGCGTGTCATCAAGGATGCGTACGAAATTGCGCTTTTGCGAAAGGCAAACGATATCTCGACCAAGGCGCATATCGCTGCTATTCAGGCCTCCAAAACCGCGACCAACGAGCGCGAGATCGAGGCTGCCATTATCGGCACTTGCATTGCCAATGGATGTCGCGAGCAATCCTACCACCCCATCGTTGCTGGAGGTGAAGGGGGTGCTACTCTTCACTATGTTAGAAACGATGTCGACTTGGTTGATCCCGTCACCAAGCAGCGGAAGAATAATGTCCTCATCGATGCCGGCGGTGAATACCAGACTTACTGTGCCGATATCACGCGTGTTATTCCTCTAAACGGAAGATTTGCCCCTGAGACCCGTCAGATTTACGAAATTGTCCTCCAGATGCAGACAGAATGTATTGCCATGCTCAAGGAAGGCGTTCGCTGGGACGACGTGCACGCCCTGGCACATCGCATTGCTATCCGTGGCTTGTTGAAGCTGGGTATTCTGCGCGGATCCGAAGAGGAATTGTTCGAGAAGCGTGTCAGTGTGGCCTTCTTCCCCCATGGCCTCGGTCATTACCTAGGAATGGATACCCATGATACGGGGGTAACCCCAATTATGAGGACGAAGATACCATGTTCCGCTACCTGCGTGTTCGCGCTAATCTGCCTGCTGGCTCCGTGGTCACCGTTGAGCCTGGTGTGAGTACTATACCTTGCGAATTCTCTTCTTCGACCCCCAATTCTGATTAATTACCAGATCTATTTCTGTCGCTTCATCATCGATCCCGTCTTGAACGCCCCCGAAACCGGTAAGTACATCGATACCGAGGTCTTGGAGCGGTATTGGAGTGTGGGAGGAGTGCGCATCGAAGACAACATCCACATCACCAAAGATGGTTCTGAGAATCTGACCACAGCCCCGAAAGTCATTGAGGAGGTGGAGAGCCTGGCCTTATGAAAATCAGTCACTCTGTGGCCATTAACGGGATATTGCCCTCAGAGCGCTCAAGGACATTCATATCAAATTATGATAACACATCATTGATACTTGGAATAAGTGATTGTACAACTGGCAGTAAACTAGATGTCTCTTCTACGCTTGCGCGCACTTCCCTTGATCTCATCCACCGATCCGTTCTTTAGCTTTCGATCCAGAATGATAGTCAAAACATCAAAGGAGAACTCTGGGACTTCAATGCACAGCTTCTTAAAGTCGTCGCCAACCTCCTGGCGCAGCAGGTGACTCTGGTTCGCCCAGTAAGTCGCCACAGGCTTCCGGATAGTAGTGTCTGTTGTTGGCGTATGGGTGTATACGTAACGAGCATATGAAAGCTCTGCGTGAGGTGAGCTCTTGACCTTGTGAATCTTGCCATGGGCAATGCGCTGGAGGGTTGGCAGGCCCAGCTTCTCCGCCAGCGTGTAGATGCGCGCGTGGCGGAGTAACTCGTCACCGCTTTTGTCTTCGGCTGTTTCCGTAGGAGTTTCCATTTGAACGACAGTGTAATCACGCGTGTACTGGAATTGGAGGAAGCAACTGAAGGCATCGACGTCCTCTTCGGGTAGGCTGATGCGTCGCTAATATTCACAAATGAGTATCAAATATACATACATATATATATTTGCGTGGATCGGGCATGAATGAACTCACCGGACCTGATGCTTCAAAGGTCCTCACAAACTCGGTTAATAGTGGTGCCTCCATCAGAAGGGATTGATGAGCTGTCATAACAGTCTCTTTGTCACCTTTCCCAACGATAATTTCAACGATTGGTGAGGTTAGGAAGCTACGAATGGTTGTAAGTTGGCGAGTGGTGATTGGGATGATGGAAAGCGACGCCATTTTGTCAAAGGAATTGCGTCCCAGTTTGGGAAAAGAATGCTCACTCAAGGAAGTTGAAGCCCGCGTGTTTCTTTACCGGAACAAGTGGCTCTGGCTCTGGCTCTGGCTCTGCCTGCGCATCTGGAAGAGTCGAATCTTCTTGCGCAGGTTCGGGTTGAAGTTGGTCTCTATCCTGCATTCCTCCCATCTCTACCTCGGTGGAAGTGTGGTTTGTCGCAATCGCATTGGGTTCTGGTTGTGTTGTTTCAGGGGTTTCCCCAACCTGAACTTGAGGAGTTTGTGGTGTATCCATTGCGTCAAATACAGATGAATGATGGTTTGGGAGGAAGAGAGGAAGACATAGGAGGCGGAGAGAGCTAAGGCGGAGAAGCACTTCAGATACAGAAGTATACAATTATACATATGTCTATTGTCTGTTTTGGACTTCCGACTTTCGACTTGATCCCTTTTCTTTCCTTTTTGTTTATGTTTTACTCTTTTCAGGTCCATCTCTGAATGCTCCAGCTCCACAAAACGTCATTGACCGCATTTCCGCATTCATCGTGCCAAGAGAAAGGACAACTGCGACTGCAGATCTCTTGGTCCCTTTCGATTTACCGTGATGCATAACCATGGACTCAAAAATAGAATCGACAGATTCTTTGAAACTCGAGACTGAGCAAGCTAGTCAGAACTTGCTCACTGCAGAGGATGTCGAGCTTTTACGGGAGATTCTCAACCAAAACATCTCACATCAGTCAGGTGAGAAACGGAAATTCAGGTTCCAAGACCTAACGTTTACCCAGCAGCTGAGTACTTTTCAAAATTTGAGGACCACTGCCCCCCAGTTCCATGGCTTTTTCGTTCTCTTTTGGATAGGGGTGACCCTGATGCTGTTCAGGCTTGCTGCGAACAATTGGAGAACCTATGGCAGCATATGGGGCAAGAACGAGATTATCCGCCTCATGTTGGATAAAGATGTCATGGTCCTCGGGCTGACTGACTTGCTCCTTTGTTGGTCTACCGGTTTCTGTCTGCTACTACAACGGGTGGTACTTAAGGGACACATTCGCTGGAACGGTCTCGGTTGGATTATTCAGAATGTCAGTCTCAACAAAATCGTCCCTAACCCCTTGACAATGCTGACCTTTACAGATATGGCAAACTACATATCTTGGAGTCGTTATATGGTGGACATATTATCGCGATTGGCCGTGGACACACACAGTCTTTATCGTATTGCACTGCTTAACTATGCTGATGAAGCAACACAGCTACGCAGCTTACAATGGCTATTGTGTGTCAATTTCTGTTTGGCATTAAGCAGGGGCTAATGAGACCAGTATCGGAAATTTATCGCAAACGAAATATGCTGAAAGCGAGTCTTGATCAAATCAAAGCCAAAGAAAGAGGACTTGCTGTCCCTACCCAGATAGGACACTCTTCTGCAGTTGATACGAAACTCAATGCTGAGATTACAGACCTCAAAAGAAAAGATTCTACACGACGCCCTTCTGACCTTCAAAACTATTCTCCATCCCATGAAACCGACCAGCTCTTATCTCTTATTGGAATAATCGAGACCGGAGTGCCACTTAATCCGAATCAAATGAAGTCCATCAGAGAATTACTCGAGCAGGAGATCGGAGTATTATCCGAGGGCTTAAAGGGCCGGTGCTCACTGACCACCAATCACTATCCTAAAAACTTGACAATACGAAATATCTGCGACTTCATGACATTGCCCACATTGGTCTATGAGCTTGAATACCCACGGACAGAGAAGATAGACTGGCTCTATGTCGCAGAGAAAACACTGGCCACACTCAGCATCATTGTGGTTATGATCGCAGTCTCCGAGTCGTGGATATATCCGGTGGTGATGGAGACGGTGCGTATGAAAAAGGAGGGAATGACGGCGCAGCAGAGACTCCGGGAATTTCCTTGGGTTCTTGGCGACTTGCTTTTCCCGTTTATGATGGAGTATCTACTGGCGTTCTACGTGATTTGGGAATGTGTTGTAAGTCTGAATATCTTTGCATACTGCCCCGGTTCATTGCTAAGTCCATCTAGCTTAATGCTCTAGCCGAAATCACCATGTTTGCAGATCGAGGGTTCTACTCCGATTGGTGGAATTCGGTCTCGTGGGATCAGTTCGCGCGAGATTGGAACCGTCCTGTCCATAACTTCTTATTTCGGCATGTATACCATGGCTCTATCAGCGAATACCAATTGTCGCGGGTATCGGCCAGTCTTGTCACTTTTCTCTTATCTGCATGTGTACATGAGCTGATCATGTTGTGCATCTTCCGGCGGCTTCGAGGTTACCTGCTCATCCTTCAGATGTCTCAACTACCGCTTGCTGCGCTAAGCCGGACTCGCCTGATGCGAGGTCACCGTTTGTTGGGCAATATCTTCTTTTGGCTGGGCATATTTACAGGGCCAAGTTTGTTATGCAGCCTGTATCTGATCATTTGATGTGATATGTTAGATATTCATGAATAGTCACCATGTGGAAGATTATGATACACTTTCCATGATATAGACATATGATCAGTATATCCACATAGCTATATATCCCAATAAAGAGCTATATTTAGTAGGTTGATTTGGTACATAGATTCTTATCATATTTTTGTCTGCTCTATTGTATTGAATGGACACGGGTCCTCTTATAACGTATACCCCACCTCTGATGTATATATATATATATATATAGGTATATAGGCCTCCCTCTCCCTCTCTATCCATCTTTTCCTATATCCTCGTTTCTTCCGCTCCTACACTCTCAATCACCCTATCAAAACTTCAATCCTAACCAGATGGCATCCCATCCGCCCGCTGCCTGCTGCGCGATTGGCGTTAAACATGAAGGCGAAGCCAAGGGTCTACTCCAACAAATGGGCGATGGTATAGACATCCAATGCTCGGGAGATAATCGTTTCGCTGACGGTCGTAGTTGAGGTCTACATTTCACGCCCCGAGCGTTTTACCAAGCGTGCCATTCTGTTGCTCACCGATGTTATTGGTCATCGCTCTATTAATGCGCAGCTTATTGCGGATCAGCTAGCGGCAAATGGCTACCTGGTTATCATGCCAGACCTATTCCACGGGGACCCGGTGCGTTTGAACCGCCCCGCTAGCTTCGATCTGATGAGATGGCTAAAAGGTCCTCCGGGTCATCTGCCAAACCGTGTAGAGCCCGTGGTCCAGGCGATACTAAAGGAAATGAAGTCTCATATGGATTGCGAGCGGGTCGGTGCTATCGGATATTGCTTCGGGGTATGTTCATGTCCCGTAGAGGCCTCGTTGCTGCCCGATTTGACAGACACAGGCAAAATACGCCGTCCGACTGCTCCGGCCAGGTCTCTGCGATGTTGCCTATGTGGCACACCCTAGTTTCGTCGACGCAGGAGAACTACAAGCAATCCAAGGCCCGCTGTCTATTGCTGCAGCTGGTAAGTTCTACGATCCGGTCACAGCGCCCTTGATTAAATATTGATAGAAACCGACTCAATCTTCCCGGCCTCGAAACGCCATGAATCCGAGAATATTCTGGCCAACACTGGCCAGCCGTACCAGATCAACTTGTTCAGTGGCGTTGAGCATGGGTTTGCTACCCGCGCTGATATCACCAAGCCCACAATCCGCTTTGCAAAAGAGTCTGCCTTTTTGCAGGCACTCGCATGGTTTGAGCAGTACCTTTGATCATTCAGAGAGCAAAGACCTAGCAGGGTAACAATAGAACTTTGATTGGAATCCACACTTGGGGTCTCGCCTTGAGCAGCGGAAGATTTACATGTATTGGAAGACAAGAGAAAAAAATGCAATACCATAACAATTGGCCAAAAGTGAGCTGTTGTACTCCTTACATCTTCTCGTGGGTAGCCATGAGGGAACCTATCATATGTGAGAAACCGAAAACCTGACCATACCGATAAAAGGATGAACTTACCAATAAACGTAGTGACCAAACGAGACCGAACTTGACAGATGTCCTCCGGGACCAACCAGATGGTGGCACCCATCTTTCTAGCGATACTAATAGAAAGCTTAGCGTTTGCATATGCCTCTTCGTCGGTCCGACCGGGTGTGACTAAATCGTAATCCACGTAGCTGCTCTTCATGCCGTTGAGCACATCGAGGAGGAAGATTCCTGATCCAATAGATTTGTCTTTGAAGCTGCGTATCGTGGAAGACTTGCCGCCACTGCTAGACATGTCATTCGCCCAGCGGATCATCTCAGTGTCAGTAATTTCACGTTTGCCCAGCCGTTGGGCCAGCGCAGAGAGTGTGTTGGTGATATCACGGCGCATCAACTGCCACACCAATCCAAGAGTGAGGGTTCGTTGGCCATCAGTGATATCAGCGCCCTGAACCCCGACTAGAGAGAAACCATTAAATTTCCCCAGCTCAATTGAATAGTTGGTGTTTTCCACCGCCTTGAATCGCATCAATTCACCGCCAGACGCTGGTGGCTTATTAACATGTTTCCAGTTCACGCTTCCAGGAATGACCTTGTCGTATGCTTGTAACAAGACAGAACCATCGCGTAGGTCATCGAAGAGCGAGTTGACCGCCGGCTGCACATCCAACGAATTCAACCACAGAGTGAAGACTCTGGCCTCTCGCTCACCCTCAGCGTCAAAGTCTTCAACTTCGAGCTTCTCCTCCTCGGTAATAGGGTCGAGTCCTGGGTGGGTGTTGAAGAGATTGGCGACAAAGGCAAGGTTTAGCTTAGGGTTTCCAGCAACCAATGAGGTCGGGGTAAGGAACTTGCGGCAATCAAGCGAATCAGCGTTCTGGAGGACCTGTTCAGCTCGCTCGAGCAAGTCTCGAGTTTGGAGAGGGGCACGCGAGCAAACATCAGGCGCCAGTTGGTTAAGGAGAACGGTGTAGTTCTCGCCATCCTTGACATCGGTAGAAAAGTTGGTCACCCTAGATCGGTTAGGAACGCATCTTTCTTTGTTTTTCCCTCGGGCGGAACATACCGTCTGTCCCACTTGGCATTCTTGAGATGATAATTGAACCAGCGGAGGAGGATTTGCTCTGGAGGCAAGCGCAAGAACTGTTCGAGTGTTTCATCCTCGTCCAACAGCCTATACAGCTCCGGGTGGAGTTTGATATCAATCTTTCCAAGTAGACCACGGCGGATGATTTGCCAGATGAGACCCAGGATAAGATGCTCGCGCACTTCAATGATATCCCCGCTTCCAATGTTGACAACCGAGCATCCGATACCCTTGGCAGAGTTGATAACAATGTTATTGTTCTCGGTCATGTGGAAAGCATTCAGTTGCTTGATCTTCTTCCCGGCCTTGTTCAAAACGCGCTCATCAATGGTGTCTGGTACGCTGTCGTTAATCAACTTTGCTAGGACCAAGCCGTCCTTGCACTTATCAAACATCTCGAATGTATCGGTGGGGAAAGGTAGGAGGTTGCCAACATCCGCATCGCCCGCTAGGACGGCATTGATGTGTCGCGTGAACTCGGTTCGTTCGTCTTCGTTGATCGTATGCGTGACATTGGAAGAAGATCCCTGGACATGGATTCGTCCACCCACACTGCCCTTGGAGACATGCCGGGATGCCCCGGTGCCAGCACCAGCATTTTGGATCACGGCCGCGGGGGTAGTTGCTGCGCGGGCACCTTCAGTAGGTGCCGTCCGAAGCTTCGAAACCAGCTGCCATGGCGTTAATATCAGCGGGTTGAGAAAGGGGAGCGGGGAAGTTGTATTACATCGACATAATCTTCGAGTTCCACGCGCCGGGAGCTATCGAGCTCAACATTTTTCAAGGCTGCACGCACCACATCATACGGTTGGCGTTCTGATTGTTGAGCAGCTTTGATCGCGGTAGATTCATCAAGGTAGCCACGGTCTTCGATGTCCAATCTGTTGAATGCATCCTGAAGGGAAAAGATCTCGCCCTGATCAAGCTGCGGGAAGCGCCTATGGTAATCATAACAATCAGCATATGCCTGCATTCAATGGCAAGAAAATGTACTTCTGAAGCTTGAGGACGTTCATCTTGTCAGAATCACGATCCTGGCAAAATAGGTGTAATCACCCAGGAAAAGACCGGGGTTTTTGACAAAAAGGAAGTACTTCACCCCCGAATAGACCGATATGTAAAGAAAGCAAATCCGAAGAAATCCGATCGGTGCTATAGAGGTGGGCAGTGCAGGGAGGCAGCCAGGTATACAGGAACCGAGAGGTGGGATGAGCCACGTAATGAAAGTACCTAACAATACAGAGTACATGACACTAGGGGTATTGTTGTATGGATATGTAAGTATCGTGTCGGTAACGCCATGTTCTCGTATTCAAGAATCTTCGAGTGACGTAGACACCTTTTGCATACCATCATTTATATGTTGGATGTTCATACATGACTAGCTATATGTATTTATATATAAATGAAGTATCAACATATTCTTGGTATATTCCTCTCTTTACTGGAAAATAGTTTCTGTCAACCCGTTTCCACAATTGACCGAGGTAACCCGTACATGTATAGGTTGTAGGTGCATGTTGACAATTTCACAGTAGAACGAAATGAGAATTTAGGTATGAATATTCCTAGGCTTTTAAATATAATGACAAGGCATCTGATATATATCCATTGGTATATGAACACTTAATATACTCGGATGTCGGTACGCAGCTAGGTAATTGGCACCTGATTGCACTGGATTACATCATTTTCGACCTCCACATTCATTACTCCAACACTTGATCGGCTTTTTGAAGGCTTTTGGATACATCGTTCTGGTCTATCTGTTTCTTTACCTCTGTCTTTTTTTTTTTTTTTTCTTTCTCTTTTTCACCGTCCCCACGTTTCCCACGCTGGTTTGTTTCACTGCCTGCCGACGGGCGCTCCTCCCTATGGCGGGTGCAGAGCAAAAGTCGTTCTTGGGGACATTCACTCCGTGGAGTACACCAAGAAGTTCAACCCCGGCACCGCCTGGCGATCACCAACAACCAGATGTCCTACAGCGATCGCAAGGAGAGGACCACACGGTGACCCACATGCATCGATTAAGCATGCGACGCTATCCCTCCGATTGCCCTCCGTTGAAAGTCAGGTGGTTCTACGCAGTGGACTCTCCCAAGCGGAAACCATCCATTATCGGACAGAAAAAGGCCAATCAAAAACCCTTGCCGTCGCCGAAGAAATTTATACCTTTCCCAGGGAAAGATTCCCAGTCCATCGAAACGACGTTTCAGAAACTCTCCGACATCGAAGATGCCCGTCAACAAAACCAGCCAAACGACAGTGAACCGGTTTTGTCCAAGGTGCCTGTGAACGAGGATTTTCTGTTCAATGTCGATGTGGAACAACGAGAATTAAGTCCTACGTACTGGATTGGCCCTGTATATGAAGTCCGTCGGGGAACGTGGTTCATTCAGGATGGATCTACCTTGAAACCATGTGAAGAAAATCTCGCTACCCAGCTTGAAGAAGGCTACGTGAAACTGTGTCCCTGGAGGCCCCAGGCACCGGAGCAGAACTCGCAAACAAACGAACAGGCAACCAAAAGTGTGCCAATGAATACCCACGAGCCAGATACCAAACTCCCTCAATCAGCCAATCCGAACTCTCCGCCCCGTGGTACGGGAAATGATCTCAATGGCCCTACGGTGGAACCTCAGCAGTATCGTCTTTTTGGCGCTTACATGAATAGGATTGTGGGTTATCAAGATTCCACAACCGCCTGGCTGATGAATGATGATTTCATGTCCCGCTTCAGTACTTCGGTGTATCAAAAGCTAGGAGGCGTTCCAGGAACGAAGTTGGTTCGAGGCTTCGAGCCCAGGAAACCAAAAGAGACACCAGAAGCAAAGGGGTCCAAACAAAAGTCACCGGACGAGTCAAAACCCGCCAGAGGTCTAAATGATGTCCTGAAAGAAAAGGCAGAAAAAGCCACGGATACTCTCAAGTCAACCTCGGCTGATGGATTTGAAGGGTACGAGAGTTTACCGAAATCAACATTAGAACGCCAAATGTCCTCCCTTGCGGGTGAGCCGCAAAATCCAGCTGACCTCGAGGAACAAGCTCGTAGGCAGGAGGAACAGGAGATGGAGGAGTCGAGAGAACTAGATGGCACGGACAGAGAGCGCGAGGTTGATCATCTAGTTCTCGTCACTCATGGAATCGGCCAGCGCCTGGGTTTGCGACTGGAAAGCATCAATTTTATACACGATGTAAATGTGCTTCGCAAAACGCTGAAAACCGTCTACAAAGGCTCGCCCGATCTTCAAGCATTGAATTCAGCGTTCCCAGACAGCGATAAGAATTGCCGTGTTCAAGTGCTTCCTGTGTGAGACTAACCCCTTGCTGGGCATTCCTTTTTGGCTAATTTCATCAGGTGCTGGCGCCATCTTCTAGACTTTCCTTACCGAGGAGTCCGGCAGAACAGAAAGGAACTGGATCTCACTGATGTAGATGCTCTCGAGGATGATGCCTACCCCAGCCTATCCGATATAACACTGGAAAGTGTACCTGCTGTTCGAAACCTCATTTCAGATTTGGCTATGGATGTACTTCTGTACCAAAGCGGGTACTGCGAACACATCTCTAATATTGTCATTCAAGAATGCAATCGAATCCTCCGGCTGTACCGCAAGGAAAATCCTTCTTTTAAGGGTTCAGTCAGCCTCTGCGGCCATTCGCTTGGAAGCGCGATCCTATTTGACATTTTGTGTCACCAGCCGGGAACCAATACCAGGCCGAATGGGGTCTCCAAGGGAAAGGCCCATGAGAGTGATGACTCAACCCCCGACGGTTCGGGTGCATTTGATTTTGACTGCGAAGAGTTTTTTTGTCTGGGGTCACCCATTGCACTCTTTCAAATGCTCAAGGGTAAGACGATTGGTGGATACTCTGCCTTGGATCCCCGAAATCGCAAAAATGCTCTGGATGTTGAGATTGACATGGACTCACATGGTCCTGGGCATGCGCTCGGTGGCAATCCCGGTATTATCTCAACGCCAAAGTGTCGAGATCTCTACAACATCTTCCATCCTTCTGACCCGGTGAGCTACCGGGTTGAGCCTCTGATATCTCCAGCGATGGCAACCCTGAAGCCCCAACCTCTACCCTCAGTGAAGAAAAGCCTCTGGACGACCTCTGGTCAAAGTCTATCTATTCTCGGTAGCCGCATGGGCCAAAGTGTAGGATCTCTGTGGACAAATTTCACCACGGGGGTCGCAAGCAGTTTGCTGAATCGCAGCTTGGGTCTCAATGGTGATGATAGCTTGTCGGCTGCTCGGGATTCTGGTAAGCCACGTGACGAATCAACCCATAGACGGTCACAGTCAGGCTCGACTCAGCATGGGTCCGAGGGGCCCGATGATCACTATCAGACATTGATCGAGTCCGATCTGGAAACTCTTTACGACGGTTTCCAAAAAAGCAGAAGTGTTCATCATGGCGAGAGTCCAGACCCCGATGCCGACACTAATCAAGACCGTAAGCTGAAATTTGAAGACGCTAAAGTGCGTGCCTTGAATGCAAACGGTCGGGTGGACTACAGCATCCAAGAGTAAGACCCTACGCCGTGTGTTGTTGAACCTCATTAACAAAAGTACAGGGGAGCCTTTGATATTTCATTAATAGCCAGCATTGCCAGTCATCTCACCTACTGGGGAGATGAGGATGTCAATCACTTTATGCTTTCCCAGATGCTTTCTAGGAGACAAAGGCATAAACAAAAACATAAATGAAACACAGAAAAATATTCTACACTATCTGAAGAGTCTATTCAAGCTAGCCCTCCCCCGTTCACAGGCGGCGAGGGAGTAGGCCTCTTAGGGCTGCTCAGGTGTGCAGGTGAACATCTGAAGAGTATTGCACCTGCACACCTGAAGGGGGTACTGTGCTATTCCAACCTTGGAATAGTACAATTGCTGAGTAAGTCGATTACTCAAATGGGACTAGCGTTGTATCGGCTACGCATTAGGTAATCCAAACCCCCCCGGGGCCTACAAAATCTTTCCTCTTTTTTTTATTTTCATTCTCCTAACTCCCTCCGTGTCCATTTTCCCATGAGGATTCAACTTGAGCGGGGTCGAAAAGTCTTCGGGGCACAGTCTTTTCAAGAGTCCTCTGAATTTCTTCTTAATGAGGCTGAAATTTATTGTTGATTCCATGGAAATGAGCAACTGTCTCCCGATGAACACAGGCCTAGAGAATGTGGCCAGATCTCCGGTATATATTTTGACATGATTTTGGGGCTCCTGGGGTCCTTCTGTAGAATACTCTCCCGTTCCCTCTCTCCCAACCGCATCCTTTACATCTGGCATAAAGCGCATGCTCTTTGAATGCTTAGATTCACTCTGATAGCGGAGATCAACTCCTTTCTGTTAGCTTTAGATTCCTTGCTATATAGCTCAAATGCTTGTAAGGAAATCATGATTGGATACATTCTATATATATACTTGAGCTATAGCATGTCAATACAACATTAGTACGGAGTCCATTCTACCAAGTTCCAATATTCTTATGCCGAGTACGGAGTACGAGGTCCAACGAGTACGCATTGGCCAGTGCCAAGCATTTTCCTTCCTATCCCTTATCTTGCTCTTGTTCTATTTTAAATTGTCTACTCCATATCCCGTTCTCCGTACACAGATCTACAACGAAATGGAGGGTTGACGACAACTCTGGACACCCTCAAAATCCGGGATTTCTCAGCACGATGAGTGGCCTCGATGATGATGACCTCCAAGTCATTCCAGACAAAGACCGCATTACTCTCCCGACGCACCCCATCTCGAATCAAGTGATTTCAAAAGAATTTATCAATACTACCCTCAATTTTCTCTCGGCCTCTACCAATGAGACCCTTCTCGGAGTCCTGGCGCTTCTTGTATTCGTCACCTACATTATCCTGGGGAGAATCGGTCTGCTTCTGATTGGAGTGGCTGTGGGGGTTGTCTTACACGCGTCCTGGGAGGGATCGGATATTGAACCCGCAGACGGAGGGTCGCACCCACAAAAGCCCAACAGGCGAAGAGAACTTGCGCTGGAGGTCTCCAACAGGCTTTTAGACTGGCCGAAGCGGGCTAATGCTTCAAGCATCCAGGGGGGGTGATGATGGCTCTACCAGTACGCTTGAAGACCTGTCCTCAACAGACTTGGAATATGCCACCTTCCAACCCGCTACTGCTGTTGCGTTGCGAACGCTCACGGACGCAGTCATAAAAGACTATGTCAAGTCAGTATCCCTCATCTATGCGCACCCCCCCTTCTTCTCCCCCAAACAACAACCGTGAAAGAAGTAGCTTACCCTGAATACAGATACTGGTATGAGCCACTCCTACAATCCGAATCAATTTTCCCGGGTTCCTGTCGCAAAATCTTGACGCACTTCATTACATCGGTCTCCTCGCACCTCTCGCGAAAACGAACAGAGGACACGTTCTTGCAGTTTCTCACCAACTCATCATCTATCGTCATTGTTTTCTTGAATGAACTTGCAGCAGCATTCACCTCCGTAGGCTCCTCCTCGGCGGAAACTCAAAAAGCTGTGGATCAGTACCTTGAACAATTTCCGGATAGCAGCCTTGCGAATGTCTTATCTGAGGAGCAACAAAAGAAGAAACTCAGCATGATCGCGGATGACATACTGTCAAATTTCTTGGATGCGAAGACCTACAATTGTCCGGCTGTACGGGACTTCCTCCGTGAGGTTTTTGCGGGGGTGGTATTGGGGTCCACTATTACCAGTCTCGGGCGACCTGAATTTATCAACGAATGGATTATCTATCTCTTGCAGGGTGGCGAATCCGAAATTATGCACGCTATCGACGCAGGCGTTGAAGGCGCACGGAACCAGGGCGTTGGTGCTCCCAGGTCTTCCGAAGATGCAAACGCAGTCCCCGTTAAAGCCACACACAGAGAGTCCGTACATGTGGCAAGGGCTACAGACGAAGAAGCAGTATTAGAGACGAAACGTCTAAGCGCTATGATTGCTTCTCATGATACTGAAAGCACAGGATCAGAACGGCCACATCAAAACGAAAAAATCAACGAAATTTACCCTTTGAAGGCTGATCCAGCTTCAAACACGGGTCATGAAAATGAAGAACACCATGAGTCTGGACTGGTGCCCAATATGCAATTACCTGTGAGCTCGAAACTATCCGAGGACTCTTCTGCCCCACCTTTGATTCTTCATGGGGCACAGGTTTTGGTAGATGATGACGGAGCAAGGGATGAAAAAAGCCAGATCAAGTCGCGACCCATATGGGATTATCTACTACAGGTCGAGCCAGCGTCAACACGCTCGACTGGGTGGATGGTTTTTCGCAAATATTCAGACTTCGAGTCTCTTCATGAGATGTTGGGAACCGTTTCACGATTGAATCAGATTTCAAGTTTCTCGGAGCGTCACCCTATACTGCCCACCTGGAAGGGAAAAACACGACAAGCTCTCGCCCGGGACCTTGAGTGGTATTTACAAGATGCCATGAAGCACGAGTCCCTTGCTGACACTGATCGGATGCGTCGCTTTTTGGAAAAAGACGCTGGCTCATCTGCTGAACTCACCGGTCCTAGCAAGCCGGTATTTTCATTTCCTAGTCATACTGCGTTTGAAAATATGGGCAAGGGTGTGCTGGGTGCATTGACCAATGCGCCTAAGGGAGTGGCAGGAGGTAGTAAAGCCGTATTTGAAGGAATGACGGGGGTGTTTGGAGGCGCCGCCAATAGCAAGAAACCGGCTGTCACTGCTGATCAGATCCAACCCAGAGTTGATCACTCCAGTCGCACCAGTTTGTCGCACCCACGGTCCAGCCTCGATGATCGCAACATCGTAATCGACGAAGATGTTGATTCGCCTGCGCTGTGCCCTGGCGACTCTTTAAAACTCGACAGAGGTGAAATTTCCAACTCGTCTTCGACCGAGAGTACCCGGGAGTCGTTTGGGAATGAGCAAAGTGCATGGACCACCCAGACCTCACCATCCAAGACCTCGCTTGATGTTAGCGATCAGACTGTGGAACTTGACATCCAGACAACAGAAACTATCAAGCAAACCTCGTCGCATCGCCGATCGGAGACTGGGCAGAATATTGGTCAACCACGCAATCAGGGGAATCCCATCACATCTGATGAGACGCAAATAGCAGTAGAGCTGATCTTTGCGGTCATCAATGAGTTATACACCCTGTCGTCCGCATGGAACATACGTCGGACCCTTTTGAATGCTGCTAAATCGTATATTCTACGCCCCGGGAGCCCGACACTGGAAACCATTCGTACTCTCTTGCAAGAATCCATGATAGAAGCCCACACTTCAGACGATGCCCTCGGGCAGTACCTTGTCAAGCTTCGTGAGAATGCGCTCCCAACAGAGGAGGAACTTAAAGCCTGGCCCCCTCCACCCAGTGATGAGGAAAAGATCCGGTTACGGGATACTGCACGTAAACTATTTGTGCAGCGAGGAATTCCACAGGCCTTGACGAGTGTTATGGGGGCAGCTGCTAGTCGAGAAGCGCTAGAGAAGATCTTTGATAGTCTTCAAGTTGAGAGTGTCGCTCGCGGATTTGTTTTTTCAACTCTACTACAGGGTCTTAGGGTCTTGACACTCTAACGTTCAATACATCCTATTAAGGTTGGAATATAATTGAGAGACCAAGATGAATGTTAAAGAATACATACCAACATACATAGATACATAGATACATAGATACGTATATATATATCTATCTATCATACATTCGGAATATATTGGCCTTCACGTGATGACGTGTCCGTGTTTCGCGTCTGTTTGGACTTACAACTTCCTACCTTTCCCTTCTCACAACCAGACTCCTAGGATCATCTTCCAGACATGTCATCCAGAAAACGTGCGTCTGAGTCAGGCGCGGGCCTCGACAACCTGCACATCAAAAAGGTCAAGGTCAACAATACAGGGGAAGCCAAAACCGACTCCAATGGAGATCGCTATTGGGAACTATCTAAGATGCGCCGCGTGACCATATCTTCTTTCCGAGGAAAAACCCAGGTGAATATCAGAGAATACTATGAAAAGGATGGGCAGGCATTGCCAGGAAAAAAGGTCCGTTGATCAACGACTTTAGGTATAAATGGTGCTAATATTCATTCCCAATCCAGGGTATCTCAATGCCCGTGGATCAATTCGCTGCCATCATCTCTATTCTACCTGAGATCGAGCAGGCACTGAGCGAAAACGGAGAAACCTTGCCTCGGCCTGTCTACTCCACAGAGAAAGGCCAGTTTGATGAAGGAGAGCAAGGGCAGGACCATCCAGACAATCAAAATCCATCAAAGCCGAATATCGAGGCAACAAGTGATGAGGAAAGTGAAGCATAATAGCAATCTAGGCTTGATTTGCGTTGCCCATAACTGGCCCTTGTAATTGTTTATCATAATCAATTTGATCTTGACTGTTGAAATCAAACCATGGTGTGGTCTGGGCTTACGTCGCAATTTCCTCATAGATCACATACTTGCCTCTTGCGTTGCCATGTTGCTGGCAATAGAGCCTCCCCGCCAAGCATGATGATGATCTTTCTGATGGAGAAGCTGGCTCTGGTCTCCGATTTGACCCCATCCTCCCCCTCCTGGTGTACGGACAATGATCCGCTCCCCTGGCTGCATATGAGCGGAATTCTTCGCCCCCAGATTGATGTATCGTTTTCCCCAGCTTCCATCCTGCTTCTTCACGCGGCGTACCCAGACATTCTGACCACACTGGGCGTCCTCGCCTCCCTCCAATCCATATGGGTGGTAGACTCTTCGCTCGGAAAGGATGGAGACTTGCACTGGAATGCGAAATTCAATGTCTCGCACAACGCCATCTCCGCCGCAGTGCTGACCACTGCCCCCTGAATTCGGTCGTAAACTGAATTCTCGAAGGATCACAGGGTATCGGCGCTCAAACACCTCTGCATCGGTGATTCGGGTGTTAGTCATGTGTGTATGAACCCCTGAAGTGCCTCTCCAAGTCGGACCAGCCCCACTACCACCGGCGATGGTTTCATAGTAACCAAACCCTTTGGTTTCCGTCTCGCCAGGCATATTTCCCCCAAAACCAAATGTGAGGTTGTTGGTATCACCTTGTGATGCAGCGCAAGCCTGGAAACACCTCAAAATGACATCGGTTACTCGTTGACTCTAAGAGAGAGAGAAAAAAATATGATAAGTATATGAACGATGTTAAGTATTTGTTAGGTCTTACCGTCAAAACATTGCCACCCACTACAGCGGCAGATTCCGAGGGAGATAGAAGACTTCCAGGAGGAATTCGAACGTCAATTGGCTTTAAACAGCCTTGATTCAATGGGATATCTGCTAAAATAAGGCATCTCAGGCAATAGATGATCGCTGAGTATGTGACAGCCTCCGGTGCATTGATATTGCCTATTATTGTCAGCTCAGTGTTACCATCAGGTTATCCCCTTCAAGGCCACTCAATCATACCATATACTTCTGGGCCTGTCCCCTCGAAATCGAAGATTGCCTCTCCTTTGTCCCCATCTATTGATATCTTCAGTTGAATAGGGCTCCCATCATCCATGTAATCAATGGCACTCAGGTCTTGACCAGCAAACCTATTGCACACATCTTTCAGAAGATTACGCACGCTGAGCTCTGCATTGTCTTGGATCTGGTGCATGTAGAACTGCACGACAGCCTCGCCATAGTCCTCGATTAGAGTGCTGATTAAGTTGATCCCTTTTTTATTTGCAGCAATCTGAGCCTTGAGATCATTCAAGTTATCTGTTAGACATCGAGTGCCGCTGCAATCTGGATACTGGGCCGGCTCTTTGTACAGCAATACTGTGATGCGTTCCTCATCAAACTTGCCTTCTGATACCAACTTTTCGCTCTTGATGGCTGCTCCTTCTTGGTAAAGCTCCCTTGAATGAGGTGGCATAGATCCCGGGAGAATTCCTCCAATATCAGCTTCATGCAGGTTAGAATATTTCTTCCTCTCCCTCCAACTCCTTCGCTCGGGGAAGGATCTTACCATGATGCGCCCTAGAAGCGACGTAAAACACGATCTTTCCCTGGCTAAAAGCAGGCTGTAGGACCGTAATATCTGGAAGGTGAGTCCCCCCCAAACTCCGGGTGATTTGACACGATCACATCGCCGGGCTTGAGTTTATCTTGCCAGATCTGGGCCTGTATCCGTACACATGTCGACATGCTACCGAGATGGACGGGTAAATGTGGCGCATTCGCAACAAGCCCGCCTTCTGCGTCGAACAACGCGCAAGAGTAGTCAAGCCGCTCCTTTACATTGGTGCTTACACTTGTCTTCTGTAAAGCACGTCCCATTTGCTCGGCGATAGCCATAAATCTGTGCGAGAAGACGCTCAGCAGGATAGGATCCACATTGTCGGTGCTAATTTTTGGTTGGCTGGCATCGGATTCGCCAATGTTGATGACGACGTGGGTTTTTGTCAATAGTGCTGAAGCTCCTGGGGTCACCACGATTGTTTGGGTATCATCCGCCAGAATCGCCGGGCCTCTCACTCGGTCATCGACCTTCAAGTCGTCGATTTTGTAAATTGGCGTTTCACGCCGGCCACCGCCCTCGAAGTACACAAGAGATCTGCGATATTCCCGACCCGTCACGTCCCTTGGGTTGGACTCCTGGATCTGCTGGTCCACGGTTTTCTCGGATATTTTGAATCCTTTCCCGATTCCTCTCACCCTCACGTCATCCACAATGATGTCCCGGTCTGGGAAAGTAAACCCAAATTCTTGATCGTGTTGTTTCATAAATGCCTTCCCAAAGGCCCATTCATCGCCCTCGAAGTGAAGATCAGCCTCCTCTTTGCTGGGCTTAAGTATCATCAAAGCAGATTCGGTGCCTCGATATCGCATATTGAGGTATTCTTCAAACACGATTGAATCATTGTTGAAGCCTTGGTCTCGTAACTTCTGCATGGACCGTTTCTTTAAGTCTTTTATTCGCGAACCAAGTGCATCCCGAACTCCCCCTTGTCCTCGTCAACCCATGTCTTTGATTCGGGCTCTTGGTTTTCATCAACAACATCTGCCAGTGCCATTCCGTATGCCGAGAGCACCGAGGAATACCGATGGATCAAAATCTGCCGAATCCCCAGGCTTTCGGCAATGGCAACGGCATGCTGGCCACCGGCTCCTCCAAAGGTAGCCAACCTGTGTTTTGAGGTGTCATGTCCCTTGGCCTCTGTCAGAGATCGGATAGGCCGGGTCATCGTCTCATTGGCTACCTTGATGAAGCCAAAGGCAACCTCGTCAGGGGACATTTCTCGGCTTTGGCCCCCTTTGGCCAACTTGCGGTTGATTTCTTTGGTTAGATCCTCAAACAACATCCGACTAGCTTGTTCATCCAATCCCTGGGTTTCATCCGAGCCAAAAATCTTTGGGAAGAAATCTGGGATCAAGCGGCCAAGGAACAGATTGGCATCGGTTACTGTGAGTGGACCACTCTTGCGATAGCATGCAGGCCCTGGATGAGCTCCTGCTGACTCGGGCCCTACGACGAAGAGATCGTTCCGGTAAAATAATCTCGAGCCGCCACCTGCAGCAACAGTGTTGATATCCAACTGAGGAGACTGAATGGTCACTCCAGCAGTGGTTGTCTCAAAGACATGTTCGTATCGACCAGATCCGTATCTGCTAACATCCGTGCTCGTTCCTCCCATATCAAATCCTATTACGGGGATCTTTGACACGGGATCGTAGGATGTCAATGCATAACCCACCACTCCACCAGCAGGTCCTGACAAAATTGCTCGGAGACCTGAGAATTGGTCCACGTCCACAAGGCCACCGTCCGATTGCATGAACTCACAGCGTGCGCCCTTGGCACCCGCCTGCCGTTTGACACTTTCACTACCTAAGCCACCCTCGAATCCAGCTTGAAATCCAGAGATATACTTCTTGATGGCAGGAGTCAAATAGGCATCAGCGCAGGCTGAAGTGGTCCTCGGCACAAGTTTAATCATCGGCATGAGCTGGTGGCTCAAACTCACATGGCGGAACCCAATATCCTTGGCTATTTCCCCCACCAGTGCCTCATGGTCTGGAAAGGTGTACCCATGCATAAGACATATTGCTATGCTTCTAATCCCGCGGCTGTGTACCTCTTTCAACTGCGATCTCACCAAGTCCTTGGATGGACGCTTCAGTATGCGAACTGCTTCCGAAGAAAGGCCGCGAACAACATCGGCTTCTGCCTGGGTTCGTTCCCGGGGAATAGTGATAGTGATGTTTCGTTGCGGATCTTCTGCGTAGTCTTCCAAAGTGACGCGCTCATCCACCTCAATTACCTCTTCGTAAAGAACATCGGGACGTTTGATGGCAAGGTCAAATATTCTGGGACGAGACTGGTTTCCAATCTCGAGGCAATCTTTGAAGCCCTTTGTTACCACCAGCGCTACCTTCTCTCCTTTCCGTTCAAGCAACGCATTTGTAGCCACGGTTGTGCCCATGCGGATGCTTTGGATCAAAGAAGTATCGATGGGTTCCCCCGACGGATTTCATGGTTTGTAAATTGAGAAAGAATCCGCCGAATCCCCTCTAAAGGCGCATCTTTGTAATTGGTTGGGTCTTCTGAGAGCAGTTTAATCACAATGTCATCTTCCAAGCGGCCCGTCCCTGGATTTCCAACGCAGTCCGTAAATGTCCCACCTCTCTTTTGACATATCAGTGTTCTGGATAAGTAGTAAAGGAGAAGAAGGGCTCATACATCGATTGCAATGTTGATTCCTGTTCGATTTCTTGAACTCATGATGATAGTTGATCGAGAGAAGGTATGGAATTTTGGACAAACCATCCCGCAAAAATATCCTACGTCATGACTATGGCAACTTTCAAAACGAATCGGATCTTAGAAAATTGTTGCTGTTTTTGTGTTCTTTTTGCTTTTAGAGGAAGTTCTTTAAAAGACAAAGAAGTGGAATGCTTAAAACTGGCTCCCAGCATTGTCCTCACATACAACTAAAACACTACACTGGTTCGGAGGAAACAAAGACCAAATAGTATGGCGATCGGTCGAGGAGGGCGAGGAATTGAAATAACCGGTTTGAAATTAATGTGCGAACAAGACGGAGGGCGAAACGGAATTCATCGTGGTATTTGGGGCGCGGACTTGGAACGATCGCTCGACGTTCGCTTCGGTGGGATCCGAGCTGCTGACCAGGATAAAATTACCAACCTCAAATAAGATAAAATGGGAATAACTTGGGGGAGAGCAAATTCGATCGGAAAAAAAAAAACCAAGAGCAAGGGAATCAGGGGTCACACGTTCACTTCGCCCCGGCTTGTACCCAGGAGCGACCTTCACGCCATTTGAAATCAGAAACACAGAAGGGGGACGAGATACGAGATATGCCAGAGGGTGTATCAAGAGCAATATTGAGACGATAGCCTTGTCTTTCCCCATCCCCCTAAATGAGTCAACCGCAATAAAGGAAACCCTTCAGAAGGCGAAAACAGAATGACGGGAGACATGGGTTGAGAGCGAAAGAACGTAGGACTGAGTTGATCTACTCAGCAGTATCAAGCTCGTCATGAGCAGAGGGCATTGGGTCCAGGGGTACTGCTGTATGTGAGTGAAAAGAATCTTTTCTAGGCTATATCACGAGGCAACTGACCTTTCCTGTCCTCACCGTTGGGGCCGTTCTCACGGTCCTCCTCACGACGCTCCCGATCATCATCGCGTCTTTCCCGATCATCCTTGCCATCACGTTCGCGGTCATCGGGGCTGCGAGAACGATCACGGGAACGGTCACGATCACGTCGATCGTGGTCACGGTCACGGCGGTCAGAATCGCGGTCGCGGCGGTCGTAGTCGCGGTCGGTGCGGTCAGCATCCCTTTCGTACCGATCGTCTCGGCGAGGAGAATAGTCGCCGCCACGGCTGCGACGAGGGGATGGCGAGCGACCACGGCGAGGAGGAGTGCGATCACGGCGACGATCGCGGCCAGCGTCACGAGGAGCATCACGGGGAGCATCACGGCCAGAACCAGAGTCAAAGCGCCAGGAAGCAGAGGGAGGAGTGCGTGCCCACTAGGGATAGGTTAAAAAAAGAGATTGAGGCAAGGTGTGGAGGATATGCTTACCTCAATCTTCAACAAATCGTCGCGGCCGATACGCTTGTTGTGCATCTCATGGTAAGCATCATCAGCATCACGGCGACTCTCGTATTCAACGAAAGCGAAACTAGGCGATTTAGATTAGACGGGTAGAGTGGGTTCAGGTATCATCCTTCAACTTACAGTCGGCTGGAGGGAGTGCGCGGGGCAGGGATATCACAGCGAACAAGACGCCCATAACTAGTTACAAAATCAGTTGAGCTAGCTGCAGATACCGCCATGGAGGGAAATATGGATGATCAAGACTAGCTAACAGTTGCCCGAGTGAGACGGGGCAACCTAGACACAAGCTTCCAGGCCAATGTCACGCTAGTTGGAAGAAATAAAGAGGGATGCCGTCCAGAGCATTCAGTGCCATATGGTCTTCATCGGGAGGTCGTCGGAAGGATGGGGATCGAATTTCGTAGGTGCGAAGGTAGAGGCGACACGTACCGTTCGAATTCGTAGGCAAGATCGCGAGCACGGGTGCCATGGCCAAACCCGGTAACATACAATGTAGTTCCAGAGCGAGAAGACATGGTGCCGTCAGCACAGGGCAATGGAAAAGAGAGAAGACTGGGTCAGTTGGGAGAGAATTTGAAAGAATTTGAAAGGAGAGGTGGAGCTTAAGAAGCTTCAAGATGATAAAAGAGTATAAGGAAGAGAGAGCCTTGGAGGGAAAGAATTTAGGAAGGTACTACGGTGGATTAAGTGTGCCAATGACGCACTTGATGAAAGGAGTTTCGGTTTCTTTTCTTTATATTTCTATGTTGTATTGATTCATATATAAATATATAAATATATCTATCTATCTATATATACCCAACGTAGACTAAGTTTTTCTGTAGATATTTCACTTATATGGAATTTTGGGGAAAAAAAATATATATATGTAATATTTCGATGAATGTTGGAAGATCTAGGCATAGACTGAACCCAAGGCACAGGTACGTAATATAAGTGGCGGACTATCGGGAGGTACCGTGTCTGTCGGTAAGTCGGGATATTCTTCTCTTCCTAAACCCTCTCGAAGCAACCTCGACCTAGGTACACACATCACTCTTGTGTGATCTGGTATACCTTTCTCTTATTCACAGTCTCTTGTTATTTCTTTCTCGTTTTTTTTTTCCTGTCCAACTACATCTACATTGAAGAGGGAAAAGCAATTTTGGCCTCAACAACTCATCTGATCATAGCAAAGCCCTTTGTTTTTGATCTCACTTCACCCTTTTGGCAAATTCTTTCTCCGCATTTGCTTTTTATACCTCATTTATATGGCCATAGAGATCAACAATACACCACTGGACACAGGATCAACGATGTGCTTTTAGATCACCAAGCCTCGGAAGACCACCAACCTTCATGGCTAGCACTACACCTATAGTGCTTCATCGCATTTGATTTGCAGCAACAATCAAGCTTCAATTTACAATCAAAAGATTTGCGGGGAATCATTACATCGCAGATCACAAAGGACCTCTTTATCAACCTCGGAACCGAATGTGCAAACCGTCAAGATGAGCTTAGATCGCCAAGATGCTGTGCAGAAAAAGAGTTGGAAGGTGCAGCAAAACCTACCTTACCGAACCTTTCCAAGTTTCCCTCTAGTTCAAATCCAGTCAAGGTGAGAAGGAGAACCTCACATCCCCTATCGAGATGAGCTAGGAGGCTGACTTGATGAAAGCAGGAGCTGATTAGTGAACAGCCCCCTTCAGTTTGGGTTCGTACTAAAAAGAGTCTCGCCGAACCAGTGGTGGCTGCATTTATGGCTGGTGGAGTGGCTGGCGCAGTTTCCCGAACAATAGTGTCACCACTCGAACGATTAAAAATTCTTCTCCAAATTCAAAGTGTCGGTCGAACGGAATACAGATTATCAATCTGGAAAGCCTTGGTGAAGATGGGGCGGGAAGAAGGCTGGCGGGGCTTCATGCGAGGAAATGGAACAAACTGTGTTCGCATTATTCCCTACTCTGCGGTACAGTTTGGAAGCTATAATTTCTACAAGCAAGTGGGTGGATGTTCATATCCTATAGTAATTTTTGATGCAAACTGACATTCATTTGATCTAGTTTGTAGAGTCGCCCGATGGTGAGATGACCCCGATGCGTCGCCTTATCTGTGGAGGTGTTGCCGGCATCACCTCGGTAACCATCACCTATCCTTTGGACATTGTTCGAACCCGACTTTCCATTCAGTCTGCTTCATTTGCCGATCTTGGAACCAGAGATCCTGGCCAAAAATTGCCAGGCATGTTCGCCACAATGGTCATGATCTATAAAAATGAGGGTGGGACAAAGGCTTTATATCGTGGAATTACTCCGACAGTTGCCGGAGTAGCCCCATATGTGAGTTGTCCTGTTCAATTTGACTTCGATCACAACTGACAGGCGACAGGTGGGACTTAATTTCATGACTTACGAATCGGTGCGCAAGTATCTGACACCGGAAGGCGACAAAAACCCTAGCTCCTATCGAAAATTGCTGGCTGGCGCGATATCTGGAGCAGTTGCCCAGACCTGTACCTATCCTTTGTCAGTTCTTTTACTTTATTGGCCAAGCCCCATGAAACTGACTTTTCCTTAGTGATGTGCTACGTCGGCGATTCCAGATCAACACAATGTCGGGAATGGGCTACCAATACACCTCAATATGGGATGCTGTGAAGGTCATTGTGACTGAAGAGGGACTACGTGGACTCTTCAAGGGGATAGGGCCGAATCTTTTGAAAGTTGCTCCTAGTATGGCCAGCAGCTGGTTGAGCTTTGAACTGACTCGTGATTTCTTTGTCGGTCTGAACGATAGAGAATAGTTCAAATAATATGTATCTAGATATTTTCTTTTCATTATTATTGGGAGATTTTGATTGTACACAATGCATACAGATCATTGAAGAAGAAAGGAAAAGGATATGATATGTATGTGGTGAATTAATGTATGATATATGGAGCCCTGCGATCGAAGATAAGCTTCAATCATTTCAGGGCTGGACAGGGAATTTTCAGAGACCCACTGCGCACGTGATCCAGTGGCCAATCCAGGTTGGAAATCACGTGGCTGAGGTCAGGTCATGTGCCTCGCCTTTCCTAGTCAAGTCTAGCGTAGGGCTAAACCCACACACCACTGTCCAGCCGAAAGTCAAGGATCAAAAACCTCCTGCACTTTCCATACGGGTGCGACAGCAAGCTATTTCCCGGGAAGTCGATCAATACACAGCCATGGGTATGTTCAATCATCTCCGTTCACTCGGCTATCGCATCTTACAGCATTCATTCGAATCCCTTTCTTTTTTGTGTTCTTCTCAGTCCATTCCACTGACAATTCATCGATTGCAGGTATCGACCTGGACCGCCACCATGTGCGGAGCAGCCACCGCAAGGCTCCCAAGAGCGACAACGTCTACTTGAAGGTTCTGGTGAAGCTCTACCGCTTCTTGGCTCGTATGAAACCCCCGATTCCGAATTTCGTTTGCAGCGCAATTTCTACAGGTGTGCCGTTTTGAGGATCTAGTGAGGCTGATATGGGATGCATGATAGGCCGCACCGAGTCCAACTTCAACAAGGCCGTCCTCCGCCGTCTCTTCATGTCGAGAATCAACCGCCCCCCGGTTTCCCTTTCTCGCGCTGTCTCCAACATCAGCGAGGCACAGAAGGGCAAGACCGTCGTCGTTGTCGGCACTGTCACCGATGACAACCGCCTTCTGACCGTCCCCAAGCTGTCGATCGCCGCCCTTCGCTTCACCGCTACCGCTCGCGCTCGCATCGAGAAGGCTGGTGGTGAAACTTTGACTCTGGATCAGCTTGCTCTCCGCGCTCCTACCGGTGCCAACACCCTCCTTCTGCGTGGACCCAAGAACGCTCGTGAGGCCGTGAAGCACTTCGGCTTTGGTCCTCACACCGATAAGGTGCGTTATTACGACCGGAAAATGAAATGGTATGCAAATTTACTGACTCAAAACAGAAGCCTTACGTGGGTAGCAAGGGCCGCAAGTTCGAGCGGGCTCGTGGTCGCAGAAGGTCCAAGGGTTTCAAGGTTTAAGGGACTTGATAAAGATGATGCGGGGTGTATGTATTGTGAAAGATGCATTGACCACATTGACTTTCTCGATGCCTTGAGTCATTCCAGATCTACCCAGAGACCTCTAGTCTGTGTACTTAAAAGTGGCGGGATGTCTTTGGTTGGACTGGGAAATGAGAATTTACGAATGAAGGGGCAAAAGAAAATTGAATCAGGCTTTGTCCTAAGTTTTTTTCTTATGGGATTTTTCAAACAAGAAAGCAAGCAAAAAAATCTGTTTTAAAATGATATTCTTCTATGCGTTGCACTGGGGAACCAATTTACTGGTCTATGGGTAGGTTAGTATGGAGATACTTCTTCCCTCCTTCCCCATCATAGTCTGCTGCCCTGTGTCCATTTCCCCGGATTAAGTACTTGTAGATGGTCAGGCCCTCAAGTCCAACTGGTCCTCGGGAATGAATCTTGTTGGTACTGATGCCAACTTCTGTACCAAACCCAAACCGCATGCCATCGGCAAACCTAGTAGATGCATTCCAGAAAACACCCGCACTGTCAATTCCGCTCATGAACATATCCGCCGCCTCTTTTGACCGAGTCACAATGATCTCTGTATGCTTGGACGAATGCATGTTTATATGGGCGATTGCAGCCTCCACGGCCATGATCGGAGACTCAGTCGATGGAATTGTTTTCACTGCCAACACAAGGTCCAAAAATTCAGTGTTATAGTCAGTTTCGGTGGCCGTTTGTAATTGCGCTGATTTCTCGGCTGGCAATGCCTTGGTCAGTGCAGATTTTGAATCAGGATCACAACGAAGAGTCACGCCTTTCTCGAGGAGAGCAGCAGCTACTGCCGGAAACACCGACTCAAAGGTTTCCTCATGGACAAGCAAGGTCTCCAATGAGTTGCATGCCGCTGGGTAGTTCGTTTTCGAATCCACAATCACTTTCACAGCGGTATCGATATCGGCATCCGCGTGTATGTACGCAGAACAAAGGCCGTCGGCATGGCCGAGTACGGGGATTTTCGTGTTATCTTTCACGAAACGGACAAGTTCGTTGGAACCTCGAGGGATGACCAGGTCAATCAAGGAGTCCTGGGCCAAGAGAGAAGTCACTGCATCGCGCGTCTTGACCAGCTGGATCGATGATACAGGCACCCGAGATTCGGCGATAGCTTTAGAGACGACGTTCGCGATTGCTGTAAATGATTCCATGGATTCCTTCCCACCTGGATATTTACGTCAATTGGGCAATTTCATGGAACCTTAATAGGGCGTATGTGTACCTTTCAGAATAGCAGCGTTACCTGACTTGATCGCCAGCGCAGCGATGTTTGCTATTACCTCTGGACGGGCCTCAAAGATAATCAACAGCACACCTATAGGGCAACTGACTCTCTCGAGTGTCAAACCATCGTCGAGGAGAGTTCGCAGTGTCACTTTGCCAACTATAGTTATATGATGTTAAGTTTTGTCTCGGTGATTGGGGTTCATAGACTAAAAGAGCACTCACTAGGGTCATCCAAATCTCGCACACTTAGGATTCCATCAAGCATGTCTCTGTATTTTCCAGGCCGGGACAGATCAAGTCTCTTGAGCACGCTATGACTCAAATTCCCGCTCTCGGCCACAATAGTAGCAATTTCTACATCTCTAGCGTTGGCTGCAAGAATCTCTTTTTGGTTTGTTTCCAGCGCATCATGGAGCAACGTCAAAGCTTTATTGCGGTCATCGTTGCTCAAGGTTGCAAGGCGACGAGAGGCAAGTGAAGCGCTATAGGCAACATCAATTGCTCCGGAATCGGTCAATGACATCTCAAAGAACCGCTCCTATATGGGTTGAACGAGTGTAGAAAAGAAGTACAAGTAGTAGTAGAAGAAAGGGACAGGGGGAAAAATGAGTCAAAAATGTGGAGGGGCACATTATCGATCCCGCTGGTCTCGGATTTACCCACCTTCCCGAGGTGTCTCTGATAATCACAACTCCTCGCTACGTCACATTTCTTTAATTACACAGCACCTACAGCACCTACAGCGTAGGTTACAACACTTCTTTTACAATTTCATCAACTTCTCTCTTCTCCCCCTTTCGTTCTTTTCTTTATCCAACGTTGAGTCTCCGTATTGCATTCCTAACTTAACATAGCACACTGGCTTGAAATAAGACACCTTTGCGCATTTGACGTCAATTCTCTTGTGTTCTTCTTTCATACATTGCCAGCATGACACTTCTCTCGGATATTATCTCTGCATCGGCACATTTAACCAACTCTAATCAGCTACCCAGCGATGAGTATGACCGTCGGATCCGCGAGCTAGTTGAATACTTCAGGCGATTACAATCCACTAAAGCTCTCGACTCACTTGCCAGTGACAAGTCTGTTTTTGATGTAAGCAGCTTAATCTATACCAAGTCTTGTCTATGAAAGTTCTATGGGGTTGCAGCTAATATGCATCTGTCTCTAGCATTTTGACCCAGCAATAAATTCTATCCCATATCTTTTCTTGCTACATGTGCAAATACAAAAGGCGCAGGAACCAAACACCAATGCAGTTCCAGCTGATCTTCACCCCTCTGGAAATCTATGGACACATGCTGCACATTTTTTGGCGAGTTTCAATGAGGTCCAGGTCAGATACGCTGGGCGAGAATGGCGTCTTCTGGTTGAGCTCGTGGGGCAAGCCTCGCAAGCTGCATCAATGGCAAGTAGTCGGTTACTTCCCACTGGCTCTTTGATTGAATTGCTAACGTAATATGATACAGCCACTGCTAGGCGCTACGCTAATTAAAGACGCCATGCTTCGTCTCGACCCATCGTGTGCCGTTTTCACATCAAGTCACCTTTTACTTGTCCGGCTTTGTCTCCAGGCCAAAGCATATTCGTGTGCGTTGCCTGTCTTGAATAAGCAGATTTGTCATTTCCCAATTCCGGTGGGGCGTTCCTCTTCAGAGCCTTCCGTGCTCTGTGCGGATCACGGGTCAGCTGTATCCTTTATGACTGAAGCTGCCGGGTTCTCATCTAAGCTGTCTTATCGAGAATACCTGCAATACTTTCTTTATGGAGGTATGGTATACATGGCGTTAAAAAAGTGGCGCAATGCACTTCATTTCCTTGGGATTGTCATATCTACGCCAAGTACTAGCTCTGTCAGCTTGATTATGGTGGAGGCCTACAAAAAATGGGTACTGGTAGGTCTACTCGAAAAGGGCAAGGTAAGCTATCCCTTCGCTGAAAGAAGTAGGGGTGTGGGGGGAAGAAGAAGACATGATGCTCGACAGCATGAGCTCTGTTGTTTCCTGGAGCTAACTGTTTTCGTGGGCAGCTCTGTTCGCCTCCGAGCATCACAGCACCTCATGTGACAAAAGTGTATCAATCACTCGCGAGACCCTACATCATTCTTGCTCGTGCATTTGAACGTAGTGATTTGAAGAGACTGAATGCCGAAATTGATGCTGCCAAGGGAGTCTGGTGCGCGGTAGGTGACAGCTCTTATTGACTCTTAGGTCGTATCTTTCTGCCATTCAGAGCTAATGCCGGCGCTTTAGGACAATAATGTCGGTCTCGTTTCCCAGGTAGTGGGTGCTTTCTTCAGTCAGACCGTTATCAAGCTTGGCAAGACTTTTGCAGCTTTAACGGTAGCCGACCTATCAAAGCAAGTGTTCCCCTCTCCAGTGTGTGCAGAAGTCACTGGGTCCGCTGTTTCATCCCTCATCATGTCTCGCGCTTTGAACGCGACATTGGTGCAGACCAAAGATCATGCTGGGTCTTCTATGCTGAGGTTCTCATCCATACATTCATTGCCTCGACTCTCTCGTGAGTTAGACTTACAGTCCCAACTCGGGCAGGAGATGAGGCTGATGGAGACACTGGTGATTAACCTTGGGGAAACCAATAATAATTTGGCATTAAGTGATGAATATGTCGATAGCCTGAATAAGGGTCAGGCTTGGTCAGGCTCTAGTGAAGTCAATCCCATTTCAGTGGAGGAGGGTGGACTTGACATGGATGAAGATCTAATGGGTGACATGTCCTAAATTTATCTTTATGGTGTCAAGGAGCATTAAGGATTAAGTTGTCCTACTTTTGAATGAATTACTCGGGTTGCTAGTCATTTGTAGTGTTTGTAGACCGGTAATTGTGATAAATGTAAAAGGGATCTTGGTGGCCGAAGGCCACTAGATAGACCTTGTGAAGCGAAGTGACTTATTAGTAGTTAGTTAACGTATTTCACAAGCAAGCTACGCACACAAGCGAGCTACGCACCCCACCCAAAACGCGTCCATGAATTAGCAATCAATTAATTTAACCACCCACCATACCACCAATTCGCTCTCAAAGCTCTAGAAATTCAATAGAGTAAGAGGGTAGGATCTTATTAGCTATCTAGGCTTTTAAGAATCAAGAAATCTTATTAATTCGTGGTGTGGTGCGCTACTATAATATCCCTAAATCTACACTTTAGACACACCTACGTAGGGTCTAATAACGCGTGACTACTTACGTAAACTCCTATAAATTAACAAAAATCGAATAAGAATCTCTTAAGAAATAGATTCTCTCTATAGATTCTCGCGGATTAGCTCCCTATCCCTCTACTATATAAGAAATAGTAAACCTTCTCCTTTAATATCGAGGAACTACCCTAGTAGTTTTAGTTAGTAAAAACTAGGTTATAAACTTTGTGAAAAGATACCCTTCTCTATCCTCTAAATTCTAAAGACACTATAATTACGAATATATAAAATATAAAGATCTAAAGGTTATCTAGGAGTGGTTTAATCTTATCTAAAAGATAATCCTCTAGTTTAGAATTAACCCTAATAATATTTATAACTTTAATAAGACTAGTTTTACTATAGGCTTAACTATAATAGTAAAGATAATTATAAAAAGCGAATTCTATAGTTAGCGCTTACTTTTATAACCTAGAAATTATAAATAGGTAACTACTATTAAATATATTAATATATTAGGTTAGGCACTCCCTCTATATATTATTTTTAAAGGTAAAGTCTTTATTAAATTATAGTTAGACTGCGGCATATCCGCTCCAATGGATATCAGATCGATCCTTATATCCGCAATTTGCGGATATTGGATATGAGTTAACATCCACATCCGCACTGCGGATACAAGGGATCTTGGTGGCCTTCGGCCACCAGATAGTCCTTGTGGAGCGAAGTGACAAGGTTTTTACCTAGTTAGGTACCGGGTTTTAATTATATAATCACTATCGTATTTAAATAGCTAGATTTAGACAGTTTATATCATGTGATAAATAATTTTAATTGCTGGGCATGGTGTATATCTACTGCCGGTAGAATTATTCTACCATTTCTTAGCGATGACATTTTCGCTGCATTAGAACTCTATAGATTTGGACCTCATATAGGAGCAAGGTCACGTGATATACACCCAAGCCCTTATGATATAGGTTGCTTCGCTTCGCTCCGTAATAAGTTTATATCTATATCCACAATATAGATATCCTTAGATATCCGCACTAGTATAACTCTCGCTTACTTTCCCCCTTATAGCCTATTATATGATCTTAATATAGCTTACCAATATTTTCTTACCACTAAAATAAACGTATATTTAGTCCTAATAGAACCAACCCCTTTAATCGATAGTTAGCCCTTTAAAATTTTAGGAAATAGATATATATCAAAGGTCTCCTTATATAGTATTTATGGGTAGTATCGTAGTTTTCTTAGTCTAACGTTTTATTATAAAGGTAGCTATAGATTAACGATTTTATAGTAAATTATATATAGAAATATATATTTAACTACTATTAACTATAATAAACTTCGTAGGAGATAGAATATAGAAAATTAAAACCTTTATTATTAGATAAGTTTATTCGATTTTAGGCTTAAATAAAAGCTAAGAGTCCTAGCTATCTACTAATTATTTTCTTAATCCATTTTAACTACTAGAACTTAAGAAACCCAAGACAAAAGTTCTTAAAATATAGACTTTGCGAGTTTCGATATCTTATAGATATCTTATAGATATCCATAAAATATCCACAAAATATCCGTAAGATATCCTTAAGATATTCTTAAGATATCCTTAAGATCCGTAGGATATCCTCTAATTATCTACACTAATATATAATATAGCTAATTATTTAGGTAAACTATATCGAAAGTAAGTCTAAGTTAGAATATCCTAGTATATTTACTTTACCCCTAATTTAGGGGCCCTAAAAACCTCTACTAGTTTAGATATAAGCTTCTCTATTCTTTTAAGTACCCTACTACACTATATATTATAATTATTAACTTCTTAATATCCTAATTATACATCCTGTGCCAAAAGTCTTGCGACAAACCCCATATTTTTAGCGCATAGTATATCACCCCCCCAACCACCCTATTTATTTTTTTCTTCCTACAACAACCATACGCTCTTTCGGCACTAAAATCTCTGGAAATAGGGGTATTCAATGCGAGCTATCTCCTGAGCAACGTGCGGGGATATACAGTGCCCTAGATGCTGGGGTATCTACTTCGAAACTCGCCGTCGAATATAGCTGTCACCGGAGCACTATTTACCGTACAAAAGAGCGGTTTTTAGAGCAAAAAAATACCTTGTTGAGACCCTGTACCGGCCGCCCCCTAATCTTTAACCAACGCGCCCGTAAATTTATATATTTACGGGCCCACCGGAACCCTCTTTAGTCCTATAAACGCCTCGGCGTAAGCTACCCTAGGTACCCCTCTTAAAGTACAATTCGAAGGGTTTACCGAGCCTACAATCTATATAAAAGGAGATCTCTAAATAAGATCCCTATTGGCGTTTAAATAGCAAAAAGAAGACTCACTTTTACGCGGAAATAGCGGATATAGCTTGATTTTTCGAACTAGATCTGGTCGGACGAATGTTCCGTTTAACGAATGTCTAATTCTAGTACAAAATAGGCCTAGAGATTCTAATCTAAGACCTATTAGCGTAAACTTGTGAACCTTAAGGTTTATATAAAGGATATTACGTAAATAGTATAGGCTAGGATCTAGCTTAGTAGGCGTATAAAGTTAGTAGTTATAGGACAGGAGAGATAATGAATTAGGAATAGCTATATAGTAAATTCCTATCTTAATACTCTTAAAGAAGGCCTTCTCCTAATCTATATACCTAGAACTATCTTCTAGTAAGATAATACCTATATATATACTATAGGTATTGTGGGAGAGTGGTTTAAACAATATAGGGTATATATCGAGGATTGGCCTCTACATTCACCTATACTTAGCCCTATTAAGCCTTGCTAGTGGATACTAATAGTCAAATTATTAGATATGTACCCCGAATTGATAGAAATGGGTAGGAGTGCAGAGGATTGGATATATTTTAAGAGAGCTATATACGCTGCATAGGATACACTTGATCAGGGTATAATTGACGATTTAATTCGCTCTGTGCCTAGGAGATTACTTACTACGCGCAAAGCAAAGGGGTATTATACTAAATATTAAATACATTAAATTCATTGGCTATTTCTCTATCTATTGATATCAAAATTAATATATATTTACTATATTAGTGGTATAAAATATATAGTTGAATGTAGTGATATATATTTGATGGGGTGCGGGTAAAAACCGACTGTTGTAGGACTTTTGGTCATAGAGTGTAGTTCTTATTCACTAATTTAGATATAGATTTAGCTTCTAATTAGATTTATCCTAATAACTTCTCTAATTTTTTAGGTATCTAAACACTAGTCCTATCGATATCGCTAACTTATTTAACTTATTTAACTTTTATACCCTTATCCCTTACTTATATTAGACCTCCCCTTTAAAAGCACTAGGTTTTATATCTATCTAATTCTATATATAATAATATAGAGGATATATATAATAAATTTATTAGTTAGTGGCTTATAACTAAGTATAGATCTTAGTCTAATATTAAGAATATAATTTAATAGGAATTAAAAAGTAAATTAGATATCTAGGATAGCTTCTACTAGGTTATAAATAATAAAAATAGAAAGCTAAAGGTTATATATAAGGTATATCTCTATATAATTAGCTATCTAAGATTCTAGCGTACTAGTTCTTCGCCTATAATAGTGTACCTTAAAACTAGAGTATATTTAAAAAAAAGTGGCCTAAGAATCGACTAGCTGATTAAAAGAATAGTATATTAACTAGGGTACTTAACTAGCGTTACTATAGTAGTTAAGTTCTTTATAATTTAGTAGCTAATATTAAGTACTTTAATCTAGCTAGGTACTACTAGTATATTATTTACCTAAGACTATCTCTCTAATACTATTCTAAGATTTATTTTAACTATATATCTACCCTTTTAAGTGATTAAATACCCCTAATTCCACTATATATTAGAGGTTACTTAATAATTATCCACTAAACTTATAATTCTATTAGTATAAACTATTTAATATTATCTCGATATAATAATCTAGAATAACTAGAAAGGGATTCTATAGAGGCTTCTAGAGGGGTATTAGCTACTAATAGCCTTAGATTACTAGACTTCTCCTTTCTAGTAGGCCTTTATAGCTATCACTAGTTACTTTATCGACTATAACTAGGATTATTATAAGATTCTTCTAGGCTTTAAGCCTCTTTATAGCTCCTATACTAGTGAAAATCTTAGTAAAACTACAAGGGATCTTGGTGGCCTTCGGCCACCAGATAGTCCTTGTGGAGCGAAGTGACAAGGTTTTTACCTACTTAGGTACTGGTTTTTTTTTATATAATCACTATCGTATTTCCAAAGGTTAGGTAGATTCAGACGGTTTATATCATGTGATAAATAATTTCAATTGCTGGGCTTGGTGTATATCTACTGCCGGCAGAATTATTCTGCCATTTCTCAGCGATAACATTTTCGCCGCATTAGAACTTAAGAATACTGGTTTTACAAGAAGCAGTATATGCTCTGGAAAACTGTATTGAAATACGTGGAGAAGGGAGAAAGCTATCTACGTATAAAGACTATGATATGCTGGGAGCAACCAGAGGTCACATGATCTCTGACAGAACTCTATGGA